ATATAGCTACTATTTTTTTAGCTTTATTTTTAGTCTCCTTTTTAATAAAAAGATCTTTATACTATTTTAAGTAGTTAAGAAGTAATTAATAAGTAGTTAAGAAATATTTTTATACTTTATTTATTAATAGTTATATTTACTTTTTTTTAAGAGATCTAACTATTAGAGCTAGCCTTTAACTCTTAATCTTTATACTTAAGGATATACTAATATAGATTATTAGTAGAGAAGAATATATACTAAATAGTTAATAAGTAGTTAATAAGTATTTAAGAAGTATTTTAGAAATATTTATAATATAATATAAGTATTTAAGTATATAGTAGTAGACTTTATTATAATAGATTTTAGTATAGTTTAAAAGTACTTTATAAGTACTTATTAAGTAATTAGGAAGTACTTATTTAAGCTTTTTACTAATATATCTTTTTAAACTTAAGAAGCTTAAGTTTCTTATCTCTTATATTCTTAATATATTACTTATACTACTTCTATTCTATTATATATATTAGTATTATTCCTTTTATACTTCTTAATTAGTTAATAAGTACTTATATTATCCTTAATAAGAGCTATAAGGAGAAGTAATCTAATTAGTTAATAAGTACTTATTAATAGCTAAAATTTAGATAAGAAAAAAATATAAGTAGTTATTAAATTATAAAGTAGTAATAAAAAAGTGATTAAGCTATAGCGCCCTATAAACTATTTATATCTTAAATACAGCTCACTTACTCTTGCTTAACTATTAGCGTCTTGGCATAGGGCGCCTTGGCTTTTTCAAGGGGCGCCTGACCTGTAACCTGGTTATAGATCTCTCTCCAATATGTTCCTACCACTGGGCCTAAGAGGGTAACATGAAGGGCTTATCCTTATTCAATTATAGTCAACGGTCAAGGGGCACGGAAAGCTGAAGAGAGTGAATATAGTAAATATATCATGGCCGATTCAAGTACCTGTCATCTAGTTAATGGGTTTATTCTAGTGAGTAGTACTGGAGGTATTCACTCTAAAAGGTCTGTATAGTAGGGAGAAAGCACAGATTCCTCAGTAGTGGTTTAAACACTCTCCTAGAATTATTTTCAATACTGATTTTATGAATTACCAGTCAATGTCCCAGGGTCGTGTATCTCTGATGATCTAAGACTTTCATCGGATGTTGTAGTACCATGGTACAGACCAATATACTTGTCATATAGTCGTAGACGTGATATGTAGATTCTTTTCTATCCTCTTCTTCTATCCTCCTTTTATCCCCTCTATTCTGAGATGGATGGCAGGTGTATTATTTGTAGCATCAGTCTCGACCGAGGCTCGGGAGGCGAGGACTTTTTCCTCGAGGAGGAGTGGTGGAAGCGTCACGTTCTCGATTTCCCTGGATGGCTTTGGATAGACGCTAGAGAGCTGGAAAATAGGTTTCTAACAAGGGGTAAGCATTTTTGGTCCAATCTGTATCGACTCATCATCTATGATCCTATCATTCAGCGCCATCGAGTGACGGGCGTTGGCCATCACCCTGGGATTATCGGAGACCGCCTCCTCCCCCGGTGGTATTACGCGGCTGCCCGAGATATAAACCAGGCGGTGATTGGAATCCCCGAGGAGACAGATCCAGAGCTGATCACCGTCGTGAATTCTCGCCTGTCGTGGTGGTGGGCGGGGGAAGAACCCAAGCGAGACTGGCACACACTGGCTCTTGCCATGCATATGCACTGTTGGACAATGGCGCGGCGCATCATCGGCCCAAAGGTGGAATCGGAGTATCTTCGGCCTGCAACCGCGCTGGTTCTGCGCAAGGCTCGTGAGAGAGAAGTGGCGGCACGAAGGGCACGAGAGATGGGTTGCCAGGATCAAGAGGAGTGGCAAAGATCCAGCACTACATATGGTATAGTAATTTTCATCTGATTACATTTATATTATACTAATTCTACTCGTACTAAAATTCTCTAGAAGAGCCATTGAAGATTATGAGTATGAAGAAACTTATTGAAGCTCACCACACTCGGTCAGCAAATTCAACGCTGCCATCCTCCACACAGTCCATGCTGCCGTACGAGATCAGATGTATCATTCTTGACTATCTGGACCATCAAACCCTCCATTCCCTACTGAGAGCAGTGAATTGCCCATTAGATGACTCTTACTGGCGCTCCCGGATGTCCTTCTACCTCATCGGCATGGAGGAGGTCGTGAAAGAGGCAGAGCAGCAACACCAGCTGAACTGGCAGGCGCTGTGTTTGGAAACAGAGCAGTTGGACGCAACTACAGATGTGTTCAGGATCCGACATCGCGTAGTTGACAGCCTGACTGACATCAAGGCCCAGCTAGACCGAGGGATATCCGTTTCCCTGCCCAACGTTCTCAACCACATCCAGGACGAGATGGTGGGCGAGTATTGGGAAGGTTATGCCGGCCACATCCTGTGTGGCTTGTCCGGCACAAAACCAGCGATGATGCAGTGCCTTGTCAATGCTGGGTTTCTGACTGAGGCCCAGTCTATACTCTACCAGCAGTATGCTAGTAATCCATCACCAAAGAACTTTGACTTGTTCAGTGAAACTTAAGGCTGATGGAATATTCTTATTATTATCAATTAATATACATAATTTTATCCTTATATCGCCTTATAGCACTAACTATACCATAGTAGATGATCTTCTTAGTATCTAATTATAATAAAAGTCTCTTTTATATATCTCTATTAGAACAGTGACAACCTTTACATATGCAGAGTCTTCATGCTTGATATATTCTATGCCTCTAGTACACCCTTAACCAAGTGGGTGGCAATCCAGTTTATCTTCTAGTGCTTTAAGTAATGACATTAACGCCATCTATTGATCCGTTCCTTCTCATACTGTCTCTCCGAATAGTCTGCCCAATCATTCCTAGATGGGCCAGGCAAAGTAGAGATCTTGCGTGCAAGAAATGATACTCCAGAGCCTATGCCGGAGATATCCGCCTCTCCTTTAAAGCGAGCAAAGGCTTGATCCTTGAAGTTGATAGTGCCGCTGGTCGCCTCATAGCAAATCATCCCCTCGCCCGTCTCGCGGCCTTTGAGCTTCAGCAGATATTTCCGAGGCTGACCTTGCTCTGCCTTGGACTTTTTGGGCCTCCCCACGCGTTTCGGAGCTGGTAGTTTTCTCTTAGTGCCTAGTTTGACGTCCTCCTTGGTTGGAACATCATCCTCTTCATCCTCTTCATCCGAAAAGTCGCCCTCGGCTTCAGTGCAGTATGCATCCAGTGCAGCCTCATCAGCACAAACGATCATGACCCCTTCAAAAACCCCGAAATCAAAGTCGGCTTTGAAAACACTGGGTGTTTTGGTCTTGTGGATGTCAAGGCGGAGATCGTCTGCCATGCTTGGCCACTCCGTCTCAATGAATTCACAGTCAACAATGTAGCTGCCAACAGGAGTCATATCCTCGGTCTGCTGGCTGCGGCTGTTTAGATGCTCTGTATGCAATTTTTCTCGCTTCCTCTTCCGCTCATCTTCCTTGTTCTTTACTCGTCTCGCCTCCTCGGTGGGGTGCTGCTTGGCTGCTTTTTCGACGGCTGCTTGATTCCAGCCCATGAAAATGACCTGGGTTTTTGGTCCCAAGGCTTTCCTATGGTGTAAACCGGTGATCTTGTCAGCGACATCCATCACTTTCCCAGAACGATATTGGCTATATCGATCAAGGGGTATGCCGACGACAGTGGTCGTTTTGGTATGGTCAGGCTTGCCAGCAGACAGAAAATATCTTTGCACGACCCATTCCGGGTTGGAGGAGAGTTGCTCAGGGGTTAATTCACTGATCCATTCTTCATGCATCTGCCATTGCAGCTCCAGAATGTGGTCAGGGACCTGGTCGCACTTCCCAGCCTGGAGCGCAGCCTTCAGCAGTGCAGTCCCATTGCCAAAGAATTTCTTTCCGTCAATTTGAACTCCGTAGTGTTTCAACTGGGAACGGACGAAGTTGCGGTTGTCTCTTAATGCCTTTTGTCCTTCGCGTGACAATTTTGGCAAAAACATGCTCCGAAGTTGAGATCCTTCGATTCGGTCAATTCGATCATCTGTCAAGAAGCGGCCAAATATTGAGATGAACCCATCACGACGAATCTCAGTGTACGCAGACATTTTGCTTGTAATTGTCAAAGATGATGCAGGTTACAGGATGCGCCCTCAGGAGGCTAAATGGAAATAATAGATAAAAGTATCACACTTAATTAAATCCAATAACTTCTTATAACTCCCAGATAAGTGGGCGTAGGATGTTGTGAGGAGTAAGAGAAGTGAAAAGGAGGTATAGAGTGAGGCACTAGTTAATATATAAATAGTCAAGATTTTAAAAATAATTGTCAGATAATGAAATTTTAGGTAAGATTAATTTTTCATTAACTATTAGCTAACTCTATTCTAGCTAGTGATTATTAGCAGCCTATTAGGAGGCCTAATCTAGGGCATTGATTTTGACAGTTAAGACGCAAAAACAATTATATGAATACTAAGTAAAAAGAATAGTAATTATGAGATAATTGACAGTCAAAACATATCCTTATTACTAGTACTTTATAAGAGATAAAGCACCTATCCTCAGGTGGAAGAACTACTTTCAGCTCACATATCTAGTGATAGCTGTTGGCAGGTTACTAGGAATGTAGACTATCAAAATATATTTATAAACACTACCAGATATATAGGAGCTGTTGTGAAAATAAGATGATATCCTTTAATTCATATATCCTGCTATATATAACTCAACTCTCTAGTGTTGGTTCAATTTCAAAAACTTTGATCCTTTTCTTAGAAGTATATCTTATATAATGATTTAGGTTTAATATATCTGCCAGCGTTGAGCTCTCAACTTAAATCTTGTGGTTACAGCCATCTAGTTATGGGTATATGGATATGGCCCTATCCACATGCTAGAGGAGTATTAAAATGCCATAGCCACAACCAAGTCTACTCCATGACGCGACCAAGACCGCTGTAATGTCAATTATATACCAATAGAAGCTTGCAGTTCATTATATCGTTTAGCTGAGTTGGAAAATAAGACCAAGATGAACGAATGACAAAGGCCGAAACCATATTAGTTGCGCTCAAAGAATATACATGGTATCGAGACTCATGTCTCCTTCCAACCCATTAGTCGTGGCTCCTTGAGCAATGAGATTTGTCTTGCGAGCGTTTCTGCGTTTGAGCATCAGCCAGCAGGAAGCGTAAAGGAAGCCGGCAACAACCGTCAGACCGGCTGAGATGGCATTTCCCTGTATATAACGTGGCCCTTGCTGGGTCGGGTATAGCTGTGATGAAACCACTGCAGAGATGTTTCCGATCGAATAGGCCAGGGGCATACCGATTGCACGCTTGCTGTCTGGCGACAGATTGGTTGATATCCAGGTTACTGCCAAGGTGGAGATTGGATAGAGTCCTATATTGGAGTTAGATTGCTGTATACTATAAACAGGAATCAGCTCACCCAAGACAAGGACAAACATGCCCGCATAGCCAGCATGGGCATTGGCACTTCCAACGCAGATGAGATAGCCGACTGCCACTGGAACACAGCATCCAACAATGAAAGCCGCGCGCTGCTTGAGCCTGTCGGAGAAGTAGACCTGGATGACGAGCGAGACGGCACCGACGACATAGATGGGGATGGTCATGTAATTCACTTGGAGGGACGCATATCTCCACGCATTCAGTCAGTGATACGGCCGTAAGATCCTAATGGAAAGACTCACCCCAGGCCCTCGATGATGGTCGGGCAGAAGACGCCAAATCCGTTGATGGCAACCGAGGAGGTAAAAAAGGCCGTGCCGAGGAGCCAGACAAAGGGGTCCGTCAAGGCAATCCGGATCCATTTGCGATCCAGCTTGTCGTCTCCTCTGAGGGCCGTGTCCCGCAGCTTCTTCAGTCGCATTGTCTCCTTCTCTTCTGCATTGAGAAACCAGGCCGACTCGGCCGACTTGGGGAGGAAGATCCAGCCGAGGCCGCCGACAAACACCGTGATCAGGAACTCGATGATGAACAGCCACCGCCAGGCCTCGAGGCCATCTCGGGCGCCCATTTCCTGCACGGCGTAGGCAAACAGGCCGCCAAAGGCGCCCGAGATGCACTGGGCGAGGTTGGTTGTCATGATGCGCTTGCCCGCCAGCTCCCGGGGGTAGATGGTGGAAAACAGATAGGCGAAGCCCTGGGCAAGACCGGCTTCGGCGGCGTTGAGGATCATGCGGCACACAATGGCCTGGGGGTAGTTTTTGATAAAGGCCGTGCCTAACGTGCTGGCGCTCCAGAGGGCAAACGAGGTGCCGATGGCCTTGTTGGCCCCGAAGCGCTGGACGGCCAGCACCCAGGGCAGCTCGAAGAGGATGGTGCAGACGCTGGACAGCGTGTTGATGTTTCCAAACTGACCGTCCTTGAGGCCGATGTCTTCATCGAAGCCAAACACCCGCGCATTCCCCAGCTGGTGGTGATCAGCGGCGGACTGTTTCTTTGTTGCCCAGCAGACACACTCACATTGTTCCGATCAATACTGGACAAGACCAGGAAGATGACCGAGACAGGCAGCACGTAGAGATCGAATTTCCTGCGGGCGGCTGCCTCCTTGACAGGGTCAATCTCAATGAGGGAGCCCGTCCTCTCATCGACAAGGCTGCTGGCAGTTTCCATGCCGGGGGTTTTGATGTCCGCTGTGGCAGACTCCATTTTCTTAATAGTGGTCTCAACTGCTAGAAATGATTATCAAGGCAGTGGACTCATCTGCATTATATATATCTCACTATACACGCATTGCACCAGAGTATATACTACAGAAGAACCAAGGATTACTGTATATCTTGATAGACGATAAGAATCGATTATCTCTCTGATATGCCTGATATGCAGTCCATCGGGTGAAGCCGAAACAATTCCTGCAGCCAGTGTTACCCCACAATGGCGGGGCCCCCTTTCGGAGATCTCCGAATATGGGGATATCTTATCTGCCCGCTGTCATTTCCGCCGCCAGCTTCAATAACCTCTACTACACCCATCAGAGCGCCCGCAAGAAACCTAATGCACTCCCCATCGCGAGTAGGCCCCCGTCTAGCCCGGGGGGCGACAGCCTGTCAGAGGTGCGAGATCCCGTCTGTCCAGTAGATAAGAGGCTGACCAGATGCAGATGCCGTCGGAGAAAGCAGAAAGTATGGATGCTCAAAACCCTAAACCCTAAACCCTAACCCTAAACCCTAAACCCGACACTGACAATTCCATGAGTAGTGCGACTTGAAGCAGCCCAGCTGCTCCAACTGCGAGAGTTCAGACGCCCTGTGTCTGGTCTACCACCCTGGGAAACAAGCCGAGGTGAGAGATCCCCATGGTCGGTGATGAGCGTGGCTGAACGGCTCCAGATCCCCCGGAACTACGTGTCCAACCTGGAGAAGCAGGTGGACAGGTTGACCCGCCAGGTGGAAGAGCTGCAGAGGGCCAACCAGGAGAAGGAGAGGGCCATGACCAGCCCGACAGCCTCTGATGCCAGCCCGAGTCAGTTCCAGGACCTGGTTCAAAGCGTCCGCAACGTTGTCGTCGAGCCGTCGCGACAGCCCCGGTTCCTGGGCCAGAGCAGCGGCCTCACCCTCGCCCGGCTGGTCATGGCCGCCATCCGCACCGACGCCCTGCCGTCTCCCCTCTTCGCCGGCCCGCGAGTGTCGGATTCCTCGTTCCTGGTGCCCGCTCCAGAGGCATCTCTTCCGCCTCGCCATGCGGCCAACCATCTGCTCCAGGTCTACTTCCAGTACCGCACCCCGCATCTCCCGATCGTGGAGCCGTGGGAGGTCGAGCAGGCCCTGGAGAACGCCTACCGCGGGCACTCCTCGACCGCCGAGCGAGGGCTGGAACAGGACCTCTTCACAGCGTACATGGTTCTGGCCATCGCGCTGTTTGATGTCCCGCACGTCTCGGGTGGTCGCCCTACCCAGAGCGAGGGCTGCTTCCAGTCGGCCATGGGCTGCATTGAAAAGGTCCTGACCTATTCCCCGAGCGATCTGGATACGCTGCGGGCCATTCTCCTGCTCGCTCAGTTTGTCGCCCTCTACCCGGCCCGCGGGAGCCTGTGGCACTTGACAGGCACCGCCCTCCGGCTGTGTATCGACATGGGCCTGCACTGGGAGACCGAGGAGCAGTCCCTGCACATGGATCCAGTCATGTTGCACCAGAGACGACGGCTGTGGTACTCGACATACCAGTTCGACCGGCTCCTGTGCATCACCCTCGGGCGCCCCGTCGGCATCATCGACGAAAGCACCAGCGTCCCGCTGCCGGACCCCGGGGCTGCCCCCCCCGGGGCCCCGGGGGGCCAGGGCAGCGCCTGGGACATGCACCGCCAACGGGCGCACAACCACCTCGTCAACATGTCCAAGCTGGAGTCGGAGATCAAGCATGTACAGCACAGCCAGGCGTGGGCGCGCAGGATCGCCTACCCTCGAGCCAACTACGCCGCCTGGGTTCAGGATATCCTGCCGCGGCTGCACGAGTGGCATGCGACGGTGCCGCCCCTGGGTGATGCCCACGCGATGTCCATCTTCGCCTGCCAGGCCTACTGGGACGCCATCTACCACAATGCGGTGCTGCTGCTCTATCGACCCAACGCGACCATCCCGCATGTGTCGACAGACGAGCTGGCGGTCTCCTTTGAGGCGTCCACCCAGTTGATCGCCAGCATCAAGGTCCTGCAGCGCGAGGGGAAAGTCGACATTCGGTGGAAGACAGTGCACCAGCTGTTCATGGCCGGCTTGGGCGTCATCTATGCGCTGTGGCTCTCCAAGACCCTCCGCGACCGCCCGCCCGTGAGTCGGAATATCACCGTCCTCCAGGCCTGTGGCTCGACACTCTCGGCACTCTCGGAGAGCTTCCCGGGGGCTGTTGGGTGCCGCGATGCCTTTGACACGCTCTCCATGGCCACAGTCGACATGCTGGTCGCCGGTGACCACGCCGGGGATAAGCAGGACCACCACGCAAGCCATCTGGAGTTTGGGAAACAGGTTGAGGATGTCCTGCAGCAGCTGCAGACGTCTGCAGGCTCTACTGAGCTGTCTGCCATGCTGTCGGCCGATGCTTTGAGTGAGATGCTCAGTTCTGCTGCTCAATGGCCAGACTTCCAGGACTTTGTGTTTGATGATCGGGGGTTCAATGGGGAGGTCTGGTTTCAGTGATTGATCTAACCCTAACCCTATGATTCATGCTTGAATAATGACAATGCAATGAACACCTTTTATTATGTATTCGAGAACTAAGTATCTATCTCTGAGCAGCTGCAGGCCCATTGTCGACTATCGTCTCGTATGCCAAAGGCTCCTTGACCAGTCTCGCATCACAAAGCCCCTGCTGCCAGCGGTCAAATGCAGCGCGAGGCACAGATGTGCTGGTCCACATGCCGTTGCGACGAAACGAGTTGGTGACGCTGACCACCGTTTCCACGGGCACATTAGGGAACAGCTCGGCGAGCTCGTCACGGAACGATTCGGCGTCGTGTTCGAGCACCCAATCGATCCCCTGGCCCAGGGCGACGCAGAAGCGCCGCTGCGCATCGCGAATCGCCGGCGTGATGGTCGCCGTCTCGCGGTAATACACGCTCCAGGGGATGTCGCCCTGCGTCACCATCTCCATGGCGATCGAGACCTCCGTGTTGCGCGCCGCCATGGCCAGCGCTGAGAGGTAATCGGTAACGTAGTAATCGCCCATGCCGCCCTCAAACAGATTCCCCAGCATCACGCCGTCAAGATCCTGGATGTAGTCGATCGTGCGCGGGTCCAGGCCATGCTCACGCAACAACATCTTGAAGAACAGGCCCACGCTGGCGCCGCCGCCCGACTTCATCAGCACGGTTTTCCCAACCATGTCGCCCAGCTGGAAGCCCTCGGCGCCGTCAGGGCCCCGGCGCAGGACCGCCAACGGACACCGGTTGGCGATCTGCGCAAATACCGTGTAGTGCTGCACTCGGTCTCGGTACATGGACGGCACCCAGATGCCGCCCAGCGCCATGTCGGCTGTCCCGTCGGCCAGGGCGTCCAGCACGCCGTCCCATGGCGTGGGGATGTTCACGCTGACATCGAGGCCCTGTTCACGGAAGAAGCCGTGTCGGAGGGCGATGTACTCGGGCAGATAGTTGAGATTGTAGCCGGTGGCCGTGAGGTGGAAGGGTTCCATCGTGCAGAGGAAGATGAGGAGATGACTTGGGAGAAGATAGATATGAATGAATAAGATAGAAATTTGTTAAAAGGTAGACTCATTCACAGCCGTCAGATTTATGAAAACCGGCCATCGGAAAAGTGCGAATGGATCTATCAGGACCCGGATAATCGCGAGCCTCGCCATCGGAGAATGCCTAAACGGCAGTCATTTAAGTCTTGAGGGTTTATCTGACTGAATACGCTCTATTGGTAACATGCACCAATTGATGGAATGCCCTCTACACGATGAACTTCAACGCCTACCATGAGGAGACCCCTGCAGATGTGAAGAATGCAACAGTATGTTGATGGCATCTCGCTCTACAGCCCGCTGATCTGGAATTCTAGGATCTTCACCTGATCACCGAGAATACTCCTAATGGGCAAAAGGTGCAGATTCTGCTGGAGGAATTGGCAGATGCATATGGCTTGCAATGGACCACAACTCTTCTGTCAGTGCAGTATTTCAAACCCTAACCCTAACCCTATAGCTGACACTATGATTCTATACAGCAACACGTCAACCAATGAACAGAAGAAAGACTGGTTTCTCAGCTTCAATCCTAATGGTAAGGAGGCCAAGGATGATTCAATATGGGCTGATGTGAATTAGGTCGGATCCCTGTCGTTATTGACAACTCTCAATCTCAGCCATTTCCGGTGATGGAGACATCTGCCGAACTCCTCTATCTCCTTAAATTTGACCAAAACGGCCGTTTCGGCTTCCAAGACCATCTTGAGCATAGCGAGCTTCTGCAATGGTTGTTCTTCTGGCATGGGAGCGGTGCGCCGTATCAAGGGAACCTCACCTTCTTCCGACGTGCCCCAGAGCAAATCGACTGTGAGCAACCCTGATATATTGACTCTCTGCTTTGTATCACTCAGGTTTAACACGGTCATCTGTACAGTTGCCATCGATAGATTCCGAAAGGAGACCTACCGCGTCTTTGGCGTCCTCGAGATCCAGCTGTCAGGCAAGTATACTGGACAATCAAAGGACTTTCTGGCTGGCAAGGGCCAGGGGAAGTATTCTATCGCCGACATTGGGACCTGGGCGTGGGTGAAGAACTGGCAACGCAGCGGCTTCACAGAGCAGGAGATGAAGGTGTTTCCACACCTGCTTGCATGGATCGAGAGGATCGCACAGCGTCCTGCCGTCCAGAGAGGAGTCAGTGAGAAATACGCCGCGTCTTAGATGCTCTAAGAAGGGAAGGGATATCTAGTCCCTCCTCACTTATTAATGTAACCCTTGGATGAGTCACCAGGATACAGCTATTTTTCTATCTAAATCTTTCGAATATTCAAATTGTGATTGAAGGAAGCAGATGCTGTCGAGCTCTTTTCAATACTAGCATTGCAGTCTATTGACAGTCTGATAAGAGCATCAAGTCACTGGCTTCCGGGCATAAAAGCTGTAGAGCTTGAAGTACTGATGGATGGAGACATCTGCCAGCTCTTGCTTGACCTTGGAAATCAATACTGTGACCTCTAGAGGCGTCCAGCCCAAGATATCGACCAGCAGCTTGGGCAGCAAAGAGTGGAAGCCTTGGATAGTCACAGAGTATGTGAATCGGCCAATATCCCTCTGTTTTGGATCCTTGGGCCACGCACTCATGGGCACCTTCACCACATCAGCAACAATATCTACAAAGCCAGCAGCCTTGAGACTCTCTTCCCACCCACTAAAGTCCTGCATCTGCTTGCCGAATTTGGAGCTTGCTTCGTGGATAAGTCGGCACATTTGGTTCGTTGAAGGCGCCTTTTTCAAATATCCTTCTTGATCACCGTCGCAAAAGGTCGCCATGCCAATGCTCTTCAATTCAAGATAGCCGCCCGGCTTGAGATTCTCAAAGGCTTGCTTGGTGAGTCTATCCATATCTTTAACCGCCCCGGCCAGTGAGCGACCATGGATAAAGTCAAAGGGTTTCGTGTAGTGCCAGTCGGCTTCAAAGTCGTCAACTTCAAACACACAGTTGGGCGGAACCCTAGCACATCAGCCTCTTGAATGATTGAGCTCGGTCTCCTTATGAAGTGCTTACCATCCTGGTTGGATGGGGCTAAGATCGTTGCCGATCACCTCGGCTGCTGGGTGCTCGCTGCACGATCAGCAGTCGTTCAAAGAGAGGATCTAGAATGCTGTAGGCTCACTCGGCGAAATCAATGGCCCAGATCCCTGTTCCTGTGCCCAGATCCAGTATGCGGCCGGAGAAATTCTCCAGCGGAGCCAAATGTAGCTTTCCGCCAAAGATCATGCTATAGATGTGATGGAGAAAATCCATGCGGTCTTGCTCATCTGCATCATTGGGAAACAAGTACTCGCCCTTGCGGTAGCTTTGATACCGGCGGCCATTCTAGTATCTTAGCTGTCAAGTCCTACCAGGTAGCCGTGTCTAAAGAAGTACCTCATATTCATAGTCGAGCACACTTGACCTGAGTGAGGCATAGTCAGTTCCTCCAGAGCTCAATGAGGCATTGTCGCTGTCATTATTGATCTATTCTATCATTAGAACCGATCCATTAGTCTAGAATCATTCGGGTACCATACTTCAGGACTGAGCTCTGGGTGAGCGATGGTGGTTAGAGTGCTTTCATCAGCCATGGTGGGAATAAGAAATCTGGCAGGATTTTAGCACACGAGGGGAACAACAGGATTAAATTTTAACATCCCTGTTCAAGAATACAAACCATGTAACGCTGTTTGCGTCAGCTATTGCCTGATCCCCTATAACCCCTCAACTTACGAGTCATGTACCTTGACTAACTACTGCAGTATGTAGTACTAACTAATGAATACCTCGGGAGAGTACACACCTCAAGTTGCTGCAACTACAGATAGGCATGTTGGATATTTTCAATCAGGTCATTCTTCATAGCACAATATTTACTCTATTATTATTAGATTATAGGTTTATGCTGATGTGCTAGTGGTGTATGTGCTATTGAATATAGAATAGCCGCCAGTCTTTGCACAGCATTTTAATTTAGTTTTATAAGCCCATTGGTTAACTAAATAGGGTTTAGGGGTGCTTAACATAGCTAGACTGAAACAGCATTCAAAAGTACCAATCTAGAATAGTAGTATATAGATAAATATTAAGCGGCCATGTCAGCAGTGCACCGCATAGTATATATTACTCTAGAGTCTTTTAGGAGTATTATATTCTAGACTATATCATGAGTAGTACTACCATTTTTATTATATATAATGAGGTGACATTTTATATATTAGTGAATTTTAATCCCACTTTACCTAAAATATGAAAATTATAAATATAACAAGACCTGTCTTCAAAGAGAGATGCATTTCAAGTATAGCTAATAATAATAGATAGAAGACTTGAGCAAGAAGGGAGTGAAATGCTTACTCATTAAGAAATTGCACAAGAGAGTCTACACTAAGACCATGCTTGCCGACTATAATACATTTCTATCTCTGTACAGGCAGGTCTCCTGCCTCAGTATAGAGCCAGCTGTCTAGTAGGTGTTGCAATAATCTATAATCTCATCTATTACCTTGTCAGAGAATCAAAAGTATTATGCTGTAGTTATAGAATACCACCATTAATATTCTGATGCAGCCAGCCTCTCCACTCCTGGTCACTCAAGATCGACCTTACACGGGCTTCAAGCCACTCTGTGTTCCCCCAGAAGCCCCAAGAGGCCTGGAATCTACACCAGTCCACCAGGGCTGTCTCCCAGTGGCGTTTGAACACTGTCCATTCATACAGATCCGACTCTTCATCCTGGAGGAGACGCGTGCGGTATTGTTGCAGCAGCTGTTTCTCACCATCCCGCATTGTCAGCCGCTCCGGGAGCGATTCGTTGGCATCGACAAGCATATAGAGAGGGACGGAGCACGTAAACAGCTTGGCGAGGTCACACACACCAAGACCCCGCCCAACATACTGAAAGTCAAAGAATGCCACCTCGTCTCCATTCGTTGTGGTGAAGAGATTCTCCGACTTGACATCCCCATGGATATATGATTCCATCGGCCTCCCGTTGGGCGTCAGACACAGTGCCGCCATCTCAGCAATAGAAAGTAACGTGCCTTCATAAGCCCTACACAGGGCGTCTGACCACTCCGAGTCAGTGTCTTGAGCGAGGGAAGAGTACTCATTGCGTCGAGTCGCAAGATATGTGTATCCCCCATTGAGCCACAGCCCGTTCTGGACATCTTTGCCTGCGCCCTGTCTTCTTCTGACGACTTCTTCCAGGGGTGGTAAGAGATATTCCTCAAGGTCGTTGGACAGCAGCCCCCATGAGCGACTGTGAAAGGAAGCCAGCCAGTCGATCGACCGCTCTACTTGGGTGCGGTTGAGCACACTTCTCTGTCCGCCCGCGACGGGGAAGCGTGGCCGCAGATCAACCATGATGGTGGCTATTAGATGGTCCAGTTCCTCTGCACCCTCTTTGCCCTCTACATCTCGCGTCGAGGCAAGGCATCTAGCCACAGCAATCCCATCGCCCAACAGCGGAACCACGGCAGTATAGAAATACTGTTCTACTTCATAGCTCAGCATCTTGCGTAGGTGGCCCTCGTCCTCATTGCCGCTGCCATTCCTCCTGGGAGGCGAGATGAGCTTGAGGATGAGGGGATAGGTGCTCCCGGCGGTTCCCGGTTCCACACCACAAAGCTTGCTGACATGTTCAGCCGCTGCATCGGTGGTTGCTCGGGCTGTGATGGCGCAGATGTGGCCGTAGCCTGCCCACAGCGTCTGGAGGGTGGTGCACGAGATGAGGTCGAGGGAGTGCCATGACAGCATGATCCGGGCAACGTGCTCGGGGGGAGGGGCCATGACGACTAGATATTGGTTGAATCAATGGCCGCAGGAGCAGTACTGTCGACTACTCGATCTTATTTAGGCCATGTAAGATGCAACTGGTGAAATTAGGTGGAGCTCGCTTCTGAAGCGTACGGAGTAAAGCGCAGAAGCGCGGAAGCGGTGTAAAGTGTCATGTGATATTAATAATGAGGCTAGTGCCTGAAGTGGATGCTAAGCTTTAATAGTTTAAGCCACATGATGATAGTAGTTACTCTTTACAGAGTAGTTAAGAGTATTTACTATTACTAGAGGATTTTATATCTATCTGAAATAGTATGCTCTACTTATAGACTTATAGAATATAATATCTAGTGAGGTAGAGAGATAAGCATAAGCGCAATATTATTTAATTCTATAAAGCCACCAAATATACAGGTGCTTGGACTTAATCTGCTAAGAATCCATAATCTTTCAACTTCTATGTAGTACATTCAGCTCCACATTCAGCTTTGTATATCATAAAGACACTTGTGGAAAGTATCTAATAAACTAGATAGTATTAACTTTTGCTCTCTTTTCAACTGCTTTGTCTCCTCTTCATTATATCACTAAAATGTCTGGAAAGCCAGGCGATAAGAGCCATAACCACACCTACATAGTCATACTTAACCACTATGGGCTATACTTTCTTGACCCCTTTAATATAACAACTGCTATGCGTTCAACACCATGGTGATAGAGAATGGGCGCCCTCATGGCGACAGCTCCTGGGAGGTGTCATTCCGGCCTATTTCGCCCACAAACTATGTCAACTACAAGGGACCAGATAAGGCCATCTTTGGCCGGGATGTCACAGTGGAATACCTCCAGTGGTGGGATTAGCACCATTATTTTATGATATTATCACTGCTTTGGTAATTAGGAATAAGGAGTTAAAAGTACATATCAAGTCCGTCCAAAATTAGACTATTTCTTATGCTAAAAGTGAGTATAATTAGTGATAATGATTATCACTCCTCTAGATAATGGCATACCTATTTTATTAGCACTACACATAAGTGCACACACAAGCCAGGCTACTCACCACCTCAATATTGTTTCCCTAGGGATCCTTTTTGAATGTGCTATAGTAGTTGGGGTGATACTGTGGGCGCAGTCCAGGCTTCCCATGATCCACGCCGCCGGCCGAAATCGCAGCATTATAGAACATATTAACTGTTTTATGGTCTATATAATTATCAGTAGAAGACTTAACATCCAAGTGACTGCCCATAGAGAACCTTTAAGCTTAGCTGTTATAATGACATTAGTTTTGCTTTCTAGACCTATATATATAGAGGTGAAAGAAATTCCACTGCTGCTCTATGAATAACCTTATAATAGTAATACTATGCCACTGCTTTTATATCATACGATGGATCCATAATAATCAGTCAGGACCAGTTGAATCTGGTGGTGTAATCTTTAATTAATAATAGGCTTTTCTTTGACCGTTTCATTGCGGCGTTAATTTAGAATTTGTAGTATAATAATGACATCACCCTACTTTACAACTCTTTACAGCAATCTTCCAGCTGACAACCACTATGAGATTAACCCAGACTCTAAAAATGAGCTACGACGCTATTATCATCGGTTCTGGCCAGTCCGGGGCCCCCCTGGCTGTTGCATTCGCCAAAGCCGGGCATCGGACTGCCCTGGTCGAACGCGAGCATATCGGCGGCTGCTGCATCAACGAAGGCTGCACGCCCACCAAGACGATGATTGCCTCTGGACGGGTGGCATATCTGACTCGTCGTGCAGGGGATTACGGCGTGCTCACCTCGTCTGAAGTGATGGTTGATATGGCCAAGGTTCGGCAGCGGAAACGGGACATTGTTGCGTCCTTTCGCGCAGGGAGCGAGCATCGCATCCAGGCTGCAGGTGTCGAGCTCATCACCGGCAATGCACGGTTTATTGATCGAAACACATTGAAGGTCACAGATGGCCACGGCGGAGAACAGATGGTGCAGGGGGATAAGATCTTTGTGAATGTCGGGGAACGGCCTGCGCCTCCGAGCGTCGAGGGACTCGAGGCTGTTGACCCCGGCAGAGTCCTCGACTCGACCTCCATTCAAGAACTGGATGCCGTGCCCAAGCACCTGGTGGTGGTGGGCGGGGGATACGTGGGCGTGGAATTCGCACAGCTGTTCCGCCGACTGGGCGCCGAGGTGACCATCGTGCAGCGCGGCAAACAGTTGATGCCTCGAGAAGACGCAGATATTGCCCAACGCCTGCTGGAGATCTTCCAGCAAGACGGCCTGACGGTCCATACGGAGTCTCGCCCGCTGCGGATTGTCTCTGCGGGGGACAAGGGCTTCATCTTGACGATCCACCGTCGAGCCGGCGACCGCGACATTCCCGGCACGCACATTCTCTTTGCCGCCGGACGGATCCCCAACACGGAGACGTTGAACCTGGCGGCAGCGGGCATCCAGACAGACAGGAAGGGATATATCGAGACGAACGCCTCGCTGGAGACCTCGACGCCGGGCATCTACGCCATGGGGGACGTCAAGGGCCCGCCGGCCTTTACGCACGTCTCGTATGACGACTTCCGCATCCTGCGAGAGAACCTGATCGATCAGTCCAGCGCATTGACGCGCTCGACAGCAGACCGGATTGTGCCGTATGTGGTCTTTACCGATCCGCAGCTCGCCCACGTCGGGCTGCACGAGCACGAAGCGCGCGAGCAGTTCCCAGCCCGACAGATCCAGACTGCCACGATGCCCATGTCGTATGTGGCGCGCGCTCTTGAAACAGACGAGCCCCGCGGCACGATGAAGGCCGTGGTCGACGCCCCGAGCGGCCAGATTCTCGGCTTCACCTGTCTGGGCGTGGACGGCGGCGAGGTGATGAGCGTCGTGCAGACGGCGATGGTGGGCGGGACGCCGTACAGGAAGCTTCAAGATGCGGTCTTTGCACATCCGGTTCTGGCGGAGAGCTTGAACAATCTCTGGAGCTTCTTACAGTCTGACACCAGACCACAGGTTGATTAGACTGATTATTTCATCAACAGTATAGCTAGTCCTATAGAAATATCAGTGTGACAGTCTATAGATCATATAGTGCATCTATTGCAAGATTCCTGTTTATAATTCAATGACAGTTCTCATGATCTATGGATACTCTCCAGCTCCTTATTGAGCTGAGTATAGCTAGGCAACACCTCTTCCTGCCCCCTTTTCGGCAAGTAGAGCAAGATACTCTTCAACGCCGAGGCTGCCAGGCTCTGGGTCAACGCCATATCCAGCATGTTCAACCCTGCCGCCTTGGTGTGCATGCAAACCGCCGACAGATCCTGGATGCGGTCCAGCTGGCCGGGCCCCCCGTTGCGGATGGCATCTTCCGCCAACGCCCACGCCAGCGGGTTCGCCATGACGGCCTCGTGCGAGTACACCATGCCCGCCGGCTTCAAGCGCGCCGCCACCTGCAGCTCACAGTTGGTGACGCCCACGTTGCGCTCATCCCTGAGCAAGGCCGACGCCCGCGCGCCGGACTGCGGCTGCACCACCTCGTCCGTGGCCGAGTAGACGGACGTGGTCGGCACATACGCCGAGTCGCCGCCGTCGGCACGCAGCGTCGCGATAAAGCTCGCATTGCGCGTCTGGTTCCAGACCGCAGGCGTCCCCGGCGTGTTCTTGACCGGACATAACCCCCACGCCTGCAGGGTGCCGGCAAAGTCCGCCGACAGGGCGATGAAATTCGACACGCGGGCGCGGGTGCTGGGCCAGTATTTGAGCGCCCACTGGACGGCCAGGTTGCCCTGCGACCAGCCAACAACCGCAAGCGAGGCCGGAGAGGGGCCGGCGGACCGGGCGGTGATGTAGTGGATCGCGTAGGCGACAAACTCGGCATTTCGAGGCGAGGCATCGCACATCCGGCCGGGGATGTTCAGCCACAGCGGGTCGCCGAATGCGCTGGCGGCCAGCAGTTTGCCAAAGTTGTGTTCGTAGGCCTCGCCGCCGTAAGTGCCGGTGCCGGGGACCAGCAGCACGGCGGTCTTGCCGTCGGCGCCAAAGGCAAAGCCCGCGGGGATGTACAGCGCGGCGCGGAGGATGTCTTCGGCGAGGGAGTAGGGGGCGTCCTGCTGCGAGACACCGGGGAAGAGGGGGGTTGGTGGATCGGGGTGCTGGTTCTCATGGCAATTGATGTTTTCTTTCTTCCGGAGGAACATGGTGAGAGTAGTATAATGGATTAATGGTAATGGATTCATGAACTGGACTATATAGCAGCTGAATGCGCGGATCTCGCCTGTGGCTGCCTGGCTGCCTAAATGAGGGCCGGTGGCTGAAATAGTGCATCTTGAGCCCTCAGCCAGCCACGGATAGATGGTTATAAGTATTCTATATATACACTATATATGTGGTAACTATTAATTCTTCAATATCTCAAGATGAACTTGCTCAACAAGGCCAAGAGCTACGCCCCCTTCAACCTCGATCTGAACAAGCTCTCTCTCTCCAAGGCCGCCGATGTGCCGGACAAAGACCAGATCCGATACGCCAGTTCGGCGGAGGTTGTGCCCCGGAACCAGGTCAAATTCCACATTGATGGCTGTGCCTATTTCTGGGCCGTGTCCGAAGCCCTCCAGGCCGCGAAGAAGTCCATCTGGATCCTCGGATGTATGTTTCTTGCTCGCCGCCAGACTCAATACTAACCACTGCAGGGTGGGTGTCGCCAGAGGTGTATCTCCGCCGGCCGCCGTCAGAGAATGAACAGTATCGGCTGGACCGGATGTTGCTGGCGGCTGCCCAGCGGGGAGTCAAGATCAACATTATTGTCTTCAAAGAGGTGACGCAAGTCATGTACCGTAAGTACTCCTACTTCTACTCCTCCGATTGCCACTTACAGGCCAAGTCTCGTCTAAACATACCAAAAACGCCCTGGAAGCGCTGCACCCCAACATCTCCGTCTTCCGATACCCAGACCATGTGCAGGGCGCCTCCAGCCTGCTCTCCTCCACCAAGAGCCTCTTCCAGAGCACCATGGCCGGCGGAACAGCCGGCCTGGGCAAGATCTCGGACGAGACGCTGTCCACCCTGTTCGCGCTCGCCGGCGGCCCGACGCTGCTCTGGGCGCACCACGAGAAGCTGGTGCTGTGCGACGAGACGCTCGCCTTTGTCGGCGGCATCGACCTGTGCTATGGCCGCTGGGATACCGTCCAGCACCCGATTGCAGACGCGCATCCGGGCAATCTCGATGCGATCGTGTTTCCCGGCCAGGACTACAACAACGCCCGCGTCATGGACTTTAAGCATCTGGACAGATGGGAGCAGAACACCCTCAGCCGGCTGACCACCTCGCGCATGGGCTGGCAGGACATCTCCGTCAGTCTGACGGGGCCGGTGGTTGCGGATATCTCACGGCATTTCGTCCAGCGCTGGAACTTCATCCACGGGTTGAAGTACAACGCCGGCCTCCGCACCCGGCAGTATGTTCCTCTTCAGACCTCAGCTGTACAGCCTCTACAGGCTGCGGCTGCGGATGTACAACCACCTGGCATGACGTGCCAGCTCGTACGGAGTGTGTCGCGATGGAGCCACGGCGTGGCAACGGAAAACAGCATCTACAACGCCTACCTCGGCATCATCGAGAACAGCCAGCACTACGTCTATCTGGAGCAGCAGTTCTTCATCACCTCCACGGGCAACTGGCTGGGCACCGTGTGGAACCGAGTCGGAGACGCCCTGGTGCAGCGCATCCTCCGGGCCGCCAGGGAGAAGAAGCGATACCACGTCATTGTCATCATGCCCGCCGTGCCGGCCTTCCCCGGCGATCTGCAGGCCCTCGTCGCCGGCCACCCGCCGCGCGCGATCATGAAGCTGCAGTACAAGTCCATCAGCCGCGGGGGGTTCAGCATCATGGACAAGCTGAAGCGTGCCGGCGTCGACCCCCACGAGTACATCTCCTTCTACAACCTGCGCACGTACGACCGCATCCGATCCGACAACGCCGGCGAGAGCGCCGCCACCGCCGCGGCGTATAACCAGGCCAGCCAGGAGCACGACGACATCGTGGACCCGTTCGGCCTGCGCGCACAGCAGGAGATGGGCGAGTTCGACGGCGTCGAGATCACCCCGGACCACGCCGCCTACAAGGCCTACCAGTCGCACTCGACGGGGCGCACCGACGGCGACTCCGTGAGCGCCTGCTACATGCTCGGGGGCGCGCGCATCGACGAGATCCCCGACCGCGGCACCGGCATCGACGCCTTTGTCTCCGAGGAGCTGTACGTGCATTCCAAGGTGCTGATCGCCGACGACCGCGTCGTGCTGTGCGGCTCGGCCAACCTCAACGACCGCTCGCTGCGAGGCAGCCGAGACTCCGAGATGGCCCTCGTCATCGAAGACGAGACGCCCCTCGACAGCCAGATGGACGGGCAGCCGTTCCGGGCGAGTCGGTTCGCAGCCACCATGCGTCGCTATCTCTTCCGCAAGCATCTGGGCCTGCTCCCGGCACAAGACATGCGCCGTCCGGATAGCCACTTCTCGCCCGCCCCAGGCCCGACAGAGTACGACTACGGCTCGGCCGAGGACCAGCTCGTGGAGGATCCGTTGAGCGATGCCTTCCGCACGCTCTGGCAGCAGACGGCGCAGACCAACACGCTCGCCTTCCGGAAGGTGTTTGCGCCCATGCCGGACGACACCGCCAAGACGTGGCTGCAGTATCAGACGCTCTTCTGGAAGCGCTTCATGGGGCCCGACGGCCTGCACATGGCGCAATGGGGGCATGTCGCCAAGAACAACTTTGCCGGCGGCGAGCAGGGGCTCAAAGAGGTCAAGCAGGAACTAGCCAAGATCAGAGGCTCGCTGGTCGACATGCCGTTGCAGTTTCTCGTCAATACCGATATCCAGATCGAGGATCCGGGCTACAACATCATCACCCGCCAGGGTTATGTCTGAGTACTGTATCCCTGAGACATCCATTTATCCATACGAGTTAGGGTTAGGGTTATCTTGTCAAATAAACCTACCCAACCTATATGTATACAAGTACTAGGTCTACGGCCTATATTGTAATTGTTACACTAATCTAGATTATGAAAGAATTATCTAGGAATTACTTAGGAATCACGCAGGAATAATTTAAGGTCAGTAAGGATGATAGAGGGAAGAAAAGGGGCGACTTTATGGACCCCCTAATCAGGGATAGCATTAGGGTTAGGGTTATCTTGGCGTGAAGAATAGAGTAAAGAGTTACCCTAATTGTCTATATCTATTCTTCCCAAAAGCGTCCTGTTGAAACAATTTTAATCTATCATGAACAATTTAAAACATGCAAAGAGAAAGGGGGTGTTTAGGGTTAGGGTTGTAAACCCTACCTAACCCTAGGGTTGTGAACCCTAGGGTTAGGTAGGGTTAGAACCGCATTGGCGTCCGAGTCGACCCACGACTCATATCCCAATAGAGCTCGGCAAAAGCGCCCTTTTCCTCCAGCAGGGCTGCCGGTGGACCGCGTTCCTTGATGCGCCCAGTCTCCATGACGATCACCTCGTCAAAGTCGACAATCGTATCCAGCCGATGCGCAATGGCAATCACGGTGTGCGAGGCAAACTCGCTGCGGATCAGCGACTGCATGATGCTGTCTGTTTGGCCATCGATACTGCTTGTCGCCTCGTCGAGGATGAGAATCTTGCCCTGGGGACGAACCATGGCGCGCGCAAAACAGAGCAGCTGTTTCTGACCAGGCGAGAAGGCCTCGGCCGTGATGGTGGCGTCCAATCCACCGAGGTTCTCGACGACCTTCCAGAGCTGAACTTTCTTGAGGGCGTCGACCAGGATCTCGTCGTCGATGCCGCCGCCCGGATCGATGTTGAGACGCACAGAACAGGCGGGCAGCAGGAACGGCTCTTGCGGGATGCAATTCAGCTGCGCCCGGAGCGGGTTGCGGTGGACCGTGGAGATGTCCAGCCCGTCGATGGTGATGGTGCCGCTGGTGAGCTCAAGCAGGCGAAAGAGCGTCGAGATGAGCGAGGATTTGCCACTGATTTGCCATGTGAGATTACGATACAACAGAGAAGCCGTCAAGACAGAAATCTACCTTCCAGAACGCCCACAGATGCCGACTTTGGTGCCGGGCTTGATCGAGAGAGAGATGTGGTCGAGCACTCGACTAGACGAGGTCCTATCATAATGATTAGCAGGGGAAGAATAGAAAGTCATGGTTCATCCGTACTTGTACGAGGCAACCACGTCGTTGATCTCGATGGCGCCATGCTGGGGCCAGTCGGCCGGGGGATCGATGGTTTCCTGCTCCTGGTGCTCCGACTCGACGGTGCGCTGGAAGTTGCGGATGCGCGAGACGGCTCCGATCGAGGTCTCGAGGACCGTCCACTGCATGATCAACCCCTGCAGGTTCTCCGTGAAGGTGACGATGTTCAGCAGGGCGACGCCGAGGAAGCCCGCGCTGAGACTGCCGCGCGTGGCGACGGCAACGCCCACCAGGACGACGGAGAAGCCCGCAACGAGCAGGGCGATGACCAGTTCGAGCCAACGTTGGATGGCGAAGAGCAGGTAGAATGGTTTCTGGCTGGAATTGACCAGCTTGGCGTTCTGCTGGCGGTACTGCGCCTCCCACTGGAAGCTGCGGATGGTGGTCAGGCCGTTGAGCGTCTCGAGCATGTGCGAGATCAGGGGCGCTTTGGCTTCGATGTCCAGATACCGGATCTGCCGCGAGGTGCGCAGATAGAAGCGCTGGACAAAGTAAAACGCCGCCAGACACACGGGGACTGTGGCGGCGATGTAGCTGGTCGACACGCAGATGACGATCAGCTGCGCGAGACAGGTGAAGAAGGTGAGGATCGTGTTGAGCACGGAGAGCGGCAGCTCCATGTCGATCAGCTGGAGATCCTGACTGAACCTGCGCGGCGTCAGTAAGTATCCGACTGGCTGGGAGAAGGCTATGGCTTACCGGTTGGTCGTGTTGCCCACATCTGTGGTGTGGAAGAAGGACATGGGCGAACTGCGTCTGTCAGTATATCTTCACGACCAGGTAGGGATGACAGACTCCAAAACACTCTTCAAGAGCTCAGCATGCATTGCTTTGGCTGCGCGAGCCACCAGGTTGGACATGAGATGCCTAGAGAGTTAGCAGGAGGTATCTTAGGGGAGGGTATAGTAGGCTAGGGTATAGTAGGGTAGGGTTATATCGGGGTTTAGGGTTAGGGTTAGGGTTAGGGTTATGATTAGGGTTTAGGGTTAGGGTTTAGGGTCTAGGGTTAGGGTACATACCAACAGGCTATGACAAGACTGATCACAGCCATGACGGCAATCATAGCATAGATACCCAGCCAGTATCCCAAACGTGCATTTGGATGGCTCGCATTCGCCGCCGTCCACCATTCAACCCAGATAGCTAGAAGAGTCAGAGTCGGAACCGTTGAGCAGGCCAGACAGCACGTACAGGGAAAGGTAACTCCAACCACATAGCAGCAGATGAAGAGGACAAAGACCAACGACCGCCAGATGCCCAGGATCTGCATGTAGTACCAGTAGACGGACATGTCGCCGGTGCGCCGGCCATCCTGGGGCGGCGGCGCTTCGAGCTCGAGGTCCAGGTTGGCCAGGGTGAGCGGCTGCTTGTGCTTGGGATCAGCAACGTCCTCCGTCATCTCCAGCTCGTCCTCGTCTGCATTGCCGTCCATGGCGCGTTTCTTGCCCTCTGGCACGGAGAGACTCTGGTGGATGTAGCTCTCCGGGCGCTCGACCAGCTCTTTGTACGAGCCTTGTTCGACAATGGCGCCGGATTTGGAGAGAGTGATGATGTGGTCGGCGATGGAGAGACGATTGACTGACACTCTGTTAGTCACTTATCCCATTGACTGTACCCAAGAACCTACAGCTGTTGCTGCTCATGACGATGGTGGTTCCCATGCGACGCAGCAGCCCACCGGGCATCAGCAGCGCATGGAAGATGGTGTCTTCCGTCGTGCGATCGAGTCCACTAAAGGCATCGTCCAGGATGATTGTCTCGGCACGCGAGTACACAGCACGCGCCAGGGCCTATACCGTCAATAGACTGTCATCTGCAATGTAAAGGAAAAGCTTACCACTCGCTGCTTCTGCCCACCGCTGAGCGTGGCACCTCCGGATCCCAGCGAGCCCTGGTCACCGTCGGGCTGATCCCGGATATCGTCGTCTAGAGCACACGCCTGCACCACCGTGTTGTACCAGTCCAGATCGAAGAGAGACTCGCCGAGGATGTTCTGCTGGATGCTGCTGTTTGTCAACCAGGGCACCTGCGCGCAGTACGCAATGGCGCCGGCCTCGACCTTGAGCCGGCCGGCGGCGAGGGGGGTCTCGCGGAGCAACATGCGGATAAAGGTCGACTTGCCACACCCGACAGGGCCGACTATCATGTTGAGCGTGCCCCGGTGGATCTCAAACGTGGCATTGTCGATGACTCGGGGTTTGGCCTCGTCCCAGCCGGCGCTGCGGCCGTGGGCGACAAACGCCGGGCCCGGCAGGGACTCATAGATGGGCAGGCCGTCATGACTGCACATGCTGGAAGCCTCCACCATCTGCTTCTCTTCCAGGGCAATCTCGTCGGTTGCAGACAACACTCCCGAGTCGGGGGTGAGGGTGGTGTTGCTGTTGGTGGTGCTGGGTGTGGCCTCGCGCCGGGATGGCTGGGCATCGTCGAACCGAGGATCCGACTGCAGGAAGAGATTGATGCGCTTGATGGAGCCTATCGCCGTCGCGATGCCCGTCACAGCCTCCACCAGGTTGGAGATTGGGGTGGACAGCAGCGTGAAGAGCGTCAGCGAGGTGAACGCGCGCGCAGTGGTGAGCGTCTCGTCGCCTTTGTGCCGGGCAATGAGCGAGTAGATGATGAATGAAGCCAGGGGGGAAATCGACACGTTGCTATACGCTGTCATAGTTAGCATAGCATAGCATTATAGCAGTTAGGTTGAGATAGGTGGTAGACTGCATACCCATTCCAACTACCAGGATTAACAGACGTCGGAACCGCTCAGACATGTAGACCTCGCTGACGCGCATGGTGTGGATGATGTGGTAGAGCTTGTCGGTCAGGCCGGCGGTGCGGACGCCCTTGACCGATGCCAGCACTCTGGCCGTGACATCGACACGCTTCTCGATGGCCTCCAGCCAGAGCTGCTGGCGAGGACCGGCCAGGGCGGAGATGAGCACACAGCCCAGCATGCACACTGCAGAAGATGAGGGCGAGGTAAGCCAGGGCCGAGAATGGGGTTGACGTACCGATCACCACGACGATGGGGGCGATGCTGGCGATGCCCAGCTGCCGCCAGAGCAGCCAGAGGGCAATGGGAATCTCAAAGAAACACGCCCAGGCGTCGTGGATGTACCGCAGGCCACTGGAGATACGTTCAATGTCCGCGTTCACCAGGGTGACGGGGGCGCTGGAGTCGATATCGCTGTCGCGCATCACCATGGTGTGACTGAACATCATATCCACCAGGCTGGCCCTCATCATGCCCACGACGCGGTAGGCTTGATGCTGAGCGAGGGCTGTAGACACCTACATTCATCAGCAAACAGTCGGATGGTTAGGACGCCGCCGAGAGCGAGAAGATGAGGGTAGGGTTAGGGTTAGGGACTCACTGCGATTCCTGTATAGACAATTGCAAAAGCGCCAATCAGGCTGTATCCCTGACTCATGGTGGAAGGCCCATCTGGCTCCTCGATCCAGGTAATGGTCGTGTCGACCAGGAATGGCTGTGCAAAGGTGAAGGCGATCTGCAAGGCCCGGGGCAGGACGCCCATCAACACAGGCACGGCGTAGTATCGCATCGACGTCCAGAGCAGGCTGTGCGGTGTCTTCCAGTTGCCTAGATGTGTCAACCATCTATATTCAGGGTTAACATTATGTTTTTAGGGTTACCTTGCCGCCAGAGCGTCTCCAGCCCGTTTGATCCGACGCCCGTCGCACACAGCTCATCTTCCAGCGAGGGCAATTGGGAGACCGTCAGATCGGTGCGATTCCCCAGCAGCAGCAGCGGATTGATCCACGTAAACAGACTCAGGCCCAGCACGCCCGAGGCCGTCTCCGGCGGCGGGTTCTGGTAGGCGCGTTTCAAGATGGAGTGCTTGGGGATGGTCTCCAGGATCAGCAGCACCCCCCGGAGACACAGATCAAGCGTGTAGATGATCGGGATGGCGCGGTTCGTCCTCTCGGTCTCGACAAAGTACAGGGTGCGGGCTTCGGCCAGCGAGAGCAGCGACGAAAGGAACAAATAGCCGCTGTTGATCGTCGGCGGCCGGATGGTACGCGTATGTTCATATTGCGAGAGCCCCCCGAGCACGACGGAGGCCAGCAACGACGTCACGGCGGCGCCGAGGGTCGCGCGCGTTCTCTTGGCCGAGGGCGATGCCCAGAGGCCGAGGAGGGTGAGTTGGAGAATGACAAGAACAGCATATCCGACCTGTAGATCAATCAATGTCTTGTTTCCAGGGTGGTGATGATGGGCATCCCCACCAGCTTCACAATATGCCAGTAGCCACCGTTGGTTTTGACGGTCTGCCGGCGCAGATGGAAGATCCGTGGCAGGGCCCAGAGGAGGAAGAAGACCGTCACGGGCAGCGTCAGGACAACCTCCTCAAAGAACAAGGTGAAGTCGAAGCCGTCGAGACACAGATCGCCGACTTGAGGCCCAAAGCGATCTTCCAGCGCGACGGAACAGGCCGTCGTGCGCGGACGAAGCCATAACGACGCCATCGGATATTGCAGATCGAATACAGACACCACAAGACAGGAACAAAAGGAACTACATAATAGGCAGCCAAGTACTTCCATTCTTTGCCTGGAGCCTCGCGCCGATTAGCGGGCGTTCCAGCTGCAAGGTGAGATTCGTTTTCGGGCCACGAACCCTGTCAGTAAGAGCCAGTAAAAGACGAGAAGCAGGATCATCTTGATGCACTAATGCACCCTCATCTCATTTTAAATAGCAGTTCTATTATTCTAAATATACCGCCGTATCCACGTATTCTCCTATGATTCGTCTTCATCCACAATCAGCCATCACCCCATCAACCCATCCAAGCCGGCCATATGCTGTGCTATCGCCAGCCCACGTTGGCGCTCGGCCTCCACATGGGCCCAGGTCCACGCTGCGGCTGCTCCGGCGCCTTGATCGAGTAGATCCTGACAAGGCAGAGGCAGCCGGTCACCAGCGGCGGCATCAGGGTCGCCTGCCAACCCCAGCTCCCGCAACACTCCGGCGGGGTCCCGGGTCTGACGGCCCTGCTTGAAGACATACTTGGACAGCGCCGAGGCAAGGATGCTGTCTTCTGTGATCTCCGCGGGCTGACGACCGCCCGGTTTCACAAAGTAGCTGACGATGTACACCCATTTCTCATCCCACGTCAGGACACGCGAGACGACCTCGTAGCGCTGGTAGGGTTTGATCTCGCGCTTGAAGATACACGCCACGCCGCCGAGGAGGAAGAGGAGCGGCCTGCGCCGGTTGCGCCGGCTGTAGGCGTTTTCGGGCGCCAGGTTGGCCCGGGGCGCCAGCGGGGTGATGGCGTCCTTGAACAGCACAACCAGGAGCTCGATGCGACTGATGTCGAGGTCGGCGTAGAAGGTGCTGTTGGATTTGTGCAGGTTGAAGTCGATTTCGTTGAGAGAGCAGTAGGAGCAGGTGCGCAGGGGGCGGAAGATGGTCGACGGCGAGGGTGTCTCCGTGATGGCGCTGTTGCGGCGCCAGACGAGATGTTTGACGAGAACAGTCAAGATACGAGCCTGTTCAGTCAGCAGGCATCACTCAACGAGAGATCAATAGCATAAGAAGACAGGAAACGAACATGCCACAGTCCCGGCAGGGCTTTGGGGTCGTAGAGGAAGAAGCCGACCACGGCGCTGAACAGGATTATAGAAAGCATTATGGAGTGAGTCGACTTGAAGGAGTCGACGTGAGGGAGGGAGAGTCCGGGATTATATAGTAGACAGTATACTTAGTCCGCCTTTGGTAAGCTGCTCGAATACACGGCCATATTAACCCTAACCCTAACCCTAACCCTGATCCTGTTATTTAGAAATTTGGTAGAATATGCCAGTAACCCTAAGAGCTTATATAGTATTGAATCCTTCTTGAATAGATGTTTGTATATCTATCAGTTCTGGCTAATATACAAATATATAATGGTGTGCTATGTATAAGCATGGGCAGCGAGGAAGTAAAGCAACCAAGAGATTAGACAGGGAAGCGCTTAAATTAACAGTTATTACTCAAATCAATGCTCAATCTATGCTAAATCAATGCTAAATCTATTGAATAAATGATTGAAAAAGGCTATCAAATTACTCTTTACTCTCTGTTATACAAATACCAATTTCTTGGCGTGCCAAGAGTGTTGATCCCAGGCGATTCCTAGGTAAATCCCTTAATGATTCCTTAACTAATTATCTAGATTAGTGTGAATAATTATGAATATAGGGCCATAGGTCAGGAGTGGCTGCTAATAGATAAGTATCTAAATAAGTATTATTATAGAGGGCTATAGGTCTAGAGTAGGTTAGATTATAGAGCTCTACTCTATAATATCTCAATTATAATAATAATAGTAGCGAGGGTTACGGGCTCGTATACTGTGAAAAAAATAGATAAGCATTTAGAATGATCTAAAAGACTAAAGTACACCCTCATATACCGCTTCTGTCAGTAATTCGGTATTATGGAGATAGAGTTGGAAAGATCATGCTCAGTTGAGGTTATGGCTACTATGAAGTGAACCCGACTTTATACAGTATAATATATAGAATGGATATTTAAATAGTTGATCAGCCTCAAATGATATATATCTATAACCAGTCTATGTGAGAAATCAAGTCTATAACTCGCATAATCAAAACACTTTCATCGCCTGAATCGTAGCCTCAATCTTCTGGAGGCCGTTACCCGCTGGATCAACATAGGCATCCCACTGCCAACATTAGCAATTGCAATAGGAAAAAACAATAGTAGGAAGGAAAACTCACCTCTTGGAGAACACCGTCAAGAGCGACAGAGCCGGTGACCCCGTGAACGAGCTCAAAGTACTCCTTGCTCAATTCGAACGGCCGGGCCGTCAGGTTGGGGATGTACTTGCCCACGAGGCACTTGGGATCCAGGGCATGGCTGTCGATCAGATCAAGCAGACAGCGGCGGAAGCCAGCCACGCCGGGCAGCAGCGACGAGGAATGGAAGGGCACGTCGATGCCGCGCAGGGGGATGGTTGCGCAGCCACGGGCCAGCGTGCGGACAGGCTTCATCTGGGCGACCTGCGCCTTGACCAGGGCGACGAGCTGCTCGGGGGATATCACCGGATGGGCATTGATCTGGTTGAGCACGCCGGTAAGACAGTGGAGGGCGTATATCTATTCATGATGTCAGCGGTGAGTTCGAGGAACGAGTCTCACGGGTCTGAAGCCATACCTGTCCGGCACAAACATATTGCAAACCCAAGACATTAAAGTTGACGACCTCGAGCAACTGGCCGGTCTGCGCGGCGACGGTGTTGACCACCAGCTGGAGAGCGTCCTGGCCGAAGCCCTTGGCGACACGGCTGGGATCGACGGCACACATGCGGTAGTCGGAGTTGCCGGCGGAGTCGCGGTCGACGGCGAACTGCATCAACAGGCCGCGATAGAAGACGACCTGGACGAGCGACTCGACGCTGAAGATCTTGCCGACGGCGCCGAGGGCGGAATACTCGCCGAGCGAGTGGCCGGCGTACGAGCTGCGCTCCGAGATGAGGCCGCGGGCCTGCAGATCGGCGAAGATGGCGAGCTCCATCAGCGTCAGGGCGGGCTGCGTGAACTGCGTGGCCGACAGCAGGCCCTGCGGCGCCGAGTACGTGTGGAACTCGGTCTCCTCGTCGATGTCCGGGAACAGCGGCAGCAGCTGGATGCTGCCGTCCGCCGCCACGCTCTCGCGCTTCATGCTGCGGTATTTGTCGCGGATATGACGGCCGCGGGGGCCGCCAAAGTGGACGGTCAGCTCGGTTGGGTCGTTGCGCACAATATCGGTGATGCGGAAGCCTGACCATTCAGGAGTATTAGCAGGAGACTTGGAGTAGAGTAGGTAGTAGAGTAGGGAGGGTTGGGTAGGCTAGGGTTAGGGTTTAGGGTTTAGGGTTTAGGGTTTAGGGTTAATCCTAGGGTTAGGTTAGGTTAGGTTACCGTAATTGTCTGAAAAGTAAGCGTCGGCATAGTCCCAGACCTGCTGGGCAGCCTTGCTCTGGGCATACAGCTGCATGCCCATGCCCTTCTGCTGGCTGCCCTGGCCGGTAAACAAAAAGGCGGTCTCTTCGGGCTCGATCTCGGCCTCCCCCCGGAGCACCGTCTCGCCGCGGCCGACGTGTTTGGCCTCGACGGCGACGATCTTGCGGCCGGCAACCATGCCGGTATGCTGGAAGACGACCTCGATCTCGTCGCCGGGGAGCACCATGCTGGTGAAGGAGCAGTGGAAGCTGCGGAAGCCGCCAATGGCCGAACCGCAGATGTAATGCTCGACGAGACCGCGCACGCGCGCCGAGGTGTACATGCCGTGGGTGATGAGGCCCGGCAGGTCGGCGTAGCGCGACAGCGAGGCGGAGACGTGGATGGGGTTGAAGTCCCAGGAGACGTGGGCGTAGGCCTCGTTGGAGGGCGGCATGGTGAGGATCATGGCGCTGTGGGAGTCGCTCGGCAGGGGGATGGGACGGTCGAACATGCGTCGCTTCTGGACGGTGCTGCCGTGCCGCTGTAGATAGTCCATGACGGGGTTGCCGCGGCAGTTGGTGTCGGCCGTAAAAGACACCGTCGCGATGGGCCGCGACCCCCCGGGCAGCGAGGAGTTGAGGCGCACGTCGCCGACGGTGGTGACGGCGTGGAAGGAGTCGCGGCTGGCGTAGCGGTAGGTGGAGTGCAGGACAAAGACCAGGGTCTGGTTCTGCAGATCGAGGGCCGGGTCGAGCAGGCGGAACCAGGGCTTGGACAGCAGCAGGGCGACGTCGATCGGGCTGGCGATGGTCAGCTCCATCTCCTCCTCGTCGACGCGGCGGAACATGTTCTCCCAGTCGACGTGGCGGCCGCCGCGGTAGAGGAAGCGGCTGCTCAGCTCCAGCACGACCTTGCCCTGGTGGTGGACCAGGGCGCGCACCTCGACCAGCTTGCCGGCCTCGTCGACGGAGATGGCCTGGATGCGCGAGGTGGTCTCGAGCACGCAGCCGACCTGGATGGGCTGCGCGTCGGGCGGCATGCGGAAGCCGTTGGTGAGATGCACCAGCGTGAGCAGGTCGACGTCCAGCTCGCGCGAGAACAGCGGCTTCATCAGCGCCTCCCACCCGATCACGACGCCAAAGTCCAGCGGCGCCGCCATCGGCTTGCCGCGCCGCTTGCTGGCCGCGTCGCTGGCGTTCTGCACGCACTGCGCAAACTCCGCGATCGAGTCCGCCGTCACCTCAAACTGCGACTCGCGGAACGTGTCGTGCACCGACGGCCACTGCGCCGGCGGCTCGCCGGGGAACCACACCCGGTAGTAGAACGCCTTGACCCGCTCGTTGCGGCCCTCCATGAGCTCGTGGATGGGCGCATACACGGCCTCGCGCCGGTGCTGGAACTTGAGCTGCAGGCCCGTCACCGCGTCGGCCGCCCCGGGCGTGCCGGCGTTGCGGTGGTTGATGATCTCCAGCGTGATAACCTCCGGCTCGTCCACGCGCACCTCGACCACCTTCACCGGCGGCGAGTGCGCCCGGTGTTCGAACAGCGTGATGATCGGCTCGCCCTGCGGACCCTTGGGCACCACCATCACGTACGAGCTGCGCGTCGGCTGGAACAGCCGGCGCAACGGGTTCTCGCTCATGGCGCGCCCCTGCACAATCACCGGCGTCGAGAAGAAGGCCTGCCGCCATCCGCCCTGCGAGCCCCCGAGCGCCGCCATCCACTGGCTGGGCGAGGCGGAGCTGCCGGTGCGGACGGCTTCATACAGGACCGCCCCGGTGTTGCCGACGGGCACGCAGTGGATGCCGGCTTCTGCCAACCGCCAGTCGGGAAGGGCGGTCTCGCGGCTGAAGCAGTCGACAATCGGCACGCCGTCCTGCTGGTAGTCCGGGTCCTGCTGCTGCAGACGCTGGATGAGGCCCTGGTGGATGCCGTCGAGGATGTCGCCCGCGGGCTCGTCCGCGACGGTCGTATGGCGCGCCGCCACGGGGCCGTGCAGGATACACAGCCGGCCGACATCGCCGTCGACGACGGCGGCGACGTCTTCCGACTGCCACAGCGAGTCCTTCTTGAAGTAGACCTCGAAGTTGTCGTCCAGCACGGGCACAAAGGGCACCGGTTTCTGGCCGCGCCGCTGGCACAGATGCAGGAAGAACTGCGCATCCTGCGTGCCGATGAGCTGCTCCTCGGCGAGCGGCAGCGTCTTGAAGACGGCCTCCAACGCCGCCACGGGCTCCCGGAGGGCGTCGATGCTGTCGATGGTGTCGACGGTGTCGATGGTGTCGATGCGCGCCTGCACGCGCTGCAGAAAGTCGAATAGGAACTGCTGGTACGAGCCGTCGATCCAGCGGCCTTCCGCCGAGACGTACGTCAATTCCACGAAGCGGCGCAGCACCTCGGCGTAGGTCATCTCCTCGAGGTCGACGACGGCGCCGTGGGAGTCCCGGCCGAACCAGACCCGGTGGGAGTCGGCGTTGAGACGCTGGATGAGCGAGTCGCGCTGTTTCTGCAGCTGCGCGACCCGTTTGCTGCGGTCGAGGCGGAAGATAGTCCGGTCCAGTTCGGACCATAGCAGGGCGCCGCGTGTCGCCAGCTGGTGGATGGGTTCGCCCATCTCGGAGGTGACGGTGACGATGCCCCCCGCGGGCTTCGTGTAGGTCTGCTCCCAGTCGGCCTCGTTGTCCACGCCCGGAGTGTCGACAATGGCCTGTTTGGCCGCCGGACTGGTGTGCGCCTCCCTGGCAGCCATCATGCGACTGCCCAGCAGGATGCCGTCAAACGGCATCGCCGGGCGGTTGTACCGGCGCGCCCACTCGCCCGTCAGGTACGGGTACGTGTCGTCGGCGCCGCCGAAGCCACTGCCGGCGACCAGGATGACGTTCTCGCAGCGGCGGATGGCGTTGTAGGACTGCAGGATGGGCTGGTGGAAGTCCTCGTACGAGTGGTGGCCGCCGCCACGGCCGCCCGTCCACTGCAGCACGATGGGGACCTCCGGATGGGCGCGAGCAATCTCCAGCACCTGGTGGATGGCAGGCAGAGACCCCGGTTTGAAGCCGATGTGCCGGAGTTCCAGCTCCTGGATGTACCGGGAGGCCACCTCGGGCGAGGGCACGCCCGCGCCGACGGTGAGGCCCTCGATGGGCACGCCCGAGGCGCGCAGCTTGGCGAGCAGCGGGATCTGCCATTTCACGGCGCTGGGAGCGGCGTAGATCAGATTGCAGGTGATGCCGCGACCCGCGGGCACGGCCGCCAGCAGCTGGTGGATCGCGGTCTCCAGCTGGGCGGCCTGGTAGAACCCGCCCAGCGCCAGCTCGACGTGATAGCCCGCGCGCATCACGGCGGCGCAGAAGTCCCAGGCGGCCGTCGTGGGCGTCATGCCGGCGACAATGACCGGCGGCAGGCCCAGCAGCCGGCTGAGCTTGGTGTCGACGAGCGTCGGGCCCCCGGCGATGTGCACCAGCCGCGGACGGTACTGCTCGCTCCAGACGGGGCCGTAGGTGAGGCCCCGGGGCCCGCGGTTCCAGTCGAAGATCTCGCTGCGGTCGCCCAGCTCGGCGAGCGGCCCGTGGGAGAGGGTGGCCAGGATGGTGCGCACGCCGGTGCCCTCCTTGAGGCGGTTGGTGAGGGATCCGATGCCCGAGCTGCCGCCGGGGCCGAAGTCGAGGATGTGCGAGGCGGCCGGGAAGTGGGTGGCCTTGGGCCAGACCAGCTCCTGCGCGGTGATCATGGCCACCAGGTCGGGCACCAGGTTGGCGGCGCCGCGCAGGCGCAGGTCGGCGCCGGAGCGGGTGCAGAAGACGGGGATGCGCAGCTGGTCGCCGGTGATGGTGAAGCCGGACACGCGCTGCAGCACGTCGGCCGCCACGTCGGCCAGGTAGCTGCTGTGGAAGGCGGCGGTGATGGGGAGGAAGCGGTTGTGGATCTCGGGCTTGCGCTGCGAGAAGGGGATGCGGTGCTGGGCGCCCTTGGCGGGCGCCTTGACGGCGCGCAGCCAGACGTTGAAGCCGTGCAGCGACAGCGGCGGGCCCGCCAGCACGGTGTTGGTCGGGCTGTTGATGAGCGCGATCTCGATGCGGGCGTCGGCGGGCAGGTGGCCGTTGACCTCGGCGACGTATGCGCGCAGCTGCGCCAGCGGGCAGTCGGCGACGCTCAACATGGGCCCCGGGAAGCCCTCGGCGTGGGCGTCGGCGTCGGCGACGATGGCGGGCGGCAGCTGCGCGACGGCGAAGTGGTCCTGGCTGGCGGCGCCGATGGCCAGCAGCAGCCGCAGCGCCTCGAGGGCGAGGGTGTCGAACTGCGTCCACGACTGCGCGACAGCCGTGACGGCCGCGGCGATGATGCCCTGCGAATGGCCCGTCGTGCCCGCCAGCGCCGCCTGCAGCTGCGCCGGCGTGGCGTCGACGATGCGGCCGACGACGCGGTACCAGGCCAGCTGCAGCAGGCCGATCAGCGGCATGCTGACGGGGGCGCCGACCAGATAGGCGGTCTCCGGGGTGCGCTCCGGGTGCTCCAGCCAGGCCAGCACGTCCATGCCGCCGTGGTAGAAGCGGCTGGTCTCCGTCTCGAGGGCCTCGCGCTGCAGCATGCTCGACGCCGCCAGGATCAGCTCCTCGACCAGCGGCCGGTACGTCTGCCACAGCGTGCGCAGCTCGTCAAAGTAGCGCTCGTCGTTGCCCTGCCCGCCGAAGACGGTGTACAGGCGCGCCTTGCGCTCCTGCGCCGCCGCCAGCAGCGCCGAGCCCGCCGGGGGGCGGCTCACCCGGCGCAGGGCATGGCGCGCCCGCACGTACGCGGCGAGGATGGCGGACTTGGCCTCGGCGGCGGTCTCCTCGAGGGCGTGGACGACGCCGTGGATCTCGCGCCCCTGCAGCACGTCGCGGTCGAAGGTCTCCATGGCGATGGTCAGCAGCAGGCGCAGCTCGTCCTTGAGGCCCGTCGGCTCCTGCTCCAGGCGGTGCACGGTGAAGCCGATGAAGCGGGCCCAGAATTCCACCAGCGACGACAGGGCGGCGGGATCCCCGCCCCCGCCCCCGGATTTCTGGAGATCGTGGAGAAAGTCATCGCGCAGCTGCAGCGCCGCGGGGAACGAGGCGCTCGTCACGGACAGCGACTGCTCCCAGCGGCCGCAGGTGATGGTGAGGATCTGGCAGGTCGACGGGTTGGTGGCCGAGGCAGACGCCGACATGAACTGCTCTGGCCGACACCAGGACGAGCTCGACGACGAGGACGACAAGGCCCGCGCGGGGGGGAGATCAACCGTCGAGATCAACATTGGGCTTCAGGCTACCACGTAACTGCAACATCCACGCTGCCATTTCTGTATTTAAAGCGCTAACCCTACCACCTTCAACAATTAACACATCTGAACAACCCTAACACGATCTCAGACCGCGTCTCCGCCCGAGCCGCTGCAAGGGGCGGCCCCTTGCCGCACCGTCATGCCGAACCCTAAGCGGCTCACCTTGCAGCTGACCTTGCATGGCTCATTTTGCATACACGTCTAGAGTAGACAGTACGGAGTATTGATAGAATTGGCATAATACAAGACACATATCTTAGTCACTGAGTATTACAACCTGGTGGTCATTGCCTTATATTCTGACTTATACTGTTTCAATTATTGGTTTGCAATGCTGTATTATTACTAGGGTTAGTGCTATATTCCTACTAGTTAAGATGCATCTATTAACCTGTTAATATTGTATAGCTGTTGCCTAAATATACTCATACTCTATACTTATACTCTATCAGTATACTTGAGAATTTAATTATATAAAGTACACTACATATTAAATTATGCTGTTTAGTATCTTAGTCACCAACTATTACCACCTGGTGGTCATTCTGACTCACTGATTAAAACTATGGTTGCAAAGAACAGTATATTTACACTAGGGTTATAGTGTTATTCTAAACCCTAAACCCTAAACCCTAAGGTACACTTATTAAGTTCTAGCTTGAGCTGCTTTAAACTACTATTTTCCCTTAATTAAGATTCATCTAGATAGATAGTTAACATTCTCATAGCTGTCTCACAATGAAATATTGAATATAACCTACCTAGTGTACAGAGTACAGAGTAATCTATACGTACTCTGTCTGTACTCTACTGTAATGTACAGCTTTATTCATTGCATTGATTAGCCAATCTGGCAGCCTCCATTCGCCCGATGGGGCCATTAAGAGGGGCAAGGTACTTTCAACAAAGCGGAACTGAATCCTATGCGCAGTAAGACAGGCTACAGGATTCTACTCCGAACCACATACTACATACTACATATGATCAACCCCTGCTAGTGCTGCAGCTCCGGCCATGGCCACCGAGGCTATCCTGGACACGGCAGCCTAAATGCCAACTAAAAAAAGCAGCCCGCTGGCCAGGCAGCGTCATTCGCGATCCGGCCAGGCGACTGTCAAAGATCTGCGGTCTTGACAGGATAAAAGAATGGCTCGACCAGCAGCAATGGGTGAATTCTCCTGCTCATTCTAAACACATTCAATCTCACCAGCTATCATGGGTTGGCCAAGCCACTGCGGTAAGCGATCTGCTATCCGAGATATACTCCAAGAAGCTGACAGAATAGATCTCTCGAGTTCCAACGCTCAGTACGATTACTGCGCCAATGGCCCGGCCGCCGTGCTCTTCTCGGTCCTGTTCGGGCTCACCTTCATCGCCCATCTCATCCAGGCGATCGCCTACCGCAAGCGGTTCTGCTGGGTGATCGTGATGGGCACCGGGTGGGAATGTCTCGGCCTGATTATGCGCACATACTCGACCATCAACCAGACCAAGTCGACCACTGCCAGTGCCGGACAGCTGCTGGTCCTGCTGGCGCCGCTGTGGGTGAACGCCCTGGTGTACATGGTGTTTGGCCGCATGGTCTACTATTTCGTGCCGGATCGGAAGGTGATGGGCATCCGGGCGGAGAAGCTGGCCAAGATCTTCATCTGGCTGGACGTAACGTGAGTCTCATCTTTCTTTCTCTATACACGCGGTCTAACAATGTAGGTCGTTCATTGTGCAAGCGACGGGCGGCGTCATGGACTCGGACTTTAGCGATGAGATGGACCGCATCGGACTGCACGTCTACACGGGCGGGATTGCGCTGCAGGAGCTGTTCATCGTCTGCTTCTGCTTCCTGCTGTTCTCCTTCCACAAGCGCATGCGCGAGGGAGGCGGGATGATGGATCGCGGACGCACCTGGCACACAATGGTGATGGCCATGTACGTCACCTTGGGCTTCATCACGGTAGGCAACCATCCTTGCAGACAGCAACAGTGTCGCATTCGCTAACTCTTCAGGCTCGAATCATCTACCGGCTGGCCGAGTACGCCGACACCAACACGGCCGGCACCAGCCCGCTGACCACCAACGAGGCGCCCTTCTACTGTCTGGAGTGTGTGCCGATGCTGGTCGCGATGGTGATCTGGAACTTCTGGCATCCCGGCCGCTATCTGCAGGGCGAAGACAGCGAGTTCCCCAAGGAGATCAAGCTGTCGCGCAAGGAGAAGCGGCGCCGCAAGCAGGAAGAAAAGGAGCGCAAGAAGCGTGGTCGCCGCCGCTCGTCCAGCCGCAAGAGCACCCGCAACGTCGAGTACCAGCGGGCGCATTCGAGCGAGGAGACGCGCCTGGAGGAGGGCATCGAGCATCAGTATCCCCCTGGCAGGTGGTGAGATAGTGGATGAGAGATGATATGATAGATGATAGATTTATATCTTGTATAATTGCATCCTGGCACGCACCCGCGCACCCTGGAGTCATGGAATGAATGATCAATAAGCACCTGCTGTAAACGGCCGTTTCTAGTATAACAATAACAACAATAGGAGAAAAGAATCGTCATCGCCCCCCCATACAGGCGCTATGCAGCGGGGTCTGGCCGTCAAAGTCGCGGAGCTCCAGCTGCGCCCCCGCCTGCACCAGAATCTCAACCAGCTCTTGATGGTTGGCCTCGCATGCCAGATGCAGCGGCGTGCACCCCCACCAGTCCTGCGCGTTGACCGCGCACCCCGGGTGTTCGAGCAGGACGTGCACCACGGGCAGATGCTGCGACTGCACCGCCAGATGCAGCGCCGTCTCCCCCGTGCGCGTTACCTGGCCGATCTGCTCACCACCGCTGCCACCGCCGCTGCCACTGCCACCGCCGCCAGCGTGTCCAGCGCCGCCGCCGTGGCCCAGCAGCAGCTGCACCACCCTGGCGTGGCCCTGCCGCGCGGCCAGATGCAGTGGTGTCAGGCCCGCGCTGTCGGGCACGGCAGGATCCGCCCCCGCCTGCAGCAGCACGGCAAGGACAGACTCGTGGCCATGCAGGGCGGCCCGATGCAGGGCCGTCTGCCCGTGGGGAGCCGCCGCGCTGCCGGCTTCCGGGGTCACGTGAGGCGTCTGGAGCTGGAGCAGCGGGGGAGCCACCCCCTCCGCTCCCGCTCCCGCTCCCGCTCCGGCTCCCGCTGACGCCGACGCCGACGCCGACGCCGACGACGCCGACAGCGGGTCCGAGTCTGGGGACGGCAGCGCGTGCGGCGCCACCGCGGGGGAACCCACATACACCGGGTCCAGGAAGGGGGTCTCCAGCCCGAAGAAGGGCCGCTGCCCGTCCTCCTCCAGGGCGGGCGTCCAGGGGGTCCCGTCGAAGCCGAGCGAGTCCATCGCGGTCGTGTACAGATGGAGGTTGGCCGTCAGCGGCGGCAGGGGCTGCTGCTGCACCAGGAGTGGATGTGAATACCCCTGCGGAAGTTGTATCGGCGTTGGAGGGCGATGGGATGCATTCCGCGGAGGTTTGGGCCGCTCCTGCTGCGGGGGGGAGGGCAACGGGCCGGAGGGGGGTTTGACAGCGCCATCGGTGCTGTTCTCCTGTGCTTGAGCGCTGTCCTTTTCCTTGCGCTGTCCTGCAAAGCATCAGCATTCTTGTCCTGCCAGGCTGACGGCCAGGCTGCCGGGACTCACTGCGGCGATACCCCCGCTGGGCAATGCGGTTCTGCGCTCGACGACGCTCCACGGGGTCATTGATATTGGCCCAGTTCTCGCCCACAACACCCACGGCACTAGGTCATGACGAGATTAGGTTCCAGCTCAGGACACTCCCAGGGGAGCCAGTGGGTGGGGAGCACCGACGTGATCATGGCAGACACAGGCTTTCGACGCTCACTGGGCATGCAGACGGCCAGCAAAAGGCACGGAAGGAGATCAAGCGGGGCGGGTCACTCAGGCGTCGCACGACAGTCTCCGCCATGATCCCTTTTTCTCCTACTCGACCTTCCATGGTGGCCGATCGCGTATTTAAGATCGACGCCTGGCTGCCCTTGCTCGCGGCAAAAACCCGAGAGGCGCGAGCCCCGTCCGGTGTCTTACAGGACACGAGCAGGAAAACGAATAAAAATGATTCAAGCAGAATCGGGCCAAGTGAGTGAGGAGATGCTGATGTGCATATCTGGGGAGGGGGCCAAATAAAGGGGCAATAGACGGGAATCTGGTAGCAATAGGCGATTGTACCAGGGTCTATACGCTGCCCATAGGCCCGTCCAGTGCATCCGGCCGACATAGACGCGTCAACGCTCCTAATCGGAATCCATCCGCCAGAAATGACGGGCTATCAGTTGGGTATAATTGTCCACTGTTCACTTGATGGACTACTTGGTAGACTGCACACAGTCCTGACTGTTACGGCTTCCCTGTTGCCACGATGTTGCCACGAGTCATTTTCCCTGTTGATCACACCATAGACCCCTGCAAGGCCTGGCCGGGGATCCAGGGAGCGCCCCCATCGCCCAGGTCCAGGACGTGTTCCGATGGGCATCCGGGCCACGATGGTTCAAACAAGGAAGAGCATTGCATGGCGGAGTAAGCCCTGGCTAGATGGATTGAGGAAGCCCTGGTCAAGTGGATTGAGGTTATTTCCGAGTAAGCAGTAAAGCATATGTAGTATAGATATTTATATATAGAGATATGTATATATAGAGATATGTATATATAATGATAATTAAGTGCTTAAGCATCTGCTTATCTGCGGGATACAAGACACTCAAGGACAGTCTGAAGTCTCTCCTCTACGGTCTGCTTCTTGCTTATTCTAACTAAGCAATTAATCAGCAATTAATCAAGGAACTAGTCAGGCAACTAATTAAGCGACTAACCAACGCAGCTAATCAGGCAGATACGCCGTAATTAAGCACCTCATTAAGCAACTAATCAGGCTGCGCCCTCCTCGATTGATTCGTACGTTAATTCTCTAGTCACTCCTTGGTTGATCCTTGCCGGGATGTTTGCCAGGCTAATTTCCTGACGATCCCAGGAGATTGTGGTTGATAGAATAGTTGCCTGGCTAGTGGTATAACTAGTCACAACTGCTTTATACGCCTCTGAATCGGGCTCTATGGAATAACTTGATCACCTTGCGTTTCTGGTCCCCATTTGGCCTAGACATCTGTCTATTAATAGACTATGAGGGGTGTACAAATGCATATACAGATTGAACACAGAATTGATAGATATTGAATAGATATTGATAGATATTGAATAGATATTGATAGATATTGAATAGATATTGAATAGATATTGAATAGATATTGAATACAAGGAATGCAAGAATGGCTATGGATAAATCAGAGCCCGATAGTCCGTTTGAGAGCTAATTTCATGGCTGTTCAATTTGGCCCCCAACCAGCAGGATTCGGTGCTAATGCGAAGAAGAGTGAGAATAAGAAAGAGAAGAATAAGAGTAGAGACGAGGATAAAGAGGAAGCAAAGAGACTCAATGTAAACAGATCGAACTAGACACTATTCCAATGCACCTCATGGTTTGAGAGGAATCCCCCCATGGAATGGAGAGAGGAATGCTGCGCCAGCGTCTCCAGATGGACGGCTCGTGGCAGGCCGTGGTTCTGGCGCATCTCGGCCAGCAACTGGGCCATCTGCACCAGATCTCCCCCCGCACGGAAGAAGTCCACGTCGCCCTCGTCGTCGTCGTCGTCCTGGGCGGCTGCCGCGGTGATGGACGAGGGCAGCACGGCGCGCCAGGCATCCTGCACCGCCGCGCAGACAGCCCCAGCCGGCCGTGTGCCCGTCTCTGGTTGCACCACAGCTGCATGCACTAAGGGCAGCAGCGCGGGCGACAAAGGGTTGGCTTCGTAAGCGACGGTCTGGTCGAGGGGCAGCACGGCCCACGAGCCCAGCAGCAGGCTCAGCTGATCGATCAGCAGCTCGCTGGCCAGGGCCGGCATCACGGCCGTCGAGGTGACGAGGTCCAGATCGACGTAGTGCTCGCCTGCTGGTGTCGAGAGCAGCGATACGTCCGTCAGATCGAGCTCCGCGCCCAGGAAGCCCGGCTCGTAGAGCGCCGGGGGGTCGCCGCCGCTGCCGTTGCTGCTGCCGTTGCTTAGAGCGATAGACCGGTCAGGCTCGATGTTCTGGTGCTGGACGACGCTGCTAAAGTGCGTCCAGCGCGGCCAGGTGGTGCACTCGGTGATGATCTGGCGGAAGCCCACGGCCTCGTAGGGCATGTTGGCGACCTGCTGCTGCTGGAGGGCGAGCAAGAGCTGGAGCACCGTCTGGCCGGGCTGCAGCTGCGCGCGGACGGGCACGACGTTGAGACAGGGGCCGACGACGGCGTCGACACCCGGCAGCGAGGCCGCATTGCGGTTGGCCGTTGTGTTGCCAAAGGTGACGTCGTGGTGTGCCGCCAGACGGGCCAGGAGCACCGCCCACGCGGCCTTGACGACGGTGGCCGCCGTGATGCCGTGCTTGGGGAGCGGGTGCACGGGGATGCGCGTGCGTCTGACATGCAGCACGGCGTCGTTGGCGGGGTCGCGCAGGGCCGGCTTGGAGTAGGACACGAAGCGTGTCTCGGGGGCCCCCGCCAGGAGCTGGCGCCAGTGGGCGAGCGCGGCGTTGGGATCGGCGGGCGTGGAGGCCTCGAGGAAGTGCGAGAAGGACGGCGTGATGGGCAGCGGCAGACCCTGGCAGGCCCGCTGGAGGGTCTCCCACAGCGTCGGGAGGGAGACGCCGTCGTACTGGGCGTGGGAGAGACGCATCAACAGCCGGTGGGAGACGCCGTCGGGGTGGACGGCAAGCACAAACCGCACGTAGGGCTCCGAGAGATGCAAGTCCCCGGCAACCCCGTCGGCGTAGAGAGTCTTGGTGAAGGCGTCCACGTCGGAGGTTGTCTCGACGCGGAAGTTAGGCTCCAGCTCGCGCAGCACGACCTGCCAGAAGCGGCCGGCGTGCTGGGCAAACACGGTCCGGAGGATGTCAAAGTGCTGCACCAGGGCGTGGCAGCCCCGGCGGAGGTTAGCCACGTCGGGGGCTCCGGGCCCGTCAAAGTAGAACCAGTTGAGCATCCACCGCGAGCTGGTGAGGTGGCCGACCAGGGCGAGGTCCTGGAAGTCGGTGGTGGGCACGACCGCCTCGATGGCGCCGGCGCCGACGCCCACCTGGGGGGCCACGGCGGCAGCCAAGGCGAGATCCAGCATGCCGGCGGTGGTCTTCTCCTTCTCGGGGGGTGTCGCGCTGCCCGGGGTGGGCGGCAGCACCTGGGCGGAGACATGGCGGGCGAGGTCGGCCAGGACGGGGTGGTTGAAGAGGTCGGCGACGTGGAGGGCGAGCTGGGCGGCGCGGGCGAGACTGACGACCTTCATGGCGATGATGGAGTCGCCGCCGAGGCCGAAGAAGTTGTCGTCGCCGCCGATCGAGTCGACGTCGACGGCGAGCACGCCGGCCCACAGCCGGGCGAGCTGGTGCTCCAGCGCGGAGACGAGCGGCCGTTTGGCGATGCTGGCCCCGGCCAGGGCGTACGTCTGCCGCTGGGCGTCCGACAGGGCGTTGACGACGCGGGCGAGCGTGCGCCGCTCGGTCTTGCCCGCGGCGCTGGTGGGCATCCGCCGCAGCGGCACAAACAGCGACGGCACCATGTAGTGAGGCAGCCGGCTTCGGAGGGAGGCCTGGAGGCTGAGCAGCGACTGTTCCAGCTCCGGCGTGAGCGGCACGACCAGGTCGGCGGGCTCGATGGCGGCGGAGATGGGTCCGGACTCGTGGTAGAGGTACATGACGAGCAGCTTCTGGCTGTTGACGGCGACGCTGTCGACCATCGTATACTCATCCTCCGCCAGCTGCGTGCGGATGTGGTGCTCGATCTCGCGCACCTCGATGCGCCGGCCGTAGATCTTGATCTGCGTGTCGGCGCGGCCGAGATACTCGATCTGGCCGCCGGGCAGGTACCGCGCCAGGTCGCCGGTGCGGTAGACGTGCTGGAAGTCCTCGAGCGGTTGGATCTGCTCCATCCAGGCGAGGCCGCTGAGCAGACTGGCCGTCGTGGCGTTGCGGTTGTTGAGGTAGCCCTGGAACAGGATGGGCCCTTCGATGAGCAGCTCGCCGACACAGCCCAGCGGCGTCAGCCGGTTGAGGTTGTCCGCGTCGGCAATCCACAGGCGACACCCAACGGGCACGCCGATGTTGGTGAAGCGGTCGTCGGGGCGCTGGAAGGTGCCCACGGAGCACCACACCGAGGCCTCGCTGGGGCCGTAGGCGTTGATCAGGGCCGGGACCTGGCCGGCCCAGGTCTGCAGGTTGGCCTCGGTGGGACACTCGCCGCTGAGCACCAGCGTCTGCAGCTGCGGACACACCTCGGCGGGCTGGATGAGGCCGGCGACGGTGGGCGTGAGACAGGCCCAGGTGGCGCCCAGGCGGCGGATGGCGCCCGCCAGGTCGTTGAGGCGGTCGTGCTCCGACAGGATGCAGACCGTTGCCCCGAGCAGGAGAGGCGCAAAGATCTCGCCGTAGCTGATGTCGAACGTGTAGGCGGCGAACTGCAGCACCCGCGAGTCCGCCTGCAGGTGCAGCGCCGGGCTGAACGAGGCGATACTCGTGCAGATGGCGCGGTGCGAGATGACGACCACCTTGGGCTTGCCGGTGCTGCCGGAGGTGAAGGTGAGATAGGCGGGCATGGTGGGATCGACGGCGATGATGGGAGCGGGCGTTGTCGCAGCCGCCGTCGGAAGTTGAGCGGCACTTGTGGCATCCACCACGACGACATGCTCGACCCGCGGCAGCATCGCGGCCAGCTCGGCGTACGGCCGCATCGCCAGGACGTGGTGCAGGCCCGAGTCGGCGACAATCTCCGTCAGACGCGCCGGAGGGTGCTTGGGATCCAGCTGGACACAGGCGCCGCCGGCCTTGAGCAGGGCGAGCAGGGAGACCACCGCCCAGCGGGACTTGTCGAACATGACGCCGACGGCGGTGCCCGGCTGCAGATCGAGGTTGATGAGGACCCGGGCGAACTGCGACGAGAGTCCGTCGAGCTCGGCGTAGGTGAGATCGCCATCCCAGGCCGCCAGGGCGACACGCTCTGGATGGCGGCACACCTGGGCCTGGAACAGCTTGTGTAGGGTGCTGTAGACGGGGGCCACGGGGGGGCCCATCCACTGAAGCAGCTGGGAGACATCCTCCGGTCCGCTCAGCGTCAGATCGCCCATGCGGGTGGTGGCCAGCGGGAGTTGGCAGAGCTGGTGCACGATGTTCTCAAAGTGCTGCAGCAGCCACGACATTTGGTCCGGTGCGATGATGGCGTCGTTGTAGCGCACGTCGACGGTAACCTCCGCGGTGCCGCCCAGCTCGCACTCCACGAGCAGGGGGTACGTTTCGAACTCGTAGTTGTCGGCGTTGTCGACGAGCTCCAAGGCGAGGCCGTCATCGCTGTCTCGCTCCTCGTCGAGGGTCGGCTGGATGACGAACAGATGCCCAAAGTCCACCATGTCGGAGGATGCGGCGGGCAGCAGACGTCGGATGTTCTGCAGTCCGACCTGCTCAAACGGCGCCATGGCCTGGCCCTGCTCCTGCACGCGGCGGAGGAAGTCGGCGATGGTCTCGTCGGAGGTTAGCCGGACTCGAACGGGCACTGTGGCGATGGTCGGGCCCATCATGTCCGACACGCTCCGGAGGGGAACCGTACGCCCGGACAGGACATGGCCGAAGATGACGTCCTCGGAGGTTGTGTAGCGGCCCAGCAGGAGTGCCCAGGCGGCCTTGAGGATGGTTGGCGTGCTGTACGGCACGGCGGAGGCTTGCGGGCCCAGGGAGAACTTCCGGGCCTGTGTGCGGTTGGGCCGCGGAGGTTGCGACGCTGAGGACAGCCCCGGGGGTGGGAACTGGGCAGGCAGGTCGCCGTCTAGCTGTCCACGCCAGAAGGCATCCGACGCCCCGGGCTCGACGGTGCTGTCCACCATGTACCGGATGAAGCGGCTGTAGGGGGCGGCGGGGGCCAGGGAGTCCAGGCCGTGCAGGTAGATGGCCTTGGCCTCGGCGAACATGGACGACTCGCTCCAGCCGTCGTACACGGCGTGGTGCGCCGTGTGGATAAACACCGGCCGCGGGTCCTCCGGACAGCTGCCGGCGGGCAGGATACCGAAGCGCATCAATGCCTGGCCATGCACCATGGGCGCGAGCTTGTCGGTGGCGAGGTACGCGGCCACGGAGTCGTCCGTCTGCCACTGCAGGGGTTCATTGACCACCACCTGGAAGGACTGGGTGGTGAGGGAGTCCGGGGTGTCGTGCAGGATGATCCGGGTGCGCATGATGGCCTGGCGCTCGGCGAGCAGGTCCCAGGCCTGGCGGTAGCGGTCGAGATCGATGTCAATGGGCAGCCGGTAGACGGCGCGCGAGACGTACGCGGTCTCGTCGCGCGCCGTGAGCGCCATCAGGGCTTCTTGGGATGGCGTACAGGGGTAGATGTCCTCGATGGCCTCGAAGGGGATGGCGCACTGTGCCGTGGCCTGGTCCTGCAGCTCCGAGACCTGCTCGGGGGGCACCAGGGCAAACGGCGCGGGGACAGAGTCGTCCATGGCCTCCATCTCCGAGGCGCGATCCGCTGCCTCGGACATCTTGGCGAGGGTCGGTGACTCGCCAATGTCGGCGAAGCTGAGCGGCAGGCCGATCTTGTTGGCCGCTGCGACGGCCTTCATGGCGGCGACAGAGTCGCCGCCCAGGTGGAAGAAGTTGTCGTCGACGCCGATGACGGTCGCGCTGGTGGTGCCCAACACCTTGGCCCAGATCTCGGCCAGGGCGATCTCCGTCGCGGTAGTGGGCGGCGACGACGTCTTGGCCACCGCCGTCAGGGCGTACGTGCCCAGAACCTCCGGGCTGAGGCCGTTGCCCACGGTGCGCAGGGCCTTGCGCTCCAGCTTGCGCGACGGGTTGACGGGCATGTGTGAGACGGGGATGAAGAGCTGCGGCACCATATGGCGCGGCAGCGAGGCCACCACATGGGCGTACAGGTCCAGGAAGCGTTCCTGGCGGTCGCCCTCGTGCAGCGGAAGTAGGAAGTTGTCCGTATCCTCGCTGACGGCGTCGCTCTCACAGATAAACGCCGTCAGGATCTTGAGGCCGCCGCGCGACTTGGGCGTCAGCACGTCGACGGCCGCCTGGTGCGAGGCGTCGGGGAAGGCGCTGCGGATGCGGTGCTCGATCTCGCCCATCTCGATGCGCTGCCCGTGCAGCTTGACCTGCGTGTCCTTGCGGCCGAGGAACTTGATCGTGCCGTCCGGGTTGTACTTGGCGAGATCTCCCGTGCGGTAGATGCGGCTGGGCGGGAGGTGCGAGGGCCACCACGCCGGAGGTTGGATAAACGCCGCGGCGGACTTTACCGGCTCGTTGAGGTACTCGCGGCCGACAATGGGGCCCTCGATCAGCAGCTCGCCGGGGGCGCCGATGGGCACCAGCCGGTCGATGTTGTCCGGGTCGGCGATCCAGGTGTTGCAGCCGAGTCCGCGGCCGATGTTGGTGGGATCGCCCAGCGTGGCCGTGTCCAGGTTGCAGGTGCTGGAGACACAGCACTCGCTGGGGCCGTAGGTGTTGATGATGCGCTTGACGGAGCCTGCCCACATCTTGATGACCTCCTTGCTGAGCGACTCGCCGCCCAGCGCCAGCACCTCGAGCGTCGGGATGCTGCTGGGCACCAGGAGACTGGCGACGGTGGTCGTAAGTTCCGACCACGTCACCCGGTACTTGGCCATGGCCTCGCCGAGGCTGTTCATGCGCTCCGTGTCGCTGGGCACGCACACGCAGGCCCCGAGCATCAGCGAGCCGATGATCTCCTCGAAGCACACGTCGAACGTGTACGCCGAGAACTGGAATGTGCGCGTCTCCGGACCCATCCCCATGGCCGCGCTGTGCGCCAGCAGGCCCGTCACCAGCGAGCGGTGTTCCAGGATGCTGCCCTTGGGCTTGCCGGTGCTGCCGGAGGTATACACGACCAACACTGCGTCGCTGGGCTTGACGCGGTGTGTCGGAGGCGTCTCCGGCGTGGGCAGCGAGTCGAGATAGGCGGCGTCCACGGGGAGGATGGCGCCGGCAGGCAACGACAGCGTCGACAGTTTGGCGGTCGACTTTTGGTCACACAGCACCAGCTGCGCCTGGAGGTCGTCCATGAGCATCTGGATCCGGTCCTTGGGATGCTCCGGGTTGAACATGCAGGATGCGCCTCCCGCCTTCATCACGGCCAGCAGGGCCACGATCGTCCACGAGCACTTGTGGAACACCAGCGGGATATGCATCTCCGGCTGCACGCCGCGCTCGATCAGCACCATCGCCAGCCGGTTCGCCAGCTCGTTGAGCTCGCGGTACGTGAGCTCGACGTCAAACGATGAGATCGCCAGGGCGTCGGGTCGCAGCCGGACCTGTTCCTCGAACTGCTCATGCACGCATGAGTCGACAAACGCCGGCCGGTCCGCGTTCCACGCCAGGATCTGCTGCAGGTCCTCGGCGCTGATGGTCTCGTCCATGTTCTCGGGCGTCTTGTCGACGTCCTCGGCGGTGTCTCTGGCGGCGGTGATCTGCACCGCGTTGAGACGCTCGATGGCGCGCGCGTAGCTCTTGAGGATGCGCGCCATCTCGTCGTCGGCGATGAAGCGGCTGTCGAACTGCGCCTTGATCTCCACGCGGTTGTCGAACAGCGAGCATTCCATCGACAGCGGGTATGGATCCGCCGCCGGCGGGGTGCCCACCAGGACAGGCGTCAAGCCCAGGAAGGAGTCGTCGGCTTCACCGTCGGAGTTGGGCGACGACCCGGGTTGGATGATGAGCAAGTTCTGGAACTCGACGGCCTGGCGCCCCTGTTCCTCGCCGCCCATGCGCCGGATGTTCTGCAGCCCCGTGTGTTCAAAAGGGATCATGTCGATGGCCTGCTGGTGCACCGCGCGGAGGAAGTCTGCTGGCGACTTGTGTCCGCGCACCTGCACCCGCAGCGGAACGGTGGCGATGGTCGGCCCCAGCACCTGGTTGATGCCGGCGAGGGCGGCGTTGCGGCCAGACAGCGTGAGGCCGAAGTTGACGTTGTCCGACTCGCTAAGGTCCGACAGCACCACCGCCCACGCCGCCCGCAGCACCGTCGACAGCGTAACGTCCGACGGGACCCGAGTCAGCGGCAGCGAGCGCTTCTGGATGCGGTCCGGGGCAGGCTGCTGGCTGGTGTTTGGCGGCAGCACGGGGAAGTTGGTGGCCGGCACGGCGCACTGCCCCAGCCAGAACTCGGTCGCCATCGCAGGACTGATGCGCTGGATGTGGTTGATGAACCGGTTGTAGGGCACCTCCGGCAGCGCAATCTCCTTGCGGTACTCTGCGGAGACCTGCTGGGCGAGCCCTGGCAGCGTGAGGCCGTCGTACACGGCGTGGTGGGCAGTCCAGATGAAGTATTGCTGCTGGCCTGGCTGGCCCACGACGGCGTAGCGGGCCAGGGGATGGCCGTACGTCATGGAGCGCATCGCATCCTGCGCCAGGAAGGCATCCAGGCTGTCGCCAGACACCCAGGGAACGGTGTTGGGCGGCGGAGCCTGCAGCAGCACCTGGAAGGCGCCCTCGGAGGTGGTGATGATGCGGGTGCGGAGGATACTGCTGCGGGCGATGACTGCCTCCCACGCGGCCTTGAAGCGCGGCACGTCGATCGAGTCCGGCAGCGAGAAGGTCTCCTGCATCACATAGGCAAGGCCTTGGTTCGCCTGGGTGCTGCCCATGGTCAACGCCATCAGACCCTCCTGCAAGGGGGTGCAGGGATACATGTCCTCGATGGTGGTGGGCTCGATGCCGCACTGCTGCGCCGCCTCCGCGACGAGCTGGTCGAGATCCAGCTCCGGGGGAAGCAGGGAGAAGGGGTCTAGCTGTCGCTCCTCTTCAGCGGAGAGCAAACGCAGTTCTTTGGCCATGTCGGATAGCACCGGCTGCTGGAAGACGGTCTTGATCGTCAGCGCCAGGCCTTGGTTGCGGGCGGCGGCAACGAGCCGCATCGCCACAATGGAGTCACCTCCGAGCCGGAAGAAGCTGTCGGTAGCAGAGAGACTGGTGCCTGGGGCAACTTCCAGAGCCTCCATCCAGAGATTGGCGAGCAGCTTCTCGCTGGCGGTGAGGTCGGAGCCGCCGGTGTTGGTGGTCTTTGTCGTTCCCGCTGCGATGAGCCTGTATGGCTTCATCTCCGAGTCTGATACACTCGCCACAAGTGACTGCAGCGCCGCCCGATCGAGCTTGTAGTCTGCGGTCAATGGCAGACCATTGACGGGGAAGAACAGTGCCGGCAGCACGGACTCGGCGCCCTCGCTGCGGAGGGACTCCTTGATGGCCGTGAACCGCTGCTGCAGGGCGTCAGACATCGACAACAACGCCGGAGACTGGCTCAGTTCCTGGCTGCGGTCGATCTGGAACATGGCGATGCATTCCGAAGACTCCTGAGGAACTACCACCAGCACTGCATGTTGCGTGGTGGGCAGCAAAGACTGTATGTGCTCCTCCATGGTGGCCAGGTCAACGGACTGGTTGTTGACGATCTGCGTCGGGCGGACAATATACGACGGACCCTGTGTCTCTGCGCCCCATCTTCCGTAATCTCCGGTGCGATACAGACATGAGTCTGGCAGCCAGGCGGTCCTCTCAATGAACCGTTCGCGACGGCCGCTGAGATAGCCCTGCGGCACGATCGGACCGTCCACCAGCACGGCTCCCACACAGTCGGCGAGTGCCAGCGACGCGGCGCTGAACGGACTGCTGATCCAGGTCCGCGAGGGGGCCGGGGAGTCCTGCGGAAGCCTCCGCTGGAGGGTCTCGATGCCGGCGGGGGCGCTGGAGACGGACTGCCAGACGGAGGAGTCGATGAGTCCGTACGGGTGGACGAGAGTGATGTCGCGCCACTGGGCGAGCACCGATGGTCCCAGCTCCTCGCCGGCGACCACCAGGGTCTGCAGGGAGGGCACGCTGGCCGGGCTGACCAGAGCGGCGAGCGAGGGGGGGATCACGGCCCAGGTGGCTCGGGAGTCGTGCACAGCATCAACGAAGCTGGCGGAGGCAGTCGGAATGACCACCGTAGCACCATTCACCAGGGAATAGAGCGTTTCCACCAGGTGGAAGGGAGATGTAGCCGGGTTGCTGAACTGAAGCACCCGGGCATTGCAGCCCAGGCCGGCGATGGGGGCCAGCTGGGAGGCGACGGTGCTGATGCTGCGGTGGGCGAGCAGCGCCCAGTCGTCTCCGTCGGGCACTGCGACGGCCGTGGCTGTGGAGGATGGATAGACGAGTTCAGAGGACGGAATGGGCAGCTGTTCGATCATCTCTGCATCAACAATGACCTCTGTCATGGCGGATATGTCGGAGGCATTGTCGCACAGCATAACCCTAGGGTTTAGGGTTGGGGGTAGGGTTGCAGCGATACTCGACTCAACATGCACATACACAGCACCCACCCGGAGCACAGCCAGCATGGCTACCAGAGCCCAAGGAGAGCGTGTGAAGCCGAGAGGCACCAGGTCGCCGGCGGTGACGCCCAGTCCGTGAAGATGTGCGGCGAGGGCCTTTGCGCTGCGATCCAGCTCGCTGTAGGTGAGCGAGACCTGGCCGTCGACAGACTGCACGGCGACGGCAGTAGGCTGCTGCTGGGCTCGCTGTTCAATCAGCTCTGATACTGACAGCTCGACGGCCGCTGGCACAGGCTGCTTGCTGATCGCCTCACGCAGCTGTTCGTTGGCTGCCGGGGGAGAGACATCCAGCTGGGCAAGCGGCTGCTCCCAGCTGGTAGTCAACGCCAGCAGGATGCTGGTAAAGGTCTTCATCAGGCTGTCGGCCTGGCTGTCGTTGAGCATGGCAGTACGGTAGGCCATCTCGATCTCCACGCCAGGTGCATCGCCGGTGGTGATGCTCAGATCGACGTCGTACTAGAGGGTCAGTATGGCTTCACACGTCTTCATTATCCTCAACCTGTCTTCAATATGCTCACCTCGGTGGGATCGACTTGGTCGACAATCTTAAACTCCACCTCCGGCGCCGGACCCTTGGAAGGTTCTCTCTGTAGCGAGAGGATGGTGTTGAACAGAGCGACCTCATTGTTCCCCAGTTCGTGCTGAATCGAAGCCAGCGACGTGTGCTGGTGCGGCAGACAGTTGAGATAGTCTGCCTGCGTCTTCTCCAGCAGATCGCGCACCACCACCTCATCGCGGACATCGACACGGCACACGACGAGATTGATAAACGGGCCGACTGCCTCGTAGATGTTGTCGACGGGAATGTCCCGGCCGGACACCATGTATCCGAAGCAGACGTCCTGGCTGGCCGTGTATGCTCGCAGAACGAGCCCCCACGCCGCCAGGAACAGATTGCTCATGGTGATATTCTGAGCCTCGCAGAAGCGCTGCAGCTGCCCGTCGGTGTCGATATAGACCGACTGCAACTTGGTGGCCACAGCAGCAGCTGGCAACTCCGGCTGCAGCCCGGGGAAATGGCAGGGCTGCATCCCAGCCAGCGCCGTAGTCCAGTAGGCCATCGACTCTCCTTCAGAGGCAGATCGCGACGACAGGTAGGAAATGTAGTTGCTGTAGGGCGGCCCTGCGGTGGCGGGCAGGCTGTTCTCGTACGCGGCCACCAAGTCGCGCACGACGAGCGCCAGCGAGGTGCCGTCGATCAGGGCATGGCTGACTTCCAGCTGGCAGTAGACCTTCCGAGTATCCTTGGCTTCGCAGATGGTGAGGCGATGCGCAGGCACCGGCTGGCGATAGTCAGGCCCCGGACGGCTGGCGACAAACGCCGCGATATCTTCCGGCGCACCCTCGTAGACCAGACGCTGGACGTGTGGCTGGTGGGAGTGTAGCAGGAGCTGGTCGTAGGCGCCGGTGCCCGTGAGAGACTTGATAAACACCGTGCGGAGCAGGGCGTGGCGATCGACGGTGCGCTGCCAGGCCTGGAGCAGCCGCTGGACGTCCACGGCGGCCTGGTCGGGGCGCGAGACCACCTCGAACAGCTGGCGGACCTCGTAGGTGCCGGGCTCGCGGTCCTGGCTGATGAGAATGCCCTCCTGGATGGGGGAGCATGGGTAGAGATCCTCGATGGCCTCGGAGGTGAGCCCGATGCCCGGCAGAACCGTGTTGGTCAGCTTGGAGATGTCGGTGTAGTCGATCTGCATGAGCGGGAAGTCGCTGAGCGAGTGCTCAACGGCGCCGGTGGTGCTGGCGGCGACGAGCTCGACGACGGCCGAGTGGATGACGGCTTCGCAGCGCTGCGCCCAGCGGCGGACCTGCTCGCGATGGCGGATGTTACGGTTGAAGAGGAACGAGACGGCGAGGCGGCCGTGCGAGACGGCGGCGGAGATGTCAAACACCGCCAGCCGGCCCATGGCGTCGCCGATGTTGGCCATCTCCTCTCCCTCCTGCAGCGCTTCTTCCTGCAGCAGGGCGTCGGCGCGTTCCGTGTGCTGCGCCTGGCCGAGATAGTTGAAGCAGATCTCCATGGCGGCGTTGCGCGAGCCCTCGGCGCGGGCAAAGTGCCGCCGGGTAAAGTCCGAGAAGCCGTTGTCATCAAAGGCACGACGGGCGTCCTTGGTGCGCTTGATGGTCTCCTTGACGCTCTCGTTCTTGCGGACGTGGCGGTTGACCACCGGGTAGAAGGTGGTGAACCAGCCCACCGTGTCGGAGAGCTCGATCGAGGCCTCCCAGGGCTCGCGGCCGTGGCCCTCGCTGAAGATGGCGGGCATCGCGCGGTCCGGGAAGCACTCGGAGAAGGACTGCTGGATCGCTGCCAGCAGCAGGTCGACAGGCTCCGAGCGCAGGGGGTTGTTGGCCGTCGTCAGCAGCTGGGAAGTCGTCTTTGTATCGAGGGTGAAGCGGACTTCTTCGCCATCCTCCCATGTCGGCAGCTGCTCCAGTCCCCAGTATTCCATGTTGGCGGCGGGCAGGGCTTGAGCTGTGGAAGCTTCCAGTCGCTCGGCATACTGACGCTGTTCCTGGACCCAGCTCTGGAAGGACATTCGGGACTGACGTTGAGGATTAGGGTTAGGGTTAGAGAGCAGCTGCTCGAGCTGGCCGACGATGATGTGCCACGAGACGGCGTCGATGACCAGATGGTGCGCAATGAGCGAGACCAGCTGGCTGTCTTGCACGGTGAAATGGTCGACCGCAAAGACACGGCCGTGTTCGATGTCGAGACTGCGCTGGGCGGCGTTGACAATGTCCAGCATCTCCTCGCGGCTGACGGTGTGAAAGGCGACCTCGGTAGACACTCTCCCAGGGCCTCTCACCAGCTGCGTCCATTCACCATCGGCGTTCTGGGTGAATCTCGCGCGCAGCATGGCGTGGCTGGCGACGATGTGCTGGATGGCCGCCGAGAGCGCCGCCGAGGACACCGGGCGCGCCAGACGCAACAGGACGCTCTGGTTATAGTGATGCTGCTGCGGCATGCGCACCACGTCCTCAAAGTAGATCTGCTGGATGGGCGACAGCGCAAAGGAGACGTCGTAGACCTCCTCGCGGGCGACGACCGACTGCGCCTGCGCCTGGGCGCGGGCGACAACTCCCGCCAGCGACTTGGGCTGCAGGATATCCTGCACGCCCAGCTGGATGTCCAGCGCCCGGCAGCGCGAGACAACCTGCATGGCGGTGATGGAGTCACCGCCGAGACTGAGGAACGAGCGGTTGAGGCCGATCGACTGCTCGGGCATGTTGAGGACGTGGCTCCAGACCTGCGCCAGCGTCTTCTCGAGCGCTGTCGCCGGCGCATTGTGTGCGCTGCTGGCCGTCGCGATGTCCACCACCCTCCGGTACGTCTCCTCGGACATGTTGGCCACCCAGCGGGAGATGGGCACGCGGTTGATCTTCCGTGAGGCCGTCAGCGGGATCGACGACAGCACAATCCAGATCGTCGGCACCATGTACGCCGGCAGCTTGTCGCGCATCTCCTCCTGCACCTGCGCCAGCAGCGTCTGGGCGCGGAGCTTAACCTCCGGGCGGTCGTCAATGAGCTCGACGCGCTCGCCCTCGAGTGCCTCGGGGTTTAACGCCGACAGGGCCACGGCGGCCACCAGCTTGCCCTTGCACAGGCCCGTCTTGGCCAGGGTCACCATGCCGGCCTCGATGGCCGCGCGGTCGCGGAGATGGAACTCGATCTCGCCCAGCTCGATGCGCTGCCCGTGGAACTTGACCTGCCCGTCCTTGCGGCCGGCGATGTTGAGGCTGCCGTCCGCGTTGTACCGGACCAGATCGCCGGTGCGGTAGAACTTGTATCGGGGGCCGTCATTGCTGTCCTGCATAAACCCCGGGCTCTCGATAAACGCCGCGGCGGTCTTCTCGGGCTCGTTGAGATAGCCGCGGGAGACGTTGGGGCCCTCGATGAGCAGTTCTCCGACACATCCGACGGGCGCGAGGCGGTTGTGATCGTGCATGTCCACCACCCAGTAGCGACAGCCGGCGCCGCGGCCGATGTTGGACGGCGACACGCTGGCGCCGGGGATGGCGTGCGAGGCCCAGATGGTGCATTCAGCCGGCCCGTACGAGTCGACCAGATGGACGTGGCTGGCCCACTGGTCGACCAGGCTCTGCGACACGGCTTCACCTCCGAGCACCAGCGTCTGCAGGTTGGGCACCTCGCGCGGCTCCAGCAGGGCTGCCACGGTGGGCGCCATGAAGGTCCAGGTGATGTTCATGCGGTTGATCGTCGCCGCCAGGTTGTTGATGCGGTCGTACTCGTTGGGGATGCACAGCGTGCCGCCCTTGGTGAGCGTGAGAAACACCTCCCCCATGCTCACGTCGAAACTGAACGAGGCAAACTGCAGCACCCGCAGGGCTCCGGGCGTGCTGGTGAAGCCCAGTCCTTCGCCGTGCTGGATCGCCACCGTGCTGACACAGTTGTGCTGCACGATGATGCCCTTGGGCTTGCCCGTACTGCCCGAGGTGAAGATCACAAACACCGGGTTGGTCGGCAACACGGGGGGAAGAGACTGCGCGAGAGACGGTTCCGCGGGAAGGCTGCGGACGAGCTCTTCGGTGATGATCACCACCGTGGTGGCGGTGGAGGCAAAGAGACCGGCGCGTTCCGGCGACGCCAGCACCACGGGGGAGGTTGTATCGGCGATGAGCGACTCGAGACGCGCAATGGGGTGCTCCGGGTTGAGCATCACGACACCGCCGCCGGCCTTGACGACGGCCAGCATGGTGACGATCGTCCACAGGGACTTGTCGAAGCACAGGGGCACCAGCGACTCCGGGTGGATGGAGGGATGGGTGGTCGCCAGCCAGTGTGCCAGGCGGGACGACAGCTCGTCGAGCTCGCGATACGTGACGGACCCATCCCAGGCGTCGATGGCGACGTGGTCGGGCTGGCGCTGGGCCTGCCCGGCGATCTGGTCGTGCACACACACGTTCTCCGTCGTGGCCGGGACGGCGTTCCATTCCCAGACCTGCCGGGCGTCCTCGGGGCTGAACATGTCGAGATCGCACAGCCGGAGACCAGCAGCTGGGCGGCTCAGCTGCTTCAGAACGTGTTCAAAGTGGCCGAGCAGACGTTCGGTCTGGTCCATGGACAGTACAGCCTCGTCGAAGCGGGCTTCCACCTGCACGCCGCCGTCGACTCCCAGCGTACACTCGACCATCAGGGCGTAGGGGTCGAAGCGGCTCATGTCGGTAGGAAGCCTCTCCAGCTGCGAGAGGGCGCCGCTCTGGGCCTCCTCGTCGGCGGTCTCGGCGGGCTGCACAACGAACAGGTTGGTGAATTCGGTGGCAGCCGATGCAGCAGGACTGATGCGCCGGATCGCCTGCAGACCGGCGTGCTGGTGGTTCATCATCTCGACGTTGCGCTCCTGCTGGCTCTGCAGGAAGGTCTCGACCAGCGTCTCGGCTTCCAGATGCACGTTCATCGGCACCGTCGTGATGGTAGGCCCGACAATGTCCTCGATGCCCGCGACGGCGACATCACGTCCGGACAGGGTCAGGCCGTACACGATGTCCTCGGCGTCCGTGTAGCGGGCGAGCACGATGGCCCACGCCGCGCGCAGCAGGATAGACATGGTGAGATTGGATCCCGGGTCGACGGCGGTGGTCGCGATGCTGCGTCGGCACGTCTGGTTGGCCGTGGGCTGGTGTGTGGCCGACGGCAGCCGTGGGAAGGCCGCCGGGAGCTCGTCGGCGGGCACGACAGACGCCCAGAAGGCGCTGGAGGCGTCGGCGTCGGTCTGCTGGAGGAACTGCACAAACTGGGCGTAGGCCACGGAGGGCAGCCCCTGGGCCAGCCCCTGGGCTTCAATCTGGGCTTCAGCCCCGGCGTACCGCTCCTGCAGCTGTTGGAACAACATCCGCACCATCCAGCCATCAAACACGGCGTGGTGGGCAGTCCACACAAAGATAGTGTCCTCCCCGTCCGGAATAACAGCGTAGCGAGTCAACGGCGCCCCAGCGGTGACCGGCAGCGCCTGGATGCCCTGGAGATATGCATCAAGACAATCTGCCCGCTCCCATTCGATCTGCGAAGCCTCCTTCGACAGAACCACCTGGTAGACCGCCGAGTCGACAGTCACCAGGCGGGTGCGGAGGATGGCGTGGGCGTCGACAAGAGCCTGCCAGGTCTCCTGGAAGCGTGCAACATCCACGGCGCCGGCGGGCAGGCGGAAGGCCGTCGGGGCGACGTACGCGCCCTGGTGGGTGGTCGACATGAGGAAGACACCCTCCTGCAGAGGCGTGGCGGGATAGACGTCCTGGATGACCTCGCGGGGGATAGCACACTGCCGGGCAGCGTCCTCCAGGAAGACGGCTTCGGTCTGCTCGGCCTCGAGCAGCGAGAAGGGCGTGTACTCTTGCTGCTCGGAGGCAGCAACCTCGACATGTTCCGCCATGTCCGACAGTTCCGGGTACCGGAAGATATTGGCGACGCTGAGCACAAACCCCGCGGCGCGCGCCGCCGCCACCAGCTTCATGGCGCCGATGGAGTCTCCGCCCAGGCGGAAGAAGCTGTCGCTGCGCCCCACGGAGCCGGGCTCCTTGCCCAGGACCGCCGCCCACAAGTTCCGCAGCCGCTCCTCGTTCGGAGTTTGCGGCGCGGCCCTCTCCTGGCCCCCTTGCAGGGCATACATCTCCTTTTGCTCGGGCGACAGGGCGACGGCCGCACGGCGGAGGGCAATGCGGTCGACCTTGCCGGAGATGGTCATGGGGATGTGCGAGATGGGAACAAACAGGCTGGGCACCATGTAGACCGGCAGCAGCTTGGACAGCGTCTTCTCGAGCGCCCGCAGCTGCGCGGTGGTCTCGGAGGTTAGCGGAGTGAACAGCTCCGACTGCTGCTGCTCGTCTCCCCCCATGTATAGAAAAGCGACGAGCGTCTGGGGCGGGAAGACGACCGAGTCGACGGTGATGTGCACTGCGCCGGGCAGGTTCTCGAGGATGGCGTGTTCAATCTCGCCCAGCTCGACTCGCTGCCCACGCACCTTGATCTGCGTGTCCTTGCGGCCGATGAAGCGCAGCTGGCCGTCGGGATAGTACCGCACCAGGTCGCTGGTCTTGTAGAAGCGGCGAGGCGGCCCGGGCAGCCAGGCGGTGCCGTCCTCCAGGTAGGCTGCCTTGGTCTTGTCTGGCGCATTGAGATACCCACGAGTGACCAGCGGGCCTTCGATGAGGAGCTCGCCGACACAGCCCACGGGCATGAGCTTGTCGCTGTTGTCCGGGTCCGTCACCCACAGCCGGGTGCCGACGGCGTGGCCCAGCGAGGCCGGATCGCTGTCCCTGGTGAGCGGATCGGTGCCCATGCTGTAGATGGTGCACTCGGTTGGCCCGTACACGATGCGGAGGGAGATGGCCTCGGTCCAGGGGGCGATGTCCTCGCGCGAGATGGCCTCGCCGCCGAGGACGACCGTCTTGAGGGTGGGCACGAGCGCCGGCGACAGCAGGCCGAGCACGCGCGGGGTCAGGAACGCCCAGTTGACGCCCAGCCGGTTGATGGCGCCCGCCAGGTCGTCGACGCGGTCCTTTTCGTCGGGGATGCAGATCGTGCCGCCGCCGACCAGCGTGGTGAAGGTGTCGGACACGCTGGCGTCAAAGGCGTACGCCGAGAACTGCAGCACCCGCGCCGACTGGTCGATGCCCCATTCCGTGCCGTGGGCGAGGATGCTGGTGATGAGGGAGCGGTGCTCCAGCACGATCCCCTTGGGCTTGCCGGTACTCCCGGAGGTGAACGAGACAAACGCCGGGTTGCAGGGCTGTGCCTGGGGCAGGGCCACGCTGCGGTCCGGGGCCGGGAGGCCGTCCAGGAAGGCCTCGTCGACGACGACAATATGCTCCATCCCGGGCATGCCGCTTAACAGGGCCGCATTCTTCGTTGCCACGACGGCAATGTGCGCGGCACAGTTCTCGATGATGTCCTGCAGGCGAGACGCGGGATGCGCAGAGCTCAGTCCCACGCCGGCGCTGCCGGACTTCATGATGGCGACCATGACGACCGTCGCCAGCTTCGACTTGTCGAAGCAATGCGGAATGAGCACTTCGGGGCCTGCTCCCAGCCGGGCCAGGTGGTGCGCCAGCTTCTCCGACAGATAGTCCAGCTCGGCGTACGTGTATCCTCCGTCCCAGGCACAGACGGCCGGCGCGTTGGGCTGCCTGTCGACCTGGGCGTAGAAGTAGTCGTGGACAACGCCGGGAGCCTCGGCAGGCTCTTCCTTGTTCCAGGCAAAGATCCGGGCGCGGTCTTGCTCGGTGAAGAGATCGATGGATGCGGCGGGAGACTGCGCGCTGGCGAGGATGCCGGAGATGGCGCCGCTGAAGGTATTCGCCAGGTTGGCGGCATCGCCGTCGGACAGCAGGGAAGACCAGTAGCCGATGGAGATTTTTACATGGTCTCTCAAGACGTGAATGGCGACGGCGAGGTCGAACTATAAATCAGCAACTCTTCCCTGGAATTGGGAGGACACGATATCAGGTCTAACTTACATCCGTTGGGTCGTCCTCGGTAAGAGGCCGGAAAGAAAGAGACTCGCCATACGGCTGGTCGGAGACGTCCTTTTGCACGGAGATGATGCTGTTGAACAAGGGCATGCCCGACAGGTTCAGGCCGTGCTGGATCTGGGCCAGCGAGGTGTGCTGATAAGGCAGGGCATCGAAATACTCGTTCTGCATGGCCTCGACGGCGCCCAGGACGGCCTGTTGCTGGTCCAGACGCACCCGGCACACCAGCATGTTGATAAAGGCGCCCACGGCGTGCTCGATGCCCGCGACGGGCACATCGCGCCCTGCAGCAACGTAGCCGAAGCACACGTCGTCGGCGCCCGTGTACGCACGCAGAACCAGCGCCCACGCCGTCTGCAGCACGTTGGCGACGGTGACGCCGTGGTCCTCGCAGAACTGCGTCAGCGCCGGGATCTGCGTAAAGGGAACGGCCACCGAGCGGATCTCCCGGGCGACATTGCCCTCCGCCGGAGGATACATGGGCACAATCGACGGCTGCACGCCGGCCAGATACGATGTCCAATGGCGCATCGAGTCGCCGCCGGCCTCGGCCGCGGAGACATGCTCGATATAGTCGCTGAACCGCGCGGCGGCGGGCGCCGCAAGGCCCTCGGCACCGTCAAACGCCGCCGACAGTTCGTGCAGGATAACTTCCGTGGAACCTCCGTCGACGAGGGCGTGGCTAATCTCGACCTTGATGTAGACGGCGTCGCCGGCGGCGCGGCAGACGGTCAATCGGTGCTGGGGCTGCGACGGCTGGTACTTGGGGGCAGGCAGCTGCTTGAGGAAGTGAACCACGGCCTGTTCGTCGTCCAGGCACTCGCACGTCTGGATCAGGGCGACGGCCTGCTTCAGCACGACCTGACGGAACTGGCCCGTGAGGTCGACGGCGAAGATCGTGCGCAGCACCTGGTGGCGGTCCATGACGGCCTGCCAGGCGGTTTGCAGGCGCGCGACGGTGGTGGCCGCATCGCGGGTCGACTGCACACGGAGGATCTGGCTGATCTCGTACGTGCCGGGGAACTTGATCTGGCTGAGCAGGATGCCGTCCTGCATGGGCGAGCAGCCGTAGACATCCTCCACCTGGTCGCGGCTGGCCAGACCGGCCGCCTCCAGGAGCGACTGGTCGAGGGAGGCGGCGATGCGCTCGGCAGGCGTGGCCCTGTCCGCCGCGGACGACGGCGACTGGCCCCCGGAGGAGACTCGGACGGCGCGCGCGGCCAGGTCGATGAGGTTTTGCGCGCGGAGGATATCCGGCACGGAGACGGCGAGCTGCAGCTGGCGACAGCGCGCGACGACCTTCATGGCGGCGATGGAGTCGCCGCCGAGGGCGATGAAGGAGCGGTGGACCCTGAGCTCGGCGACGGGGATGCCCAGCTCGTCCGCCCAGATCTGCTGCATCTGGAACTCGACCTCGCTGGACAGGGCGGCGGGCTGTTGTGCACTGTCCTCACCGTCGGCGATCTGGCTGTACGTCTCCTCGGACATCTCGTGCAGCCACTGGGCCATGGCGGTGCCGTGGACCTTACCGGAGGTTGTGAAGGGGAGCGCCGCCAGCACCACCCAGAAGGTGGGCATCATGTACGCCGGCAGCTGGGTGGCCAGGCGCGCCGCGATGCCCGGGAGACCCTCGCGGGCACGCCCGGAGTCCCCGTCCGCCAGCAGGTGGACGTGGGCGTCGCGCTCCCCGGCGTAGGGGAAGGCGTGCAGCGACAGGGCGGCGACCAGGCGGCCCTTGCAGGGGCCCTGTTTGGGGAGCAGCACCATGGCATGGCGCACCTGCTCGTCGACCGACAGGCGCTGCTCGATCTCGCCCAGCTCGATGCGCTGGCCGTTGAGCTTCACCTGGCGGTCCTTGCGGCCCAGGAAGTTGATGGTGCCGTCGCTGTTCTGGCGCACCAGATCGCCCGTCTTGTACAGGCGGAACGCCGGCGGCGGCGCGGGCAGCAGCCGGGCAAACTCCGGGACCTCGTCGAGGAAGACGGCGGCCGTCTTGCCCGGCTCGTTGAGATAGCCCCGGGCGACGATGGGGCCCTGGATGACCAGCTCGCCGACGGCGCCGATGGGCACCAGGCGGTGGTGGTCGTCGGGGTGCACCACCCAGCACAGAGCGCCGTATCCGACGCCGATGTTGGCGGGATCCGAGCTGAGCGTCAGCCGCTGGTTGACGGTGGCCGCGACGGAGCATTCACTCGGTCCGTAGCCTATCTAGTTAGACAGTGTATCGGAGATGATGAGAAGAAGGAAGAGAGAAAGAAGGAAGAGAGAAAAACCGTTGATCAAATGCAGCTTGTCGGCCCAGGTCTTGACGTCGATGCGCCCCAGGGCTTCGCCTCCCAGGGCGAGCGTCTTCAAGGTCGGCACCGTGGCCGGGTCGATCAGCCGCACCAGCGACGGCGTCATGAAGGTCCAGGAGATCTGCAGGTGGTTGATGATGTGGGCGATGCCGCGGGCCGCCTCGTCGTCGCCGGGGAAGCAGATACAGGCGCCCGTCGTGAGCGTGGTGAAGATCTCCAGCATGCTGACGTCGAAGGTGTACGGCGTCATCTGCAGCACCCGGCTGGAGGGGATGATGTTGCCGGCCTGCACATGCTGCGCGGCGGCCGTCAGGAAGGACTCGTGCTCGACGACGCAGCCCTTGGGGGTGCCGGTACTGCCCGAGGTGAAGATGATGTAGAGCGTGTTCCGGGGGGTCACCGGCGAGGCCACGGCGGCGTCGGGCACCGGGAGATGGGCGAGGGTGTCCCGGGAGACGACCACCGTGGGGACCTCGTCGGCGCCCCAGAGCCCGGAGAGCTGGGTCGAGGTCAGCACCAGCGGGGGCTGCAGCTGGTCGAGCAGCCCCTGGAGCCGCGGCTTGGGCTGCTTGGCGTCCAGGTTGACAATGGCGCCGCCGGCCTTGACGACGCCGATCATGGCGACAATCGCCCATTGGGATTTCTCAAAGAACAGAGGCACGGCCACCTCGGGGCCGACCCCGAGCTGCGCCAGCCGGTGCGCCAGCGCGTCTGTATACGCCTGCAGCTCGGCGTAGGTCATCCGGCCGTCCTGGCCGTCGATGGCGAGGGCGTCGGGCCGGGCCTGGGCCGTCTCGTCGACGAGATGATGGAGACAGCGCGAGACCACGGCAGGCGCCTCCGCGTTCCAGCGGGCAATCTGCTGCAGCCCCTGGGGGCTCATCATACTCACCTCGGCGACGGGGAGGTCGGGATGCTGCACAATCTCCCCGAGGACGTGGCTCAGGGTCGCTGCGCAGTGCTTGACCTGTCCGGCGGGGAGCAGGTGGGAGGGGGCCTGCAAGGAAATGGCGATGGGCCCGTCGTCCTTCTTCCGGGCCTGAATGGCGATGTAATCGCCGGTCTACAGTAGAGTGGTTAGCAAGTGGGTAGGGTAGGGTATTAGGGTTATGTAACCCTAGGGTTGGTTGGGGCTGTGTTAGGGTTGGGGTTGGTTTATGTAACCCTAGGGTTGGGTTAGGGTTAGGGTTAAATAACCCTACACCCTAGGGTTAGTAACCCTAAACAGGGCTCACCTCAGCCCGGACATCGCCGTCGGAGAGCAACACCACGCTGTTGAACACTGGATGGCCATCCCGGCCCGTCCAGGTCTGCAGCTCGGCCACGGTCGTCGCCGCCGGGACCTCCATGGAGCTGGCGCGCAGCCGCTGCTCGGCCTCCTCGAGAGCCTGCAGCACGGTGCGGCCGCCGTCGAGCTCGGTCTCGTAGAAGCCCACGCGGGCCTCGCCGGCCACACGATGGACACTCAGCACGGTGACCTGCTCGGTGTCGGCGTACGCAGCCAGCACCAGCGCCCACGCGACGTTCAACACGCTGAGCGTCGACAGTCCGTGGCGCCCGCAGAGGTCCGCCAGGCCCGCGCCGGCGACCTCGGCCCCCAGCTCCAGGGCAACGCAGGCCTGGTCCATCCCGTCGTGGACGGAGACGCCGCCCGCTTGCTCGTCATCTACAAGCACACCGTCAGTCAACAGGGGGAAGAAGGAGGAACTTCCCTTGAACCCGACGGGCAGTCGAGCTCCGCTGGCCTCAACAAAGGTCTTGATTCCGTAGTCGCCCATTGCAAGGTCGGAAGTGGATTGTGGATGTAGATTGTGGATGTAGATTGGTTAGATCTAGCCAAGAGACAAGGGCGACGGCTGACGACGGTGCTGGTCCGAGAGACAGAGACAGAGACAGAGACAGACAGAGACTGCTGAGCGTTTCAAGCAAAGACGCCTGCTCTCGAGGCCTATATCTACGGCTGTTTCTTGGAGCCGAAGCTATTCCGGCTGGCCCGATCAGATCGCCATGGCGATGCTCAGGAACAGGGCCCGGCTGCGGGCCCGTGCCTTCACTGCCATTAGGGCCGTCCGCCCATTCCGTAGGGCTCAGCGAGGGCAGATGGGCTCATGGCGCCCTCTCCGGCTGCGGCGTCACGTTGGGGGCCATCGTGGATCTTAAACTGGGTTAAGGTAACTGATGATCTCACCCGGCAGCTGATCGTGCAGGAGCTGGTGGAGCGGATCTTGCCGTCTCACCTTGCAGTGACCAATCAGTATTATTTATTAAATATATTATAAAAATGAGACATGATACTATAATGATATATAATGATATATAATGATATATAATGATATATAATGATATATAATGATATATACTGATGATATTGTCTGAATCTACTGATGCTAAGATTATGAATAAATAAATTATGACCTAGTATATAGTATTGAGAATTAAGAATCTTATTTACTAGTCTAGTCCATTCAACTAACAACCACATTTAAGACCGCATGCCCACCTGCTGATATCGAATTTAAACCCGGTCAATCCTCCAGCCTGCCATGTCCACCAACTTGCTGACTCGTCCCCCACTGCCCATGCCTATTCGCTTGGGGCTGCCCATGCCTATTCGCTCGCGGCCCTATGCCCAGCTGTCCAACAACCAGCCCCGAGCCCAAACCAATCGCGCTGTTGCTGCAGAACTGCTGCGCCGCATCGACTCAACCCAGCAGATCCAGCAGTTCCTCCATGAGTTCCACCCGTCGCAGGGCAACCCGCTGGCCGTCATCGCCATTGGGCCCGACACGCTCTCGTCCCCGGGATCCTCGGCGCGCGCCCAGCTCGAGCGCCTGGCCGAGTCCCTGGCCTTTCTGCGGCGTGTCGGCCTGTTCCCCGTCATCGTGCATGGCGACCTGCATCTCGATGACCCGGAGGAGCCCGGGGGCTATGCCCGGCCCCCAGCCGATCAGTCGAACCGCCTGCGCCGCATCCGCTCCGTCAACTACAGAGTCAGCGCCCTCCTGGAGCGCCGGGACGTCGACACCCGCCCCATCACCTGCGGCATCTTCACGGCGGCCGCAGAGCCCGGCCGCCCCCCGGCGAGCGACCAGGGCATCGTCACGGCCATCGCCCCCGACGCCATCGATTCCGCCGTCCGCGCCGGCTCCATCCCGGTCGTCGCGGCCCTGGGCACCTCGGCGGCACAGTCCAGAACGCATGCCCTGGATGCCCACCACGCCGCCCTGCATCTGGCTCGGGTCCTGCAGCCCCTGCGCAGCATCTTCCTGCGTCCCGACGCCGCCTTGCAGCCCCCAGCCTCGCCCGGGGCCACGGCCGTGTCTGCCACTGCGCTGCAGGCCCTCGCCCATGAACTCGGCCCCAGTGCCAGCGTGCTGTTGGGGGCCGCACCCGCCCTGAGCAGCGCCATCTTCCCCGACGCTGAGCCCTGGACGGTGATCCGCAGCCCGCGCACCATCCGCGTCGTCACTGCCATCCAGGACTTCCCATCGCGAGCGGCCCTCCACGCCGCCCTCCAGCGCCACCTGCACCATCTCGGAACCGACATCACCGTCGACATGCTCCTCTCGCAGCTTGAAACAAGAGACTTCATCGCCTACTTCGACCACGACCCCAGCGAGGGCAGCCCAACCGCCACCGATCAAACCATCAACAACCTTGCCCTCGTGTTTCCACGCGCATCCTTTCCATGGAAGCCCACAGCAACAGTGCCTCCTACTCTGTCTTCTTCTTCTTCTTCTTCTTCTTCTTCTTCTCCATCCAATTGCTTCGAGACCAGGCCACCACGCTCCTCCAACCCGGTCTCTCCCGCGCCCGAAAAGGACCGCGGTGGCCAGGGGGATGTATCTGAGCTCGCTCTCTTCGCCATCTCCCAGCCGGGCTGGCTGAATGGCGCGGCAGAGCAATTCTGGGACCGTATTCGCGCCGACCACGTCTCGCTCTGGGGATCCCTGGGTGACACGCATCCCAGTCTCCCGTGGTGGTTATCTCGCTCATCTGGGTGTGTCAAGCGGGGTCTGGAAGGCAGAGTGTACTTGTGGTATGGTCTAGTCGCTTAATTAGAGAGATGGGGGTTGGTTACACTGGAAGAATTGTTGTGAGGAAGTTAGATTGATGTAGACAGTTGTTTAGAATTTAGATACATTGAATGGAAAATATATTATACATATCCATATCATAGACTACTTTCAAAGTGCTAATAGATACTATTATATATATTCTTGCAGCTAACAGTTACCAAAGCAATTCCTATTATAAATTGAAGGTTATTGAAATTTTTTATATCATTTCAGACAAAATTAGGAGTCATGGATAATTGTAATGTATAGGTTTATATAGAATATAGCTGGCATAGTTGATCATTGACAGCGAGGGATCAGCCAAAGGCTATAATATTGTTGCGGCCACGCTGCTGCCATCTGTGCCCCAGATCTCGAATCCTTGCTGAATCATGAAACTAAGGTCTACTGGCCCTGGTCTTAGAGGCGAATACTCTTCGTTGCTGCAAGGGACTGGAAGCTTGTCCTCGGAATGTTAACCACTAAGCCAAAAGGGCAAAATTAATGGTGATTTTCTGATTCGCCGTTTCCAAAGCCCTAGGACGCCAGAATAATATATACTAAATACCCCTGGCCGGATTAGATAACTGAGGGCCAGCCGAAAGGAGGCGATGATCCTTCCAGTAACCCTTGCATGGACTCGGACAGGGGTAATACAATCTGGCTACGCATAGTCTTGATATTGTATGGAGAAAATCAGCGATTCCCCCATTATACAGCTGCCTACTATCTATCAGAATAGAAGCTTAGACTCTATCTCTACTCTGTACATCTGTCAGATCATGATGGCAGTTCGCGGTTGATGCTACCCTTTAGTCTAGTGGTTGATATCTTTTTACATGAATCTAATATCAAAACAATTTCATTATATAGAAATTCTTTTTAAAAAATAATCAATAGTGATAATAAATAGTATTTTTAATGCTTAACTTTTTATACCCGCAAATGGAGCCTGCCTCATTCTGTTAATCTATGTAGTACTCTACAAACAAGAAATATTGTAGTCTTCCAGAAGGTAGTCCATTAATCCATTAAACCAAGTTTATGTAGATATGTATCCTTTCACCACTTAAAGTATGGAGCAGCATTAAACCATGTGGTTGAGCAACGTTTCCTCCCAAGAAAAAGCCACCGAGACAGACCGCGACCACCCGAATAAAGCCTCAATGCCATAAAGACCCCGAAAACACCGAATAAATGTAGCCGAAAAATGAAAGCAGGCAGTATCGCCCTTCACCCCCTCGACTTGGCATCCAACTGGGCGTGGTGAGCCACCAGCAGGCTCACCACCTGGGCATGGCCATTCTCGCTTGCAAGATGAAGCGGTGTGCACCCGGATCGGTCACGGGCGTTGACGTCGATGGGATAAGAAGCGAGCAGAAGAGAGACAGTGTTCAGATCGCCCTGTTGGGCGGCGATGTGGAGAGGTGTCTGGCCGCGGGCGTTGTGAACATTGACGTTGGCGCCGCGTTGGATGAGCAAGTTGATGATCTGCTCATTGGAGACGGATGAGGGAGAAGCATATCCTTCCTGATGGGAGTCAGTTTAAGGTTCGGCATGATCGAGCAAGAAGGAACTAACAGTTGAGAAGCACATCTTGGCCGAGAAGTGGAAGAGGTGTAATTGGTTGATATGGTGTGAAGATTTAGCTTAGAATTATCTTGTTATCTTTGTTGTCTTTGATGTGTAAAGGCTGATGATATTGTAAAGGCTGATGTTGATGAAGAATAAACCAAACAGATATATATAAGGATTAATAGAGTAAAATGATGGATACTGAAGCATGTACAGTAAGGAAGAGTCAAGAATGAAGGATAAGCACAGGGATCATGCTGTTGAGATTGTACATGAGTGATCTGACTCGGTATACAGGCTAGCTATGGTGTACCTATGAAGAAGTGGGCAACCCTAGGGTTAGGGTTGAGGTTATCTGATCAATTGCCTCAGATGCCTGCAGAGGGGGGTGCTGCAGACTAAGCTGATCATGTTGTTCAATGATGTGTTCTGGAAATCTGGATCCACGAATGATAATACCTACAGGGATAAGGTTTCGGTAGTCGCTATTGTTCTGGGGCTACGCGCTATAATAGAAGCATGACAGTTGACCTTGCAGTAGCTGCTGCTGCTGCTGACATGCACCGTCAGGATAGAGGGTATTGATGACAGAGGTGGTATTTGTATTCTATTCTAATTTGCTCCCTAAATACATAGAGGATTTCCTACTTGAACAGCTTATTGCTACTTTAACCCCTCCACTCTCCTCTTTTCTTGGTCATTTCCCTGTTTTCATTCAAACTCTAGATACACATTCAAAATGGCTTTCCCTCCTGCCCCCGCTCCCAATGTTGGTTAGTGCTGATGATCCTTTCTTTCAATCACAACTGGATATTAACATAGATTGAACAGAATGGGCCAAATTAGGGCTGACTGTGACTGATATGGGTGAGTGAGGATGATCTTGCTGCAGTGGATTATTCTCTTCTAACCAGAATCATGGTTTTGCAGTCAACGGCCATATGGAATCATCATATTCAGTTGAAACGGGCGAGTGGTCGGCGCCCAAATTTGTCGCGGATCCCTTTCTGCGCGTGCACGGACTGGCACCCGCCCTCAATTACGGACAGCAGGTTTATGAGGGCCTCAAAGGTACTCCAGACATGGACTGACCAGAGGGCAAACCTGGTTTTCCTCTCCGGCGTCTCATCTTGCATGTTGCATGATGCACCATCATCTCCACCACCAGCAGCAGATTCGCTAACTGTGCTGAATCAGCCTACCGGACGCCGACCGGTCAGATTCAAGTCTTCCGCCCACGGTTCCATGCCACTCGCATGCAACACTCGGCCAGCGTCGTGTCCATTCCCCCGGTGCCGATCGACCACTTTATTGCCGCTGTCAACGCCGCCGTGGCGCACAACGCCGAATGGGTTCCCCCGCACTCCAGCGGCGCCGCCCTGTACATCCGGCCGCTGTTGTTTGGGTCCAGCGGGCATTTCATGCTGACGCCGCCCAACGAGTACACGTTCTGCGTCTACGTCCAGCCCTTCAGCACCTACCACGGCATCGCGCCGTTGCCGGCGGTGGTGCTGGAGGAATTCGATCGCGCGGCACCCAGGGGAACCGGCCATGCCAAGATTGGCGGCAATTACGCGCCCGTGATGAAGTGGTCCGGACTCGCCATGAAGGAGGGATTCCCCATGACCCTGCATCTGGATAGCAAGACCGGAACCGAAATCGACGAGTTTTCCACCTCCGGCTTCCTGGGCGTCCGAATGGAGAAGAATGCCGGACAAGAGGACCAGGTGGTGTTGGTCGTGCCAAAGAGCGACAACATCATCAATAGCGTCACTTCGGATAGTGTGCTGGAGATCGGCAAAGCCTTGGGCTACCAGGTTGAACACCGCCCGGTGAGTATCTAACCCTACCCTTATTTCTGGCTGGCTGCCTAACGAGCATATGCATGGACCAGGTCAAGTACACGGAATTGTCGACCTTTAGCGAGGTTATGGCTGTGGGCACCGCGGCAGCTTTGGTCCCTATTCGCTCGATCAAGCACAAGTCGCGCGCAGAAGATTTTGTGTTCACAGAGGACAAGACCGCAGGCCCGATCTGTCAGAAGCTATATGCCGAGTTGACGAGCGTCCAGCGCGGCGACAGTGAGGATCGCTTTGGATGGTGTTTTGAGGTGGAGAGTGCATGAGTATGTTGTGCGTCAAGGTTTAAAGGGGCTGTGTTGTGCATGAAGGATTCAAGAAGACGGAAATAATAGAAATAAGATAATAAGATTGATATTTATGCATGGAAATAGAATAAGACAGCTTCAAGTCATCTTCTGATGCTACATAACTACTAACATGTATCTTATAGTTAATATTTAAATATAGCATGACTATAAGGTTGATATTATTAATAAAATTAGTTTGTAATCTGAAAGTTGTTCTAAACTAAGTATCTCTTATTAAATATATCTTTATTAATTGGTAGTCATGCTCATTCCAGGACAAACCTGCTCATAGTTCAAATATACAAGATGGTATTTATAGGAGAGTCTATATATAATCACTATCAGTTAGAATAACAATAATATATTTATACTACTATATTTACACTATATATTACAAGCAAGGGTACAGAACATAGATTTGTCTAACTCCATCACTAGTTATCTTCACATTCTCCGAGATCTGGCAAGCGGAACTAGAATTGGCGCATCCGGACCTGCACAATAGGCCCATTCTTGGACGCAGTGACATGGTCATGAAGCTGGTACTCCTCTTCGCGATGGCGTCCCGGTCCCTGGGATATCGAGCCACCGCCCACCTTCTCCGAGCCGGGTGCAGGACGGAAGTCATACTTGGACAACAGATAGGCCATGGTCAGCGTCAGCTCGGTCAGGGCCAATCCCTTGCCCAGACAGCTGCGCGGCCCAATCGAGAAGGGGTTGAATGCAGAACGGGCGAGCTGGACCTTGTCTGGCGCGTCGAGCCAGCGCTCCGGTCTGTACTCAAAGGGCTCCGGGTAGTACTCGGGGTTGTGCTGGATGGCATAGATGCAGGTGCCCACGTCGTAGCCACGAGGAACGGGGTGGCCGTCGATCACGACGCCATCCTGCATCACCTCGCGCCACAGGGAGCTGCTTGCCGGGGGAGACATGCGGAGACTCTCATCGATGCAGGCCCGGAGATAGACACAGCTCGTGAGAGAGGCGCCGAGAGTGACATCTTCCGGGCCGGCAAAGGCGGCGCGAACCTCGTTCTTGACCTTGTCGTAGACATCCGGGTGGCGGCAGAGGTAGAAGAAGGTCGATGCAATCGCGGTGGAAGAGGTATCCGATCCTATACTCGCATCCAGCGTAAGAAATAGAACCATCCATCGGGGGCATGAGAGAAGAAGGAAGGAAGCTCAGACCGGCGACGATCATGGTGGTGCTCTCGGCCCCAATCTCGGCAGGGGTGAAGCCCTGCTGGGTCTCCGGATCGATGGCATCCAGCAGGAAGGAGAAGACATCCTTGCGCTTCAAGGGCTTGGCGGACATGCGCTTCTGAAGCAGCTGGTTGACGAAGCGAATAAAGTAATTGCGGCCGACGATGGCGTCGGGGAAGAGCCTGCGGTCGAGCCGGCGAGTGGCCAACTCGCCCGCCTGGAGGAGGACTCCTGTGCGCACGTTGGAGTCCTCGATGCGCTTGACGATCTCGCGATTCTCGGGGCTGCCGAGGAGATCGAAATTCTCGCCGAAGATGAGGCTGGACATGATATCGAAGGTCAGGTAGTTTGCTGCTATCTTAGCATCGCGATGATGCCGGGAGATCGGGGATAGTATCTAGATACATACACCATTTGGCCATGTTCTGCGGAGAAGACCATTCGCCCGCCTTGCCCTGTGGAATGTCGTTGGCCAGCGAGTCGCAAAACCGGCGCACAAGCTCCATGATGGTATCCTCGTATCCACGGAGGGCATTGTCGCCAAACCCCTGGCCGATGATGCGCCGTTTGCGACCATGCTGTTTCTTGTCGATTAGGGTTAGGGTGTTGGGGGCGCGGTGGACCATGGCTCCGTAGGCGGCTGATTTCTGGAAGTTCTTGGTGAATGCGTAGATGTCTGCTAGTTAGGAACTGATAGAACGAACAAATAGATAGAGCTACCTTTTAATCCGGTGTTGGTGTTGAAAAGGACGCGGTCCGGGGCATATCGAACAATGTTGCCTGGAGGATCAATAAAGCAACTCCTCTGTGAACGAGTGTCCACAAACCATATTTCTCATGGCACCGCGTCATGTCCAGATGCAGATCTCCCGTCCATGCATAGTATCCGCCGTAGAGGTTGGTGATCTTGCCCAGAAAAGGCCCGGGGAATTTTGCCAGAGGGTGGAACCAGATGCGATAGACACAGAGGGCGACGAGCTAACAATCAGCATGCAATCTAGTATGTATAGGTATAGTAGACTCACATAGCCCACCAAGGCGAGAGGAACCGCCGCGAGTAAAGGCAAGACCGACAGGTTTCTTAGACGCTCGACCTCCATGGCTCAATGGGGGAAAGATGGGATGGATGGTTAACGGATTACTGCGAGAGAGTCTATTCTAATCTATTGAAATACCATGTCTAACGTTGGCTCTGGCAAGACCACCTGGTGGCCTGATTTGTTTAGCCAGGATTAGAGGATGACTCTGAAGCATTCCATTGAAGGTGATTAGCCCGTAAGCCCTAAACCTGCTCGATCATCATGCAGCGTCAGCAACCAACGCCCTGTCTGGCAGGGAAACGGCCCCCACCTGATGCTGCATGTGTCGTGATCCTTTTCCGATCTGATGGCTCGCCACATGGTCGCGGAGACGCGTGGAAGATCCAGCGAGATCTGAAAGCATATAGACCGATTCTGTAGTCCTGCTTGATGCCATGATGAGTACTCCCAGCAGGAATCTTGCCTGCCACAATGCAACCCCAAGTTGAGCAGCAGCTGGCCTACCTACTCTTGATTGAGTTGCTTGCGTGAGGTCCCTGGAATGACTGCCATCACTGCCGAGTCCCGCTGACAGCCGTATACAGGCATCAGTTTGCGTCCCCAGTCCAATGGTAAACCCTACCCTACCCTAAACCCTAAACCCTAAACCCTAAACCCTAACCCTAGAAATACGAGGTAACCATGCTATAGGATCGCAACCCAGGATGCCCTGCTTAAGGAATTCAATGTCGAACGCTTCGTCGAGATTGGCCCGGCGGACGTCCTCACTGGCATGCTGGAAAAGACCGTGACTCGCCACTTCAAGTCCCAGGATGCTGCCCGCCATATGACGCGACGCTTTCTCTCGTATGCCCGCAATTCCCAGGAGATCCAGTATATCCTCCAGGAGGCCGCGCAGACAGTGCAGGCAGCAGTGAAGCCCCCGACGGAGGCCCCTGTCGTTCAAGCCCCTGTCGTTCAAGCGGCGGCGGCCTCGGACCAAGTCAAGGCTGCGCCCATCCCCGACGCCCCCGTGGAGGCAAAGGAGATCCTGGTCGCCATTGTCGCAGGCAAGCTGCGAAAGAGCCATGGTGAACTGGCGACAGAGAAGTCCATCAAGGCTCTCTCCAACGGTATGCCTTTCCTCCCTCCCTGACATGCCTGGTATTGAGTCCATCCGGCAGGGCGATCCACGCTGGAGAACGAGATTGTCGGCGACCTCGACGCCGAGTTCGGCTCCCTTCCCGAGAAGCCAGAGGATCTGGGCCTCAACGAGCTGGCCAGCACTCTGCAGGCCGGCGCATCCTTCACCGGCCAGCTGCGCAAGATCTCGACGGCGCTGGTCTCCAAGGTGTTTGCGCAGAAGCTGCCTGCCGGCTTCTCCAGCGGCGATGCGCGGGCTCATCTGCAGTCTCGATGGGGCCTGGGAGCAGGACGCCAGGACGCCGTCTTCCTCCGTGCCAGCACCACCCATGCCTCCTCTTCACGATTAGCCAGCCCCGAGGAGGCCAAGGCGTTCTTCGACGGTATCGTCCAACAGTACGGCGCCGACCACGGCCTCAACTTCTCGGCGGCGGCGGCGGCGGCGGCGGCAGCGTCCACGGCGGGCGCCGTCTCGGCCCCGGTAGACAGCGCGGCGCTCAACGCGGTGGTCAAGGACCAGGACACGCTCAAGCGGTCGCTGATGGAGGCGTACGCCCGGCTCCTGGGCAAGGACCTGGGCCAGGACGCCCAGGAGGCCCTGAAGGCCCGGCGGGCCACCGCCGAGCTGCAGCAGCAGCTGGACGGCATCACGGCCGAGGTGGGCGACTTCTTCCTGACGGGCATCCGTCCCATCTGGGCGGCCCCCAAGCTCCGGCGCTTCCACTCGAGCTGGAACTGGGGCCTGCAGGACACGCTGGACATCTTCCACCGGGCTCTGCGCGGCGAGCACTTGTCCGAGGCCGAGTTCGCCCGGCACAGCAACGCCATCGCCAACCGATCCAGCCCTCGCCTGGTGGACATGATGAAGTACCTCCTCGCCAGCAGCCCCTATCCTCCGCGCGGCACCGCCCCGGGCTCCCGGTTCACCGCCGAGGCCAAGGACATGGTGCGCCGCCTGCTGGAACGCTGCGAGACCGCCGCCCGGCAGCCTTGCTTTGAGCCGCTGGCGGCCAACCGCGCGGCCTTTCTGCAGGGCCCCAGCACGACGGTCGACGAGCAGGGCCACATCCAGTACCGCGAGGTGCCCCGGGGCGGGCCCGGCGGGGGCTCCAGCCCCGGGATGGCCCCCATCACGATCAAAACCCGGCACCAGGACCAGTCGGAGGCGTGGCAGGCCAACGCGGCGCTGACCACGCTGTACCGCGACGCGGTGCAGGCGTCGTGGAGCGAGGGGGTCACCTTTGCCCACAAGTACGTGCTGATGACGGGGGTCAGCATGGGCTCGATCAACGCGGAGATCCTCAAGGGCCTCCTGGGCGGCGGCGCCCGCGTGGTGGTGACGACCAGCAGCTATTCCTCGGCGACAACGCGCTTCTACCAGAGCCTGTACGTCGCACATGGGGCCCGCGGGTCGGAACTTATCGTCGCGCCGTTCAACCAGGGCAGCCAGCAGGACATCGACGGCCTGGTGAAGTACATCTTCGGCTCCTCCGGAGGCGAGGGCGGGCTGGGCTGGGATCTGGACCATGTCATCCCCTTTGCCGCCATCTCCGAGTCCGGGCGGGAGATCGACAACATCGACTCGCGGTCGGAACTTGCGCACCGGATCATGTTGACCAACACGCTGCGGCTGCTGGGCGCCATCAAGCAGCAGAAACACGCCCGCGGGTACCGCACGCGGCCGACGCAGGTCATCCTGCCGCTGTCGCCCAACCACGGCGGCTTCGGCAACGACGGCCTGTACGGCGAGTCCAAGATCGCGCTCGAGGCCCTGTTCGACAAGTGGCACTCGGAGAGCTGGGCGCCGTACCTGTCCGTCTGCGGCGCCGTCATCGGCTGGACGCGCGGCACGGGGCTCATGGCCGACAACAACATCGTCGCCGCCGGCATCGAGCGCCACGGCGTGCTGACCTTTTCCACCGCCGAGATGGCCGCCTACATCCTGGTGCTGATGACCCGGAAGTTAGCCGGCCAGTGCAGCCTGCGCCCGCTGTACGCCGACCTGACCGGCGGCCTCAACGCCCTCCCTAACCTCCGCGCCACCCTGGACCAGGTCCGCCGCGAGATCGTCGACCAGAGCACCCTGCGCACCCACCTGGCACGGGAGAAAGAGGCGGAACAACGCCTGTTGGGGGCTGCCGCCCCCGGAGCAGCACCAGCAGCAGCAGCAGGAGCAGGAGCAAGGCTGGCCAACATCCCGTTCACCTTCCCGCAGCTGCCCGCCGAGGCCGAGCTGCAGCCCCTGCGCGAGACCCTGCTGGGGATGGCCGATCTGGACCGGGTCGTGGTGGTCTCGGGCTTCTCCGAGGTTGGGCCCTTTGGCAATGCCCGCACGCGGTGGCAGATGGAGGCGACCGGCCGCCTCTCGCTGGAGGGCTGCATCGAGATGGCCTGGATGATGGGCCTCATCAAGCACCGCAACTCCGACGCCTACACCGGCTGGATCGACGCAGCGACGCAGCAGCCCGTGCAGGATCTCGACGTCAAGGCCCGCTACGAGGAGCACATCCTCGCCCACACGGGCATCCGCCTGGTGGAATCCGCCATGGATCCCCAGGAGCCCGACGGCCGCCGCCGTATCCTGCAGGAGATCGTGCTCGAGGAGGACCTGCCGCCGCTGGAGGTCTCGCCGGAGGTTGCCCAGCAGCTGGTCAACGAGCACGGCGAAGCCCTGGTGGACGTATCACCGCAGGGAGGCGCCGGCGGAGGCAGTCAGTACACGGTGAAGATCAAGAAAGGCGCCGTCTTGATGATCCCCAAGTCCCTCCAGTACGACCACGCCGTCGCCGGGCAGGTCCCCACGGGCTGGGATGCCCGCACGTACGGCATCCCCGACGACATTGCGGCCTCGGTCAGCCGGGCGACGCTGTTCACGCTGGTCAGCGCCGTCGAGGCCCTGATTGCCTCGGGCATCACCGACCCCTACGAGCTGTACCAGTACATCCACGTCTCGGAGTTTGGCAACTGCATTGGCTCCGGGCTCGGGGGCGTGATGGCGCTGAAGAAGCTGTTCAAGGACCGGTACCTCGACCAGGAGGAGGTGCAAAAGGACATTTTGCAGGAAACGTTCATCAACACCGCCGCCGCCTGGGTCAACATGTTGCTGCTGGCCTCGTCCGGGCCCATCCGGACCGCCGTCGGCGCCTGTGCCACCGCCGTCGAGTCGCTGGAGACGGGCTACGAGACCATCGCCACCGGCCGGGCCAAGATCTGCCTCGTCGGCGGCTACGACGACATGAACCAGGCCGTCGCGGAGGAGTTTGCCAACATGAAGGCGACCACCGACGCCCGCGCCGAGGCCCTCAAGGGCCGTCTGCCGCACGAGATGTCGCGGCCCTCGGCGGAGAGCCGCAGCGGCTTCGTCGAGTCGCAGGGCAGCGGCGTCCAGGTCGTCACTTCGGCGCGGCTGGCGCTCGACCTGGGCCTGCCCATCCACGGCGTCGTCGCCTGGGTGGGCACCGCCAGCGACAAGACGGGGCGCTCCGTGCCGGCGCCGGGCCAGGGCATCCTCACCAACGCCCGCGAGACGCCGCTGGGGCGGTTCCCCTCGCCCTGGCTGGATGTGCGGTACCGCCAGCGTCGTCTGGCGGCCCGCCTGGCGCAGATCAACGAGTCGCTCGAGCTGGAGCTGCAGATGACGCGCGACAGCGTCTCGGAGGAGGGCATCCTGGACCGCATCGCCGAGTATCAGCACCAGCAGCTCTTCCTCGAGAAGGAGGCCGCCCGCCAGCGCAAGGAAGCCCTCAACACGTTTGGCAACGACTTTTGGAAGAACGAGACCTCCATCTCGCCCATCCGGGGTGCTCTGGCGGTGTTTGGTCTGGGAATCGGTATGTCATTGTCTCATTCCTGTTCTTCATTTCTATTCTACATTTCTATACTGACAAGAAAGACGACCTCGACTTTGTCACTCTCCACGGAACCAGCACGGTGATGAACGACAAGAACGAGCCGGCCGTGCTGGAGGCCCAGATGAAGCACCTGGGCCGCTCGCCGGGCAACCCGCTGTTCGCCATCTCGCAGAAATACCTCACCGGCCATCCCAAGGGCGCCGCCGGGGCGTGGATGCTCAACGGCGGCCTGCAGGTGCTCGACACGGGCCTCGTCCCCGGCAACCGCAATCTCGACAACGTGGACCGCCATCTGGAGCAGAACGAGTACATCATGTATCCGAACCGCAGCATCCAGACCAGCGGGCTCAAGGCCTTCTCCCTGACCTCCTTTGGCTTCGGCCAGAAGGGCGCGCAGGCCATCGTCGTCCATCCGCGGTACCTGTACGCCATGCTCGACCAGGCCGACTTCACCGACTACCAGGCCAGACGCAACACGCGGTACCGCAAGGCATTCCGCTTCTTCCACCATGGCCTGGCCACGAACGCCATGTTTGTCACAAAGTCCGATTCGCCTTACCGGCCGGAGCAGCAGAACGCGGTGCTCCTGGATCCTACCGCCAGGGCGACGGCAAGCAAGGGATCTCTTTATTCATTCTAGGGCAAGACAGGTCTTGAGCTGGACTGATCTTTATACTATATACCGCGTCTCCCGTGTTGCTTTATATTCATATCTAGAGATGGAAACATAAATACACAATTACAGTCCTGGAGAGTTCTCCAAATCGGCTCGCAGCCTGCGGATCAAGAATGTCAGCATCCAGAGCATCTCCAGATGCCGATTCTCCATCTCAAGGTGCGGATCCATCAGCCGCGCCATGTATCGGGGACGATGGGGATGGAAAGGGCCAGGGCTGGTTTCCTCTCCATCGTCTGTATGTAACAACGGTAGAACCCGCGACCAGAGCACCTCGAGCTCGTCTTCGCCTCCAGGCTCGCGGAGAATGGAGACCATCCTGTCCATTTCCTCAACAATGAGCAGATGGTGCAGGTTGCGAGGCATCGAGCCTGTGGTCTCGGCGGATGCGCCATGGCTTTCTACACGAGGAAGCCGTTTCCTCCGGGATGCCGAAAGGCAACCTTTATGCCTGAGCCGGACACAAGCGACACCATGCCTCCACAGGGCGGCCGAGACAGTGACCAGCAGAGCCCGGATCGTCTGGCCCATGGCCGTGACGAGATTGGTCAGGATGGGCAAGGCGAGCAGCGACCAGAAGACGAAGAAGGCCTTGCCGCAGCTGCTGGTCGGGTAGAAATCGCCGTATCCGATGGTCGTCAGCGAGGTAAAGGTGAAATACAACGCGACGAAATAGGACCAGCCTTGCTGCGACTCCGAGACCCGGAACACCGCCGCGCTGAGGAACCAGAGCACGAACCAGGCGAGCAGGAAGAAGACCAGCTCCCTGCGGACCTGGGCGCGGTGGAACTGGTCCTTGATGCGATGGATCTCGCGAACGTGCATTGCCTGCAGCGCACTCTCCTTCTGCTTTTCGGTCTGGCACCGCCAGCTCTCGCGCATCTGTGCCATCCGCAGCCGCAGCTTCATGTTCCGCATCTCGCGCGCAAAGGAGAGCACGGCGCTCACCATCAGACCCAGGGAGACGATGCCCGCCGTGGCGTAGGGGAACAACAGGCTTCGCCCCAGATGCGTGGTGGGCGCCAGATTGCCGATCCCGATCGTGAGGATGGTGAAGTCGGCGAAATACAACGCATCGAGGAGCGGCCAGCCCTCGGTGGCATGGAAGATGGCGGCGCCGAGCAGGAGAATCACGGCCAGGGCAACGGCTCGCAGCAGGATGCCTGTTCGCTGCACACAACGCCCATCGTGGCGGTTGAGGTGTATCTTCGGCGCGCCAACGATATATCCTACCAGCAAGAGTGATACCAGGCCGTACAGCGCCGCAGCGAAGACGCCATAGTAGAAGGCCTGGGTATATTCCCGATGGAGGTGGGAGGGGAGATGCGTATGTCTCTGGACCACCACCCCAATGACGCTGAATAGAAGCACAGCAGGCACCAGCCAGCCCAGAATGACCAGCCATAAGATATAGGAAGGTCGGCGATGGCGTCGCATCTGAAGAGCGTAGGCAATATATGTTATCACTGCAATGACAAGCGACACAGCTTGTAGAGCAACCATCCTATGACTGTCTTAATAGAAAGCGTTTCCGGGATAGAAAACAATACCTACCAGCGTGGAAAAGGCCTTTTATCATCGGCAACCTCCCACTCACTCAACAGGGTGCAGATGTTGAACATGAGGGCCATGGCGCTGAGGGTGCCCTGGGAGTGAACATTGGTATAGTACCCATCATGATCTATAGTTATACTTACTGCAAGAACAGGAAATCCTGTCACAAACAGCCATCGCTGTGAAGTCGTATCTGTCGTCTTTGGGGCCATGATATCCAGCAGATGAGGTTGGCAGAGTCATGATGGAATGGATGGTCTAGACCGGATATTAGCTTTGGGACCTTCAATCTATGCCTCAGGCAACAGAGGTATGCCTGAGGCATCAACCCTCTACAAAGCTATATTCTATGACCAGTATATCTATGCCTGGAAGTCTTTAACTATAAGAAACTAATGGATAATATCTTCTACTTCATTCAGTAATAGGTAAGGGCAAGTATTTTTTCATTTTGGAATGCCTATACGCTGCATCAGTTGGAAGATATACCACTATCTAGCATTTATAATCTAGACAATGCAGCAGGGGCCCTCCATCCCCTCTAGAACAGATCAACCTCATTTCTGACCTGCTCCATATCTTCATCAGTATCATCGTCATCAAGAGACTAGGGTTAGGGTTAGGGTTAGGGTTGTCGGCGCTCTGATACGAGAGCACCCAAAACCAGAGACCCATGCTGAATCCATCGCTAGTTACCACAGCCCTCTCAAGGGCACTTGATTCTGGCATGGCCAAGTTGGCCTCTATCCTCATGGATATCCCATGTAATATATCCAAGAAGCAGCCTTCTAGTAAAGAAAAGGAAAGATTTCTGCCCCTGTACTGTGTATACTGGTAAGAGGAATACATACATATGTATGGTAATAATAAGTGATATAGTAAAGAACGGAGCACACCAAGGCATGTACTGATCGGTTGCTTATTGGCCAGGGCTACTATTGCCAGGTAGGCCGCGTAATGGTAAGAACAGATGGCTGAATACAGCCAGCCACCACATAGTGAGAGCACTGCTGAGTGAGGAGCAGTGGCTTCGTTCTTCAGCTGTACAACGGAGCGAACGGAACACGAGTAGCCGGCTGGGGTGTCAACCGCTCCCCTGCCCAGCAGTTGAAGCTGGAGAAGGTCATCCCAGGGGCCGCCTGGTCAGCCTGGACCTTGAAGAACGTGGGCGGCGGCAGTTATCTAGACTTGGCCGGCGGTAACCCGGCTAACTGCACCCCATTGCAGGGCTGGAACACTGGTGGCCAGACGAAGAGCTCACAGTGGTATCTGATCACACAGGACAGTAACAACAGTTGGATCATGTCAGTCTTCTCCTTCTTGATCTGTCTTTTTCAGCTTGACTCAGAGGAACCACAGGCTGCAGAATGCAGCGACGTTTACGTATGCCGACCTGGACAGCGGCTCGAGGAACGACGGGTATGTTGAGTCTTCCTATATGACGGGGATCTACAGCTAGTTAACGGGGATTCCAGAAAGCGTATCCAAGGGTACGAACGGGGGCCTGATCTGATTAGGAACCAGATGTGGAATGTGCATTTCTTTTAGTAGAATAGCTACAAGATGAATCAAAGGCTATACTTCTCTCTCTATATGAATAGTTATGAATTCAACCCCAGCTCGCCATTTGCCTTGAGCGTTGGGACTGCTTCCTGTCCCAACTTTGCACAGACGGCATTCTGGATGCGAGTCTGCGCATCCTCGTAGTACGGCTCGCGGTGGAAGACCTCGTCGTCGGTCTCGAGCAGACGCAGGATCACCCCCAGCGCCCGGTCGCGCGTGGTATACAGATCCGTTGCCCAGATCACATTTTGCCTTTGGTGTTAGGGTTAGGGTTAGGGTTGGGTTAGGGTTGCAGCTCACCCTTCATGGTCGACGCGAAGCAAGAAGGAGATGCTCCAGGGGCTGCGTGCCCGGGCTGACCAGGCCCTCAGATCTACAGACCTGCTGGAGGACGCCCTGCAGCAGCAGCGAGGCTTTGTCGTCGACGAGGGATCCAAGCAGGCCATCGCCGCCGGGGGGGGATGCGGTCAGGAAGGAGGCCCAGCATATGCTCGATCAGGAGACATGTGCTACGGGGTCTGACATAGCTTGGGATGAGATGTAGGCAGTCAATCCTGTCATTGACCTTGGTGGATATCTCGGCTTCAAATCTAGATGATTAGGGCTGTAGGTCTAGAGTAGCTTAATAGAGCTCTACTCTATAGCTACATATTGATTTAATTTCTGTCAGAATCACCTATCAGCTTCTCTATCCTGACTACATCCTCCGCCAAATCTAGCGCCAGCGCGATGCCCATGATTTTCCCAATATCCTCCAGACGCCGGATGATCCACCATCGCGTCTGACTCTTGATGACCGGCGCTTTGCCCACGGTGTACAGACACCAGGTCAGCATATACCCGCCCGACACGCTGGCGTGCGACTTGTGGTCAATCGAGGCATGATGCTGTCTAGACACCACCGCCCCCGACGCCGCAGAGACGAACCCCAGCGCCTGGGGAACAGTGGCCAGGATGTCGTCTCCCAGCGCGGACAGCGTCTGCACCGTTTCCTCGACCCGGCACTGCATCTGCGCCGTCTGGCCGGCCGGGATGGCCCCCATGGCCAGGATCTTGGCCAGGAGGTAGTAGACGATCTCGCCGGTGATGATCCGCAGAATCCGGGCGTGGTTCCAGAGCCGGATCGTCCACGAGGTACTGTACAGGTCGATCCGGCCATTGTAGACGATTTCCGGGTCCCCTGCGACGTCTCGGGTGGTTGTATAGGGCGCCTGGACGGCCAGAATGCCCGCAACATCTTCCAGCTCATCCTGGAGCCTGGTTCCGACGTCCAGCAGGTCACACCAGGCCGTCTTGCCGCCGTTGAAAGTGACGCTCCAGAGCAGATTGACACAGCGGGTGGCCAGCACCCCCAGCGACCAGAATGCACTCGAGCCTTGCATCCTCCTGCTGGCCTCCTCCTGCAGCTCCCACATGTCGGCCGGGAACGGTTGGATGCGTTGGATGCACGCGACGACCATGTCGGCGCGCACTTGGTTGAACATGAGGATGGCGGCCGGGTTGGAGAACTGGCTCCTGCCCCGGGCCACCACCAGCGCAGCAGCCCCCTCGACGTGTCGCACCCACGACTCGAAGCTGGAGATGTGCTCAAACACCCCCAGCGAGATGACCGACATGAGCGTGCTGTCCTTGACAGACTCCACCGGCGATGCCAGCGCCCTGTTGATGTTGTGGATCGCCTCCGAGTATTTCAGGCGCGCGTGGCTCGTCAGCTCGGGTTGCTGCCCTGCCATCGCCATGAGGCCTACTGCCGCCAGGCTGGCCACCAGCGTCCGGTGCTCGCCATCGGCGCTGAACACGGTGGGGATGTAGTTGAGGAAGCCATGCGCGGGCGACTGCCCCCCAACCACAAAGTTCCGGAGGAAGTAGTTGACGCCTATCTCGTCCACACTGGGGCCCAGGCCGCACACGGGTCGGGGGGAGTCGTGATCCTTGGTCGACGAGGCCGTCTTTTCTGCCTCTTTCTTCCTGGATCGTGTGATCGTCTGTTTGGTCTGGTCGCGGAACACAAGCTCCCATTCATCTCGGTAGCCGGGGCATTCGCTTTGCGTGCGAATACACTGTCCACAGTGAGGGAGCTTCTGGTCGCACTGGAAAATCAGGTAAAAAAAAGTTAAATTGAAGATCAAACATCACATTAATGACTTACACGTCGTTTGACGGCTCGACAGTTGCCGCAGCTTCTAGAGGCTCTTGCGCGAGATGTCCCTTGCGGTGACATCGTCCGGGGCATAGATAGGGGAAGATGAGGGGAAGGGAAAAGGCTGGGGCCGAGCAACCAAGTAAACAAGCTCACTCCCTGAGGTGTTAAATTGCCTGTTGGGGTCCAATGAAGCGAACTGGCCAATTACAAGGAGTTTAGCAAGAGTTAGATTGACTGAAGAATACCGCCCCCACCCGGCAAATAAGTAGGGCTGTCTGACGTCATTTTTAACGGATTGCTGGCAGGGCTTAGAATGTTCTAGCTAGCTATTTAAATCTTCTCTCGGTCTTCCAGGTAAGTAATATGCTATTTGATTATCAAACCTCAGTATCAGCTATCAAAGTAACAGTTTTTCTGTCCATCTTGGTCTTATACTGTTTAAAATTCCTGAAGAATATACCAGATATTTCTCCAAATAAAGCCCCACTGGGCTTTGACTGGTTATATGGCTAATCACTTACTAACCAACCTGGTTACTGTACAGATAGGGCTGGATCACAGCCCTACAGCCAGTTTTATTGTAAAGATAGTAATAATGACCATTAGGCCGAGGATAAAAGAGAGCAGGCTGATAGTTAGTGGCCAATTCTTACTAATCTGATCTGCAACCGAATCTGGTATCTCGGGGATCAAGCTGAGCACTTGCGGGGATCAGACAAGACCCTGGATCGGTAATCTTTGGGCATTCAGCATTCGGCGATACACCGACTGGATATACCACTAATCGCGAGATCTTCTTTTAAAACCCTAACCCTAAAACCATAGCTAAGCTTTGCAGGCACCGGAAACCCACTCAGTCCCCGGATTGGGCCCACTGGGTCGCCGACTGAAAAGCAACTATAACGGGCCAATCATAAGCTGTCTGTCCAGTTGTTTCTGACATCATATGCAACAGTAAAGACATTTATCTGCTACTGGAGTGCCTTGCTTTGGGAAGAATGAGAATTCATTACCATTAGACTTCTGATGCACTTGGTCCTTACAATGTCTATAAAAGCAGGCCAGGCCCTGTTGCAAGTCCGCAGAAATCGGAGTTTGTCTGTTGGTGAGTGAGTTGAAAAGTTACTAGGAGTTTCTCCTGATTGACCATTCCATGGTAGTATCTAGCCTCGTTTCACATCACCCGATAATACCAAGAGCACACCTGATTAGGAATAAGGCCGAAAAGAGGAGCAAGGCAATGATTACGCCAACCATCTACGGTATCTTTGAGGCTACCACATACAGCTGGCAGTATATTGTTGCCGACATGGGCACAATGACGGCTGCCATTGTGGATCCGGTGTTAGACTACAATAGGCCCACCCGGACCTTCACAAATGAAACCGCCAATTCCATGGTGGCCTTCATCAGGGAAGTCGGGTTGAGGGTGGATAAGATCCTAGAAACCCATGTTCATGAAGACCACGTTTCGGCTGCATCTTATCTCCAGCAGTGGCTTGCCTATGTGCAGGGGAGTATACCACCAATCTATATCGGAGGTCGAAGCAGTCAGCAAGCTCACAATAGTGATGGCCCCCAAGTCTTCCCCCGCGAGGAATACAGGGGCGCTATCTGGAAACCACTCATGGACCACGAAGTCTTCAGTATTGGCCGGCTTAGAGTCAGGGTGGTCCCATTACCTGGTCATAGCCCCCATCATATAGGCTATCAGATTGGCGGTAAGCTCTCTACAAACAATATTATATGAAGATCTTTGCATCCATAACAGTGCAGCCAGTTCTAATTACTTCTATGCTAATACTATAGATAATATCCTCTGCGGGGACTCGATCCTCAATCCTGATCTCGGCACGGCTCGCTGTGACCTTCCAGGCAGTGATGCACAGCTGCTCTTCGAGTCCTGCCAGCAGATCTTGAGTCTCCCAGACCATGTGAGGATTTGGCCTGGCCATGACTATCTACCGGCCGGACGGAGTGAGCCCATAGCATGGACCACAGTGGGAGACCAGAAGCAGAAAAACAAAAGTTTGAGATCAGGCATCACTAAAGAGGAGTTTGTGAGGCAACAGACTCAGGAGGATCTTAAACTGGCAAAACCAGAGGCTATATATAGTCATTTTCGACAGTCTTGGGCGCTGGGAGCTTTTTAATTTTGCCAACAGCAAATTTCAGTACACCATGCTCACTCAAGTTGGGGTCTAAAGCAGCAAATAATGAAATTCTATTCTAACTTAACATGGATGTCAATTATCGCCTCTCGAGTGGAGGAATACAGAAGCTGGAAGCGTAGCTCTCAAGAGGCATATATGGCTAGTAGATGTTCTTTTCATGTTGGTTTCAGCTTCTAGACACAATGCCAGTTCCTAGTATTAAGAACTTCGACTTGGAAGATTCCCTAAGAGGAGATATAGAAAACTGCCTGGATAAGAGTAGAATTATCACAATAGTTATAATCACTAGACCATATGCTGTATCATGGTAGTACTTTTGTGGCTAAGCTGGGGTGTTATTTCGTCTATCCTCCTAGCTCTCTCCTCTTAGAGAGGCAAGACTCCCAACTTTAGTATATATAAGCTTCAATATTATGGACTGGCTCTTGTAGTTTTTTAAGTATAATAGTGGGACATACAGTGCCTTTCAGACCATTTTTTATGTTGGGGAGAGTCAACCGAGAAAGCAAAACGATCCGAAAATCCTGAAGGATTCATTATCAACTCATGGGTGGAGACTATTGGCTGCAAAAAGCCAGAGCAGTTTCCTACTTGGGACATCTTAATCAAGCTAGATATCTGTCTTTATTGCAGCTGTGTAGTGCTGTAAGTATAAAGTTATCAAAATGGCCATTAGGTAGGATGTCTTATGTTTATACTAAATACCATAATAAGCCTGTCCAGCCTTTTTAGTTCGACGCCTACTTTAGTCTCCGAGTGATCATCAATTAATACTCAGGTAATAGGCGTAGTGCCTAGCTACCGGTTTAGTAATATGGAACATCAAGATCAGGATTTCACACAGGAGAATCCCTGCTGGCCATATGGCCGTCAGATGTATTGCATGATATGTCATGTACCTTGGTGATACCAAAACGGACTGGATAGGCGAACACGAATTTCCCAAAGTGCCGTCAATGGCTGGGATCCAGGTCATGGGATATGATAATCCAGTCCAAACCAATCCATCCTCGGTTAGTAGTGTGAGACCGGCTGGAAGTTGTGCCTAGACGCTGCTCGTGTCTAATAACTATTCCGTGTTAGTGGGTCTGTGGTAAGTACAAGCTCAAGCCAGAGATTACGCGAGCGCTCTAATAGGTCTTGCCTGACGATCCCTGATCGCATCAAAGCTTTATTCTAGGGTCTAAGCAATGGGCCCGGAGCCTCCGTGTGGGAGCGTCGTAATCGCTCGGGACGTCCGTTCACTGTGCCGAGCATAGCGGGGACCCCGGGGGGAGAACACGAGCCCACCCCGCCAATGGATGTGGCGTATACGGGGTGCCAAGAACCCCGCGTGCATCGGATGATATTATCTCCCGACAGACGATATCTGGGTATATATATACCCAGATATATAACAGGCATGGTGCCTTGTCGTGGTGGGTGTCCTGTCTATCCCTCGGTCGCTCTCATTCCCTCCGTCAACATGGAGAACGCCATCCCGATGACAGAGGTCGACAAAGACACGCAGGTGCAGATCGAAGATGTTGCCCCAGGTTGCTTGACCAAGGCCGAGCTGGCCGAGGGCCAGCATGACGCGCTGGCTGCGGTCACTCAGACGCCATGGGCGATCATCCGGCAGAACATGAAGCTATTCATGGTCCTGCTTATTGTACAGGTAAACCAAGAAACACAGAGATTTCAAAAGCAATAGCCCTATATACTGATAAGACAGTGCAATGGTACTATTCTTGGTATCGAGAATATCCTGCTCGGCAACCTGGTCGGCGTCCAGTCGTTCTGTCGTGTGATGGGATCCTGGGACGAGAGCACAAGCGCATATGCTGTTGCTGCCGGGACTCTGTCCCTGTGGGCGGGTGTCTATTCCATTGCGTACGTACTTCCTCCATGGCCGACTGAAAGAAATACTAAATGAAATAGGCAAATCATCGGCAATCTCTCTGCTGGATGGGTGGCCGATCGGTTCGGCCGCAGCAAGGCGCTGTTCACGTTCATCGTCATCATCTACCTGGGCGTGATGACGGAGATCTTGTCAAAGAACAAGAACGACTTCACCGGGGCCAAGATCATCATGGGCATCGGCAACGGCATGAACCAGGTGGCCACCACCACCTTTGTCGCCGAAGCCACTCCGCGTGAGATCCGTGGCATCACCATCGGCCTCTACTGGCTGACCTCGGCCATTGGGAATCTCTTCTGCACGCTGGTGATCTACGGCTGCAACCAGGCCTGGGGCAGCAACGCCTTTGACGACCGCGCCTGGAAGGTGCCGCTGTACATCGGGCTGAGCACGCCGACCATCACGCTGATCCTGATGCTGCTGCTGATGCCCGAGTCGCCCTCATGGCTGATCCTGAAGGACCGTGTCGAGGACGCCAAGAAGAGTCTGCACAAGCTGTATCCGCGCCGCTCGGTGGACGAGATCAACCGCATGACGCATGAGCTTCAGTATACGGTCTACAAGGAGCGGGAACTGCGTGACGCCGCCAAAAGCGCCTCCTGGCTCGATTGCTTCAAGGGCGTCAATCGGCTGCGCACGTTCTGTGCCATTTTCCCCTCTCTCTCCACCCAGTTCGCGGGGACCCAGTTGATCAACACCTATTCCACCTGTACGTCTTCATCTTCTCCTTTCGGCGATGAGTGAGTCCGGCTAATTGTAGACTTCTTCGAAATCGCCCACCTGGACAACTCCCTCGAGGCGAGCGTGATTGTGTATGTGGTCGGCATCGTCGCCTCCATCATCGCCTTTGCCCTCATGGATATGCCCAAGATCGGCCGCTGGCCTTTGCTCTTCTACGGCCTCATTATCATGACGGTCATGATGCGTGCGTCGTGCCCTGTTCTGATATCTGGTCCAGTCACCTAACTGTTCTTTAGTGGCCATTGCTATTGTCGACAGCGTCGGCAACCCTGCTTCCGCCGGCTCTGGCAACGCTTTTGTCGTCTTCCTGGCCATCTTCTATGCCTGCTCCGTCATCGGACCAGGTGTGGCAGGGTACGTACCTATCCAGAAAGATCCAACGCACGCAAAGCTCTCTAACAATTATCAGATGGGCTTATGCCGGTGAGACGGGCTCTGCAACTCTGCGCGCCAAAACCGCCACCCTGTCCATGTGCTCAAACGCCCTGGTTGGAGGCGTCTTCAACATCGTCATCCCCTACGAGCTGGACGCCATTGGGCCCAAGAGTGGCTACATGTTCTTCGGGCTGGGCGCCATCGCGCTTGTCTTTGTCTACCTCTGGGTTCCAGAGGTGACGGGGCGTACTTATGCCCAGCTCAACGAGCTGTTTGAGCGTAGGGTTCCCCCGCGTCAGTTCAAGACCACCGAGTGTACCGGTGATTACGGCAATGGGGAGGCTTGATCATGATGGTAAAGCATTGATACCTGAGGGTTTACAATATCTAGATGGTAGTCTAGCCTTTGTATAAGGATAGTAGAACTGAACTCTATTAATGCTTCTCTTAACCTAGTCCTATACAATCCTACTATATAATAATTAGGTATAACTTTTGGACTTAATAATGAACCATTGTTTAATAATACCTAATAAATTATGTACTAGAACCTTCACCTCAGCAGTGGAAACTGCTAGTATACTAAAGTTATACTATTTCTTTAGCAGCTTGCAGAACTATAGCTTCATAGTATTTATATAGATTTAGTATATACTAGGCTTCACACATTGACATTCAATATACTATCTCAAGATATTCTATACACCCTAGATACCGAGACTAGAGCTCCTCAAATCTCCGCAAATCCATCTCGCGTTCCAACAAAGGGATGACATAGGGATCAAAGGTCTTCCAGTAGGGGTTCCCCAGGTGGTACTTCTGCGAGTCCGCGTTCAGGTAGCGCTCGACGATCGTAAAGTCCTGCTTGTCGTGGACAGACTGCATCACAAACCAGGACAGCGTCTCCTTATCCTTGGAGTACACGGCCGAGGCCTCGAGCAGCTTCGCGTGCAGCTTCGAGATGGACTCCTCGTCGGGCTTGGCCCGCAGGTCTGGCCGTCAGCATGGTCCTGACTCCTCGATATTGCAGCCAGGGACACTTACGAACGACAATTGTATAGACCATTGGAGGCAATGTATGTATGGATTATAGATGGTGGTGTAAATATGATATCTCTGTCATGTTATTTCTGTGTGAGGGGATTCAGGGACAGACCCCACTTTGTTCCTTCGGTGAGAGCAAGCAGTAATGACCCCACCTCTGTCGAGTTTAGTCTAATTAATTAAGGCACAGGAAGGTTTAGAATATTGAAGATATAGATTAATAGTATTGATATAGGGCTGAGCAAGGCTGATTTCATCAATCTAGCAATATCATAGAACAGAAGTATATATCAATTAATTATAAACCTAATATACTTAAGAATTATCACATAGATAACAATGCTAATTAGATAGTTTTATAGGCTATAATTAATGGTTTTAAATTCCTGCCTCAGGCTTACATTGCCATCCCGTGCAGCCCCACCGGCCTGTTTTCCTTCCCTCTCCCCCTCCTGTTTCGCCCGTCCATCACCGCGTCGCCGGCTGCTTCATTGAGCGGCAACGGACGACGACGATGGCGGTACAGGAGGACAAGGCAACCCGCCGCCACTGCTGGACCTGTCGCCAGCGCCGCCTCGTCTGCGACTTCACCCGGCCCGCGTGTCGCCGCTGCACTGCCGACGGCAGGGCCTGTCCCGGCTACGCTGCCGTCAAGCCCGTCCGGCTGGAGTGGCTCGTCCCGGGCCGGATCAGCTCTCGCGGCCGCCGGCAGCAGCAGCAGCAGCAGGAGGAGGAACAATCGAGAAATGGCTGTGAGACGTCGCTTCTTGCCCAGCCGCAGGTGCCAATAGACAGCGCCACCGCCCACGTGCTGGAGGCTGCAGAATACTGTATTACATAATCTCTCCTCCAGGGTCTTTATTCTTTATTGTTGACTGCGACAGATAATACGTGTATTGGGCCGACGGTCGAGCCGATGATGCAGGTGGCCCCCGGGCTGGGCGTGGTGGAGATCTCGCCCTCCGTCTTCCATCGCTTCATGGCCGCGCCGGACTATGTCCGGCAGATCGTGGTGTGTTCGGCGCTGGGCCACCGGCTGTGTCGGAGCAGATACCAGAACAGCCCGGCCACGGCCATGCTCGAGCAGCGGTTCTTCCGCTCGCGGGGCTTGATGATCGCCTCGCTGCATGACGATATCGATGCCAACCAACTGTGCGATCGGGTCATTGTCGGCATCATTGCGCTTCTCGTCATCGACGTACGCACCACCATACTCACTGTTACCTGAATGCATCCCCGGGACTAATGTCATTCCAAAGGTCCGGCAAGGCATCTCTCACCATTCCTGGCGCCATCATCTCGAAGGCATCCGGAGAATCATCAAAATGCGCGGCGGGCAGCAGCTGTGCGCCTCACTGGGCGTCGTGCCCTCGCTGCTTCAATTTCTTCTGTACGTATGAGACAGATGGATGTGGTGATATCGATCTTCTTGCTCATGGGCAGCCTCGCTGTTTTAGGAGACACCACCTCGCCGGCGTCAGATATGGCCATCCGCCCTGACCATCTGGTCCTCTACAATTTCCTCGTGGACCGGTACGCCGCCCGCCACGATCTCTTCACCATGTTCCCGGCGCCGTTGTTCACCGAGACCATCCGGATCAACTATCTGCGTATGCGGGCAGCACATGGAGATCCAGATCTTGATCCTGGGCTCAGGATTGAGTTGAGGGACGAAGCAGAAGCTATTCTGGGCCGCTTATATGCCTTTTCCCCCGAGAAATGGGCGCAATCCAGATCTTCCTTTCCCTCTCCATCACCACCGCCATCTACAACATATGAAGAAGACTGCCAGCTCATCGGCCGCGTCTACCAGACAGCAGTGATCCTCTACGCCATTCCCTCGCTGCAAAGTGTCTCGGTCTTGCCATATTCACCGTTGTTATCCCATGACTGCACGGCCCTCTGCCAGCGGCTGCACACCCTTTTACAGGGATCCCTCTCGTCCCCGAAATTCCAGCGACTCCTCTTCTGGCCTTTGATTGTTCTAGGGGTGCATGCAAGCAAGGAGAATCCTGACACTCCCTCTCCCCATTATCAATCATTTGTCCGTCGGCACCTCCACGAAATCGGCCGCTTCACAGGCACGTATAATGCACAGGCAGCCCTGGATGTGCTGGACCGGTTCTGGCCCAGGGGGGGTGGATGGGACGACTGTTTTGATCGGCCGTATCTGCTGTATAGCTCACAGGGGGTTGATGGGAGGGGGTTGAAAGACTAGTAATGATATGATATAATTAGAAATAGAAATAGAAATCGGAAGAAGTTGATGGCTAATACCTATCTCTAGGCTTACATTTGTCCTTGCATAGTGGATATCCTACAGGTAGAGAAATGAATTCTATCCTAGCTATTTCCATTCAAATCTTCATATCAAAATCATATATCTTGTTGACTACGACGGATATACGGATACCCATCGTCAGATATATAGTTTCTCTTTACATCATTTACTTAACCATTTATTGACTGTTTCTTATTAACATTCTTATTATTCGTGTATTATAAGGGCCTAACCTTATTATGCACTTATATATTATGGATAATAATTATCCCTAAAAGTTATCTAGTTAGTTAGTTTAATATTATCTTATTATTGGCTCCATATAGGGAGAATCCTTGCATTATTTAGCTGAAATATCTTCATATTCAGCCTTTGTAAGAGATTCTATCAAGAATACTACTAACCCAACTAGGCCTAGCGCAAATCTGCCAAGAGCAATGCGAGATCCAGGAGAAAATGGCATCATTTGGCAACTTTGGATGATTGAGAGTCATCCAGCAGGCTCTTCCTCACCCACACACCATGGCTCCTGTTCAAGGCACGCTCCATAAATACGTACGCTTTGCCTCCTTCTTGATGCTGATTCACTGACCCTTCCAGGACGCCCGGCATGTCGCCTTTGAGCATGCCGCCGCCTCTCCCGGCCGCCACCTGCTGCTCTTCATCGGCGGCCTGACCGACGGGCTGCTGACGACGCCGTATACCACGCAGCTGGCCCAGCGGCTGCCGGCGGGCTGGAGCCTGGCGCAGGTGCTGCTGTCCAGCTCCTACGACGGCTTCGGCTGCGCCTCGGTGCAGCTGGACGTGGCCGAGCTGGCGGCCTGCGTGCGGTATTTCCAGCACGAGCAGGGCAAGCAGACCATCGTCCTGCTGGGCTGTTCCACGGGCTGCCAGGATACGCTGACGTACCTGCTGGCCCCGGGGGTGCCTCGCGTGCGCGCGGGGATCCTGCAGGCCCCCGTGAGCGACCGCGAGGCCCTGAGCCTCCTGATGGCCCCCGGGCAGCTGCGCGAGGCGATCCAGGCCGCGCAGGCCATATCCAGCGCCGAGAATGGCAAAGACAAAGACAAAGACGGCCGAAAGACAACCCTGCCGCCCCATCTGCTGCCGTCCTTCATGGCCGTCCCGATGACCGCCTACCGGTTCCTGAGCCTGGCCAGCCCCAACCACGACGGCGACGACGACCTGTTCAGCTCCGACCTGACGGACGCCCAGCTGGCGCGCACCTTTGGCGCCATCCCTGCCGCCACGCCGCTGTGTATCCTGTACTCGGGCAGCGACCAGTTCGTCCCCGACACAGTGGACAAGGAGGCCCTGGTGCAGCGCTGGATCGCCGCCAGCCGCGCGGGCACGGGGGCCGTCGACGAGGCCTTTTCGGGGGTGGTTCCGGGGGCGACGCACACGATGGAGGGTGCGCCGCAAGCCAGCCTGGACGACTTTTTTGACCGGGTTGGGTGGTTTTTGCAGAAGCTATAGCCTGTCTAGTTTGGAATATCATCTCATTTACTACTCTACTATCCTATGGCGCATGAGCCCCACGCAGGTGAACCTGTTAATCCCGCTTGACTCCGATTTCCCCCACCCGACGCAGTCCCAACAGACACACCAGACAGACGAGGCCCATCCAAGCCGTCATCGTCCAGAAGACGGCGCGATACCCCGAGACGGGCTCGGCGGCAGCGTCGGTGATGACGGAGGTGATGGACAATCCGATCGCGGTGCCGAGCTGGGCGCAGGTGTTGAAGACGGCCCCGCCCAGCGCCTGCGTGTGTGCCGGGAAGACGTCGGAGATGACCAGCAGGCCGACGGTGAAGAGGATGTCGCAGCTGAGCGGCGCGAGGAGCTGCGCAAAGAAGGCGTCGTACCAGTACGGCCAGTCGGGATGGATCACCGCCATCAGAAGCGGCGCCGCGGCGCTGGCCGCGGACGAGCCCAAGACCACCCAGAGCACGGGCATGCGGTTCACAAACACGCCGGTCGACACGTTGGTCAAGGCGCCGGCAATGAGCGACGGGAGAATGCGCAGGGAGGCTCCGAGGGCGGAGCTGTTCTGGATGTTTTGGAAGCTGGAGGGTGAGATGGGGATCCGCAGGACCGGAATAACAGGGCGGACTTACTACAGACTGCTATACAGCTCCATGCAGTTGGTCCCGGCGGTCGTCAGGAAGACCATGATGCAGCTGCTGGTAAACACGGAGCTGCGCCAGAGAGCGTTGGGGATGAGCGCTGGCCGCTGGTGCTCGACCTGGTGTTGCATCCACCAGACAAATGCCGCAATGCAGACGACACTCGTCGCCAGGAGGGCGATATTCGATGGCTGGTGGATGTTGTTGGTGTTTCCCGACAGTGCTCTATCTTATTAGTATCTTGATAACAGAGGGTGATATATATATATATATACGTACGACAAAACATAGGACAGTATGGCCAGCCCGGCGCTTAACAGAATCGCCCCCGTCCAGTCAATCTCCTTCAACAATCGCTCCCCCGAACCACAGGGGCGAGCATCAGGCAACGCCCAGATGCCGACGAGGAAGAGCGCAAAGCTGATCGCCCCCGCGAGATAGAAGGCGGCGCGCCAGCCGACGCCGTCGACAAACACCCCGCCGAGGACCAGGCCGAGCGAGAAGCCCAGCGGCCCCGCGAGCCCCAGGCAGGCAAAGCCCAGGTTGCGGCGGGGGCCTTGGGGCACCTGCGTCGAGATGATGGCGATGGACGAGGGCACGATGATGGCGTTTGTCACGCCCTGCAGGGCGCGGAAGGCGATGATCTCGCCGCCGGTCCGGGCCAGACCACAGGCCACGGCGCAGACGGCGCTGAGAAAGGCGCCGCCCAGGTTGACCGGTTTGGCGCCCACGACATCGGCCACGGACCCGGCGATCAATAGACACGATCCGGCGGTCAGGTAAAAGGCCGAGGTTGGCCAGAGCAGCAGCCGGTCGGGGATGTCGAGACTGGCGGCGATGGTGGGCAGGCCGACGACAATGACGCCGTTGCAGAAACTGCTGAACAGAGACAGGCCCAGCAGCTGAATCACGACCAGGACGGTCTGGGGGGGGGATAGTTTTGCTGGCTCTTCAGTCTGGTTATTCTGCCTTGACTCGGCGTCGTGGACAGCCTCGTGGACAGCCTCGTGGACAGCCTGGATGGTTTGCAACTCGGTCGACATGTTGAATAGATGTCGTAGAAGATGTCGGAAGATGTCGTAGAAGATGATGTCTTATTATGAGTCAGAACTAGACCATGTAATGTAATAGGTTGGCGTAATTTTACAAGGTGTATATAAAGTACTTATATTTAGATAGTATAAAATGAGTTCTATATAGTGAATCACAGATGTCTAGTTAAACTGATATCCCTATTTAACGCCAGATTTACTGTGCTCAATAATATATAGAGTATTCTATATAAACCACAGAGTCGCAGGGTATACCAGATAAGAGTCCATATTACAGCTTAATATATTATATATTATAGGGGCTAATCTATTTATTTATATATATATTGAAATACTTATATTAGTGTTTATTACAATCCTTATTATAGTAATAATGTAATAATAGGGTTAGAGGGTTAAAATAATACCCTTATATTTTACATTATTCAACTTTCTTTTGCTGGATATTGTAGCTGCTGTGTTTATATTGTTATGAGGTTACTAAGCATGCTAAAGTAATAGTGGTAGCTATAAGGGTGTACCACCTCATGCGATAGATAAGACTGTCTAGAACAATCAAGTACAGACCAATCGCTAATTATTGCTATTATAATACCACTAATCCTATAGGGTATAGTGCACTCCTGCTAGACTATTACCAACTGTGGCTGGCTGACGCTTTTAGCTGATATTAGATTCTCAACGGAGTACTCCGTTTCATCTTCACTTGTATCCATGATTCCCTCTTATAAGTATTAATACACTCCGTACACATGTCCAAGATAATCCCCTCCCCCGGGAGCCACCCCGACGTCAAGGCCGACGCACGCCGCGTGTTTGACGTGCTCCGGGCCGGAGGCATCGCCCTGGTGCCGACGGAGGTGGGCTACGGCCTGATGGCGTCGTCGAGCGAAGCGGTTGAGAGAGCGTTTGCAGCCAAGCGGCGGCGCCCCGGCCACGCACAGGGGATCATCGGCACGCACGCCTTGCAGCGGGCATTGCACGTGTTGCCTGCGGACAAGCAGGAGATGATCCGCACGTTACACGAGGAGATGGATCTGTCGTTTGCGGTGGTTGCGCCGTACGACGCCGATCACCCGAGGCTGCAGCAGCTGAGTGCGGCGACGCTGGCCAACACGACCCAGGACGGCACGGTGGGCGTGTTTCTCGGCGGGGGATCGTTGCTGGCCGAGCTGGGCCGCCTGAACGACGCCGCGGGCCAGTTGATGTTCGGCAGCAGTGCCAATCTCACGGGGACGGGGCAGAAGTTCCGCGTCGAGGACGTCGACGACGAGATCAAGGACGCCGCCGACGTGATTGTCGACTACGGCCTGCAGCGGTATCATGTCTATGGGGGGCGGCCGTCGACGATCATCGATTTCGACCGCATGAAGGTCTTGCGCATCGGCTCGTCGTATGAGCTGCTGAGGGAGCGGTTGGCCAAGTACTGGGCGGTTGTCTTGCCTGTGGATCCGATGTATCTTTAATTTAATTATATGTATATTTATATGTATATGTATATGTATAATCTATTCCCGGATCCAGTCAAAGACAATGTGCGAAAACGCCCGCGAGGGATGGTCGACGAGCCGGTAGAAGAGCTCGGCAAAGGCGATGACGGTGAGCAGGGAGACGAGAAAGGAGACAAAGACCGAGACTTGCGATGGCCACTGCCGGTCGACGTTGAGATGGATGAACAGGCGCATGCCGGCCGTGTAGACGACGATTCCTTGGGCAAAGAGCCACGCTGAAGAAAGTAGTCAGCATCTCTGGGGGATGGAACAGTGCGGGGATGGAAGATGCAACTTACACAAAGATCTCGAACCCAGATAGACAAAGACCGGGTTGGCAAAGAGGCGCTGCAGCCAGGGGTAGGTGTCGACGGCGAGCAGGAAGCCCAGGAGGATGAGATAGATGTCGTCTCGGGCCTGGGGCTGGGAGGAGTCGTAGTCGGTGTTGAGGCCGCCCGAGTAGTACAGGCCGGCGTGGGCGACGATCTCGGAGTCGTAGAGCTGGGGGTTCCAGCCGGTCCAGAGGAACTGCATCAGCACGCCGCCGAGCATGAGAAGGAGATAGACGGTCCAGGAGGGGAGGAAGAGGCCCTTTTTGAAGGGCAGGGGGATGCCGCGGGCGGCCTTTTGCTGGAAGTCCATGTTGACGACCATGTCGGCCAGGAGGAGGCCGGAGATGGAGTACCAGGCCCAGGACTGCATCCACCAGGCGGAGAGGACGAAGAAGAGGGCGGCCTTGAGGCGCCAGGCCGGGCGGGTGTAGGGGGCGACGATCATGGTCATGTAGACGGTGAAGCTCTGGGTGTAGAGGACGGTGAGGATCCAGAGCAGATGCGAGGGGAAGGCCAGGCTGGCGGCGGAGGTGGCAAAGGTGCGGGTGATCCAGAAGAGATTGAAGACGGCGTTGAAGTAGACGAGGGCGTTGGGGATGTCGTAGGGCACGGAGGCCGACTCGTTGCCGGTGAGGTCGAGGAAGTACTGGATCCAGGCGTAGCCGTCGGTCTGGGCGAGGATCAGCTTGGCGAGGCCGAGGCCGACGAGGGCCGGGAAGAAGAGGCGCAGGCCGCGGCGGAAGATGGCGCCGGTGAGGTTGGCCTTGGAGGGGTCGCGCAGGAAGGGGATGGCGATGCTGCGGGCGGACAGCAGGATAAAGGCCGAGTAGATCAACGGGCCGTTCCAGAACAGCACGCCCAGCGACTTGCGCAGGTCCATCTGCCACAGGGGGCCCTGGTTGTTGTACGAGTTGACGACGGTGCCGGGCAGGAAGGCATCGAAGAAGACAAAGAGGAAGGACTGGATGGTGAACCAGCCTCGGAGGCCGACCAGATGCATTATGTATAGTATAGTATACTATCGTATAGTATATAGTATAGTATACTATAAGTATAATAGTATACTATAAGTAGTATATATAGTGTATACTATAAGTGAATAGAATATATAGTATAGTATAGAGTATAAGTAGAGTATAGTATAGTATATACTATAAGAGATATATCTATATATAGTAGATATCATATACGATAGTGTCAAGATAAGGTAAAAGAGCCGAACCAGCCAAACAAAGAGATTTGTCACTAATATCCAGTTACCGGGTATCGCTAAAATCTACTCGATTTCGTATTGCAGAATTTTCTGCCGCAAACCCACCCTCTATTAGAAATCGATTCTACGATATCCACTTCGGCTCTTGGACTCCATTCTGAGCTTAATTAGGACGGAGTATTCTTATCTCATGCTCTACTGTTGATGCATCTATAGATCACACCATGTCTATGCATAGATCACAAACTTAATTCAGCATCTAAGCTGCATAATGAACGCAGCCTATCTCATCCAGTCCTCCTCCTCGGGTAATCTTCCCCTCTATCCTCTCGCCGTCGGGTTCCAGGCTGAGTAGCGGCTGACCAGGCGTGCGTGGCCATACAACCCCACCACGGCTGTGATGACCAGATAGACGGGGTACGTTACCGAGAAGACCACGATCATCCAGGGGTCGATGAACTCGGATTTGGCCCGGTGGGTGATCCACAGGGTCGCCAGAAGACACGACACACTGAAGTCAGTAATTAGTAAACAAAGTAAAAAAATAAACAAAGTAAAAAAATAAACAAAGTAAAAAAAAATAAAAAAAAATAGAAAAAAAAAAATACCTGATGATGAACAGCCACTGAGACACAGGATACTGGAAATAGATAAGAACCGCCCAGGCATGGGCAGTCTTGGGGAACTGCGTGATCACCACGCTGGCGACGAGACACACATACTGCGTGATAAGGTAGTAGCTGAGCTCACGCACCAACAACAGCGACAACAAACCAAAGCGCATGCGGCCGCTGCGCTGCACCTCCTTGCCCGTCCAGGCCAGGCGCAGATGGCGCAGGCTCGCCTGGGCCCAGCCCTGGGCCCACCGCAGGCGCTGGTTCCAGAGGGCGTGCAGCGAGACGGGCGCCAGCTCGTACGAGACGACGTTCATGTCGTGCTCGATGCAGGCGCCGCGCGAGAGGGCGCGCAGGGTCGAGTCGATGTCCTCGGTCAGCATGGAGTCGTCCATGCGCAGCTCCGTCAGCAGCGTCGCGCGCCAGAAGCCGTTGGAGCCAGTGAACAGGCCAAACCCCCACAGCGCCGAGCGGCCCGGGTGCGAGACGGCGTAGATTTTGTCGAACTCGGCGGCCACCATGGCGGTCTGCAGCGAGTGCGCGGCGTTGAAGATCACACAGCGGCCCTGCACAATGTCCACGCCCGGCCGGGTGGTGAGCCGCTCCATCGCCCAGCGCGGGCCGTACGGGTGCGGGTAGTGGTCGCAGTCGAAGATGGCGACGATGTCCTTGGCCAGCCCGCGCGACAGGAAGTAGTTGAGGTTGTCCGCCTTGGAGCTCGAGTTGGGCACGCTCATCACCCGCAGCCGCGCCGGATGCTGTTCAGCCAGCCCCTGCAGCTGCGACTCCAGCGGCTCGATCGCGTGCGGCGTGTTGTACAGCACATTGATGCTCAGCTTGTCCGCCGGATACTGGATCTGCTCCAGCGCGTACCGCACCCGGTCCAGGATGATGTCCTGCTCATTTGGCAGATACGCCACGATGATCAGGTCCAGGTGCAGCAGCTGCTCGTCCGGCGTCGGGAACTGCCACTCCTTTGCCTCCAGCCGCGCGCTGGCCTGGCGCGCGTCGCGGAGGGGGGCGATCCCCATGAACGCCTCGATCACCGAGTTGCCCGCGACATAGAAGTTGGTGCACAGGCAGATGAACCAGAACACTTGCAGCAGCTTGGCCGTGCACACCGTGTAGATGCACACCGATGTGATGAAGTACGAGGCCACCAGGAGGGGGGGGGTGTATTTCTGGATCTGCAGCATTGGGAGGAGGAGAAGAGAATATAGAAGAGAAGAAGAGAGAAGATAGAAGATAGAAGGAGAAGACAGAAGATAGAAGATAGAAGGAGAAGACAGAAGACAGAGACAGAGACAGAGACAGAAGATACTTAAACATATACAGACAGACAACGTATTAAATAGTCTAGTTCCCAATCTGGCTGACCTGCCGATGCTCGTCCGTTCCTCGCTTCAAATGTCTTATCTTTTTTTTTATTTTTATTTCTTTCTTTGTCTAACAGTGCCACATCACTCATCTAAATAATCTGTCTCTTCCTGTCTTCTATTTAATCTCTATCTCTGTTCTTAATTTAATCTCTCTTCCTTGTTAAATTCTCTCTCTATCTCCTGTCTCCTCTTCCCTCTCTCCCTCTATCCCTCTCTCTCTATCTCCTCCTCTTCTCTCTCTCATCTCTTCTATTCCTCTCCCTCTCTCTCTTCTCTATCTCCTCCTCATCTCTTCTATTTCTCTCCCCCTCTCCCTCTATCTCCCCCTCTCCCCACCATGAAAGCTCTCTATCTTCTACTCTTCCCCCCCCTCATCGCCGCCATCAATGGAACCAACAACACCGACTGCTCGTGCGGCTACCGCGACGGCGCCAACCTGTGGACCGACTCGCTGATCGTCTACTTCAACGAAACCGACTCCCTGCAGGATAGTGGCTTCGAGGCCCAGGTGTACAAGCACCACTACGAGAATGGCTGGAACAACCTGTTCCGCCAGGGCGCCGACCTGGCGCATCTCACCTTCATCCCCAACGAGTCGCTGGCCCTCAACCTGTCCGTCGCCACCCCCGACCACCTCGTCATGGGCGCCGCCATCCAGACCCTGCGCCATGACATCCATTACGGCTCCTTCCGCTCCTATCTCAAGGCGCCGCTGGCCTGGACCGGCGGCAGCGCCCTGACCATGGAGCTGCTGTACAACCAGACCGAGACCTTCAGCCTCAACCTCAACAGCGTCGAGAACGCCACCGAGTCGCGCATCACCATGCTCGTCAACCGCGAGTTCCCAGACTCCATCTACGGCGTCAACTACACCACCCTCGTCGACCGCGACCAGGTCAACCCCTGGGATTTCACCGAGTACCGCCTCGACTGGTCCCACAACGAGATGCTCTTCTTCCTCGGCAACGAGTCGCATCGCAACATCTCCCGCAAGCATCTGCCCTCCCTGCCCTCCGTCCCGGGGCCCATCCATTTCAAGCACTGGTCCACCGGCAACTATTACTCCATGCAGGGGCCCCCCTGGCAGGAGACCACCGCCAACATCGGCTGGATTCGCTTCTTCTTCAACACCACCTCCATGTCGACGGAGCAACGGCAACAATTCGACGCCCGCTGCAACTCTTCTTCCTCCTCTTCCTCCTCTTCCTCCTCTTCCTCCTCTGTCTGTTCCGTCGACGACACCTCCCTCCGCGGCTTCACGGCCTACTCCCACAACGCCACGGTCCGCTGGCATCAGCACCACGCCCCTTACTCGGCCCGCTTCGCCTCCATCTCCCTCATCGCCATCTGCAGCACCCTCAGCGCCGGCCTCATGCTGTACTCCTTCCTGCAGCGCTCGCGCCAGAACATCCAGTCCAGCTCCTCCACCGAGCGCTTCGTTCCCTCGCCCTCCATGGAGCCGCCTTTTCCCCCGGATTCCGCCCTCGCCACCCCCGGCCCCGATTCCGGCACCGTCACCCCGTATGGCGATCATGTGATCATGTCTGGTCAGGTGACACCCCTGGCCAAAGGTCACATGGTCAGTCTTGATGGTCACGTGATTACAGATTCGAGTAACGTGACCTTGGTCAACAACCCTAACCCTAGTCATGGGATCACCGATGCCAGCCTCGCGACCCTGGTCAATAACCCTAACCCTAGTCACGTGTACTCACTCACCTCGGACTCGGCCGGCTCGGCCAAGGGATTCTCCGAAAAGACCCTCGCCGTCACGGAAGACGCGCTCCCCGATAACCCTAACCCTAACCCTAACCCTAACCCTAAGACTGCGTCTGCTCTCCCTGCCGCCAAAAAGCGAGTCGACTATCTCGCCGGCCTCGTCGCCGTCAGCTCCCTGCTGGTCACCGGCATCCATTTCTGCCTGACCTTCGCCAACGCCGCCATCAACCCGGGCGCCTACATTCACTACAACTCGGAAGTATGGGCGCGCAAGACCATCGTCCCCTTCACCCTCAACCAGAACTGGATCGGCCCTTTCCTGATGACCTCCAGTCGCTTCTTGGCTGCCAGCTACCTGAAGAACGGCAGTCTGGCGGCCATGGCTGAGAAGACCGTCGGCCGGACGCCGCGCATGTTGATCCCCGTCATTGCCATCGCCCTGCTGGAGTATTTCCTCATGGACGCCGGCGCGACCAAATGGCTCGAGTATCTGGCCAGCATCAGCTGGTCCACCTGGCCCTTCACCGTCGAGTACACCAACTTTGGCACGTTTATCGCCGAGATCATCGAGCTGATGTATCTGATCCCGAATGCCGCCCCGCAGATCACCTTCAACTACTGCACTGGTGTGTTGTGGACGATCCCCGTGCAGCTGCAGGGCTCGTGGACCGTCCTGCTGGCGGTGCTGGTCGTCGCCGAGATCAAAACCCCCTGGAAGCGCTTCGGCTACTACGCCGTCGCCATCGTCACCAACTGGTACGGCCTCAACTGGGGGTCCTACTTCTGGCTGGGCCTGCTGCTCACCGACCTCGACCTGACCTACAACTACCGCCCCTGGCTGCGCGCCCGGCCCTGGCTGTACTACCCGGTTGTCGTCCTCAGCCTGGTGATGGCCATCGGTGGCCTGGGTATCGACTTCACCCCGCAGTGGACCAACGTCCTGTACGAGACGTACGAGTACGGCATCCATCCAGACTGGCAGACTGGACGCCCCATCGCGCAGACGTCGGGCGCAGGCTATCCGCAGTATTACATCCCGCGTCTGAACGGGCTGGTCTTCAGCTTCGGCCTGCAGACCCTCGTCGAGCTCAGCCCCGCCGTCCAGAAGCTCTTCTCCTTCAAGTTCTTCGTCTACGTCTTCCCGCACATCTTCACCATCTACCTCATCCACGGCTTCGTCTTTTGGTCCTTTGGTTCCGCCCTGTGCATCACTTTTGCCAGCCTGGGGCTCCCCTACTGGGCCAACATCTCCCTCGTCGCCCTCTGCTGCTACTCCACCATCATCGTCAGCCTGCCCTTCCTCACCCCGGTTGTCGAGACCCTGGGCAAGAAGGTCACGGCCGATATCTGGCGCATGGCCCATGAGGTCCCGACCATGAGGAAGCCGACCTTGTATCCATGGACCAAGACTTTGATTTTAGACAGGGGGTCTGCTTGACACATTCCTTTACATTACACATTCTCCTAGACACATTAATGCCTCATTCCTCATCTCTTGGCACTGCGTAAGATCTACATGGATCAGTACGTAGGAATACTCCGCATCTGGATTATTACAAATAATAATTAGATTGCAATCACATACAGTCAGGGATAAGACTAATATAGTCAAAACATAGTGCCATCACATGCTCGGCGGAATAAGGTTATCCGTGCAGAAGTCGGAGGTTATTCAGGGCCGATCAGGTACATCATGCATCCATCATATCTATCATAGTACATTATATCAATATATTAGTATATATATCAATGTATTAGTATATTATTAGTATCATAGTATATTATATCAATGTATTAGTATATTATATGAATATATATATTGGTATCAAGCAATAATACAACCTCGGAGTATTCACTCGTACCCCTCTCCATACTACGTAAGCTCTCCACTGCAGATCATGGCAGACCAGGGTCAGACGGACGATCCGTCGCCCCCCGTCATGCTCGCCCAGCTCACTGCAAGTATTTAACCTACTCTGAACTCTTTCACTTTCATCACTTCATCACTGCTCACTTTTTCACTTCTCACTTTCTCACTTTCTCACTTTGTATAGTCATCTAGTCATCTGGTCATCTCTTTCTACAATGAAGACAGCTTGGCTGGGGATGGCGGCCGTGACCGGCGCCCACGCGGCCCTGTACGAACAGCCGATCACGATTGCGCAGGGCAAAGTGCAGGGCGCGGCGGCATTCAACGCCTCGTACGGCTCCTTCTTCCCCAACTGGAAGGACATCAGCGTGTGGAAGGGGATCCCGTACGCGGCGTCGACGGCGGGGGAGAACCGCTGGCGGCCCCCGCAGGACCCCGCGGCGTGGAACGGCACGCTGCAGGCGACCGAGTTCGGCCCCGGATGCCCCAGCTCCAGCGCGGCGACCACCAGCGAGGACTGCCTGTCGGTCAACGTGTGGAGCCCCGCGACCAGCGCCGACGAGAAGCTGCCCGTGATGATCTGGTCGTACGCCGCAGGCGGCACCTCAGGCATGTCCACGTACGACGGCGGCGGCATGGCCACCCACGGGGTTGTCTTCGTCAACTACAACTACCGGACCGGCCCGCTCGGGTGGCTGACGCTGCCGGCGCTAGCGGCCGAGGATGCGAAAAACGTGTCCGGCAATTACGGCCTGCTGGACCAGATCCGCCTGGTGCACTGGGTGCGCGACAACATCGCCGCGTTCGGGGGCGACCCGGACCGCATCACCGTCTCGGGCCAGTCGTTTGGCGCCGGCGCCACCTACCACACGGTCAACTCGCCGCTGACCAAGGGCTTGATCAAGGGCGCCATTGCCGAGAGCGGCATCAAGGACCCCTACGACCCCAGCCTGTGGGGGTACGGCAGCGACTACCGCAACATGTCGTGGGCGCTGAGCTTCAGCGAGACCTACGCCGAGTCGCTCAACGCGACCACCGCCGCCGAGCTGCGCGCGCTCAGCGTCGATGAGGTGCTCGAGGGCGCCGGCGTCAGCACCTTTGTCGGCTTTGACCCGGTCCTGGACGGCTACGCCATCCCCAACAAGTACATCGTCAGTCTGGAGGACGGCGCCCCCAACGACGTGCCCATCCTGGTCGGCAACAACGCCGACGAGGACGACGTGTCGCTGACGCTGTCGCTCACCGTCGACGAGTACATCGCCGAGGTCAACGAGACGTACGGCCCTGCCGCCGCCGCCCTGCTGGAGCTGTTCCCCGCCGCCAATGCCACCCAGGCCGCCGACGCCTACAACGACATCCTGCGCGCCATCATCCGCGTCTCGACCTGGTCCTTTGCCCGGCGCTGGCACCAGACCGAGTCCAGCCCCATCTACCAGTACTACTGGACGCACGCGCCCCCCGGCCAGGACTCGGGCGCCTTCCATGGCTCCGAGGTTCCCTACGCCCTCAACAACCTGTACGCCGTCACCACCTCCGACTGGGAGGCCGACGACTATGCCATCGCCCACCGCATGTCGGCCTACTGGGCCAACTTCGTCAAGACCCAGAATCCCAACGAGGGCGGCTCCTACAAGAACAACGGCTCCCTGCCCTACTGGCCCGCCAATGTGCCCGCCAACAACGTCACCTTTGAGGTCGGCAAGGTCTGGGAGACCATCCCGGTGGGCTCGCCGGAGCTCATCGATCTCATGCTCGAGTACTTTTACTACGCCACTCCGGATCCCATGTAATCATATACTATCTTACTATCTATACTATCTTACTATCTTACTATCTATACTATCTATACTATCTACGGGTTGTAAAAACCAACTGGCAGCCATCCTAAAAGTCAGCAAGTCAGCAAGTCAGCAAGTCAGCAAGTCAGCAAAGAGCAAGAGCAAGGCGCAATAGACACTGTAACTCACCATCGGGAATAAGGTGGCAAAGACTCGAATCTCCTCCGACGTCGGGGTTTCATGGTGCGTCCAGTCGAGCTCGAGGGCGACTTTACCAATCATGCCCGCCATGGAGAGAGGCACGTACCGGCGCGCCAGACAGTCGTGCGGGCCGGCCCCAAACACCAGCCAGTTGCGCGTCTGGGCCTCGGCATCGCCCGACAGCCAGCGGTCAGGGTCGAACACGTCGGGGTCGGGATACACCGCCGGATCGTGCAGGGCAGGGTAGCACGAGGGAATGACCATCGCCCCGCGGGGGACGGTGTAGTCGGCGGTCAGCGGGAAGGGCTTGGTGGTCTGGTAGGGCACGAAGATGACGGGCGGGCGGTGCCGGAGGAGCTCCTTGATCACGGCGTTGGTATAGGGCAGGGCCTCCAGCATGGGCAGATCAAACGGTTTGCTGCGGTCCCCTGCGCGCGCCGCCAGGTTCTCCGCGCGCACCCGGTCGAGCACGTCGGGTCGCTGCGCCAGGATCTGGAACAGCCAGGTGGTCGCGCTGCTGGAGGCGTCCTGCGAGGCAAACAGGAAGGTGAAGAGCGTCTCGCCGATCTCCTCGTCGCTGAACATCCGGATCAGGTTGCTTGGTTTCTCTGCCTCGGTCTCCCCCGCCGCCACCCGGGCCCGGTATCGTTCCGACTCCATCATATGCAGCACCCAGTGGTCGACGATGCACGACGGGGTCCCTCCGGCCGCCAGGTTGGCCTTGCACGCCGCGGCGCACTGGGCAAACTCGGCGTGGACGGCGTCGGCGATCTTCTTGCCGCGCCATGGCTTGGTGTAGGGGATGTACAGCGAAAAGGGCATGTTGACCAGCTCCAGCGCGGCGGTGACGAGGTAGAAGTCGTCGGCAATGCGCTGCACCGCATCCTGCGAGATATAGTCGCCGAAGAACGTGCGGCACGAGAGGGCGCAGTTGAGCTCCCGGAACAGAGTCATGAACTCCCGCGGCTGGCCGTCGTTGGCGGCGCTGGCGGCGACCAGCTTCTTGCAGTACTCGCCCACGACCTGCTCCTGGGCCGGCAGATAGCTGGCCATTGCCCTGTTGGTGAACAGCGGCGTCAGTCCGCGGCGGTACTCGGCGTGGGCGCGGCCCTGCAGGAAAACCCATGCTTTATGGCCCAGCAGGTCCTTGGCCAGGGGCACAATACATGGTTCTGCGTAGCCTGGCGATTTGAACACTTTATGCGCCAGGTCTCGGTCGGAGGCGAGAACAATAAACCTGTCATTCAGTTAGAAACTTGGGGTTATCGTAACCCTAGGGTTAAGGGTTTAGGGTTATGTAACCCTAGGGTTAGGTTTAGGGTTGGTGAGACTTGTGAAAGACGGATACACAGCTGAGAGGCCCACTCGCCCACTGTGCCAGATACGCTTCGAAGCGTGGATGCAGAGCCTGGAGGAATGGACCGACCAGGGGAATCTTGAACCGGGGCCCAGCAATAGACCCTTTGCGATAGAGGTACCTGATCTGATCGTATATCACTATCGCGAGGATGAGAGTCGCCACCAACTGCCAGGTCTGGCTTTTCTCCTCTTCAAGAGTAGCCATATTATAGTCAATAGATGGAAAGAAGAAGAAAAGAAACTCAGAGAGAGAAGTAGACAGAAGAAAGACAGAGAAATAGGCAAGAAAGAGAGTCATCTTATACAAGAGATGAAGAGTCCATCTTACACTCTTCCAGATCGGGACTAGTCGCCGACCTGCTCCCGACGCTAGTCCATATATAGCAGCTGTCAGCAAGTACTAACTGCATACAGTTAGACAATCCTTCCAGATGGGCTGATTGTCACCAAACGGCTTCAAGGCATTAACACATTGTCAATCCAAACAACTCCAACATGCGAACCCTCCGTCGTTCGTGCACAGCATGTTTCAAGTCTAAACTGAGCTGCGACCTGCGCACGCCGCGCTGTTCCCGCTGCGTCAAACGCAATGTTTCCTGTCTCTACGCGAACCAGCCGGCGCCAGATCCCCGATTCGTCTCGCTGGATCCCTTTGAGTCGTACCCGCCAACAAGACTCCCGGCGCAGCATGTCCAGCGTTTAATCCATAGCTGTGAGTCTCTATCATTGCTTGAATTCTTCCCTCCTTTACCCCCCCTCACCCTCTAGTTCTGCATAAAATCGCATTCATGTACTACCCCCTCGACCTCAACCCGGCCTCCAACCCGTTCCTCCTCTCCTGGTGGCCGTTGGCCCTGGGTGATCCGGCCCTGTTTCACGTCTCGCTGCAGACAGCCTGTTTGGATGAGGAGCTGCTCGCCCAGCGTGGGTTTGGTACTTCGGACCTCCTCATGGCCGACTCGGTGGCTTTGCTGAGGCGGAAACTCGCGCACGCCTCTCTGGCCGTCCAGGATGGGACGATGGATTCAGTCATCACTTTAGCAGCAATCGAGGTATTTCTCTTTCTTTTTCCCTCAAGTATTCTATCTGATCGTCTCAGTTCGGGAAGGGAAACGGAACAGTTGCCAGGATGCACGTCGAGGGCGTGAAACAGCTGATCAGGATACGAGGCGGCATCAATTCAGTGCGTCAGACCAGTCCACTAACAGCTCGAATGGTCAGTTGGTAAGTCATCACTTATGGATATATTCTACTATCCCAATAGATATTATAATCCTAACGCTGTATTCTAATTTTAGGGTATCGATGCTGGTCATGGGCCATCCTCAGTTCGAGACACAAGATGACGCCGGAATGGGAGACGGCATCCCCCCGATTCCAGAATGGATGGATCCCCAACAAGATGAAGATGAGATTCTCGTTGGAATCGACAGTGAGGTGAGGAATGTGTTTATTCGTCTTCGCGGTGTCTTCCACCGAGCACGCACAAGACCCTTGCCATCGACAAGATTACATGACCTCGTCTGTTTTATCATCCATCGCCTTCTATCTTTAGATTTGCCATCCTCATCATCATCATCAGACAATCCATCCCTTAGCAACCGTCTCAGCAACTGCCTTCGACACGCCATCATTCTCTACATGTTCCTCATCCATGGAACCACATACTTCTCCCACGCGGTAATCATGAACACGATCCTCACCCGCTTCATGCAGGATCTCGCCCAGATTGAATCCTCCTTGATATCACATTCCCTTCACGTCTGGCTGTGTGGTATTGGAATGGTGGCCTCGACTGGAACACCGTATCATACATGGTTCATGGACAGAGCTCGCGATACTGCTCTTTCTCTGCAGTTAACCTGTGCTGACGATGCCCTGGGCCATATCCAGTCTGTTCTGTGTCTGGACACGGGCATCTTTCGACCATACTGGATGGCGAGTGTATTTCATTATACAGCTCCAGTATAATACTGATACTAGCTATTATTAATAATGAAGAAGATACTAGATATGAGTATATGATAGGAAGAGAGAAAATTAGAGCAGAAAAGCTCAAAGAAGGGATTCCAGACTCACATGGGAGTACCATAGATAAAAACCGTCAAATGAAAGTGACAGAAAACCTGTGGAAGACTTCTATAATAGGATATAGGAGCCTAGAAGTTTCACTTAATAATAGGCTAGGGTTAGGGATGTGAATAAGCACCAGAGCTACTTACTAATTATAAAATACACTTATATAGGAGGAAAGTAGCCGACTAAACCCAACTTAAAAACACAGGAAATAATGACACTGCGGGGATGAATATCCCTTTGGATGTGTGGGACTGGTTCCCTCGTGACTCGACACATTTATTTTCCTATTATCAGGGCCTAATGGCCATGTATATATTACAGGCTATGTTTGGCCCTAATTAAAATCCACTTGGGCAATTTAATATATTGTGAGGATGATCCCTGCCCTGTGACATGGGTGAAACATGACTACATCCGCTCCATAAAGAACACGGAGCAGATCAATCTATCACGGAGCATCTGATGAAAGTAGGATATAAAATAATCAATTCATCTTTTTTATGTATTAACTGTAGCTGGTAAACATGGAGTTCCTTCTATTCTTCCTCTTCTTCTTCTTTGTATCGGCCCAGGTTGCTCCTTATGGCCAGTGCGGCGGGGAGGACTATTCAGGCTCAACCACCTGTGAGGCCGGCTGGGTCTGTCAATATCAGAATGAATGGTATAGCCAGTGTGTAGCTTCTACCGCTTCTTCTTCCACTTCTTCTACTTCTTCCACTTCTTCTACTTCTTCCACTTCTTCTTCCTCTTCTACTTCTTCCACTTCTACTTCTTCTACTTCTACTTCTTCTACTACTAGTTCTAAGACTAGTACTACTTCTACTACTGGTACTGGTACTTCTTCTACTGCATTCCCCTCTGTGAATGGCCTCAATTTCACGATCGATGGAAAGACAAGCTATTACGCCGGCACAAACGCCTACTGGATGGGCTTTCTGACGGACGATGCCGACGTTGACCTGGTGATGAACCACTTGAATGAATCTGGCCTGCGCATCCTCCGTGTCTGGGGCTTCAACGATGTCAACACCGTCCCGTCGTCAGGCACAGTCTACTACCAATTACTTACCAATGGCACGGCAACAGTCAATACAGGCGCCGACGGCTTGCAGCGTCTGGACGCGGTGGTGGCCGCCGCCGAGACATACGACGTGAAGCTGATCATCAACTTTGTGAACAACTGGTCTGATTACGGCGGAATGGCCGCTTATGTGACGGCGTTCGGGGGCACGCAGACAGGCTGGTACACCGATACTGCCATCCAAGCCGCGTACCAGAACTACATCTCGGCCGTGATCTCGCGGTACATCGACTCGTCGGCGATCTTCGCCTGGGAGCTGGCCAACGAGCCTCGCTGCCAGGGCTGCGACACCTCCGTGATCACCGACTGGGTGGTGACGACGAGCGCGTACATCAAGTCGCTCGACTCCAAGCATATGGTGTGCATCGGCGACGAAGGGTTCGGGCTCACCACCGACTCGGACGGCAGCTATCCGTACACAGACGGCGAGGGGCTGAACTTCACCGTGAATCTGGCCATCGACACGATCGACTTTGGCACCTTCCATCTCTACCCTGACAGCTGGGATGAGACCGATGCCTGGGGCGACGGTTGGATCACAGCGCATGGCGCCGCGTGTGTGGCAGCGGGCAAACCCTGTCTGTTGGAAGAGTACGGCGTCACGGCCAACCAGTGCGCCATCGAGGCGCCCTGGCAGCGGACAGCGCTCGACACAAGCGGAGTTTCAGGCGATCTGTTCTGGCAGTATGGCGATACGCTCAGTACGGGCGAGTCGCCGGATGATGGGAATACCATCTACTATGGCTCCTCGGAGTTTACCTGTTTGGTGACCGATCATGTTGAGGCCATCTAGTTTAGCATTAAGCATATCCAACTATATATTCTTTACTTCACTCAATACTATATGATATATATGATAGTATACTATGTGTATTACTCTATACTGTAGTACACTACTATAAAGCATCCATATACTACCTCAACAGACCTATATAAGTATGCTTAAACTATATTCTCTCTCGTTACTTATCCCAATGCTTCCACTGATGCAAGGAATACCAATACCGTAGGGTCTCAAATTTAGAGAATACACTATTTGTCTTCTATATGCCCATACTATATAAGAGTGGAGAGTAGATACAGTAATTTCAATCGTCACATTTCAAAGTTCCATCGTCATTGGTGATCCCAGCATTCAAGTCAATCTCTGTAACAACACTGTACGAACCATCCGGCTTCGCACAGTTTGCCGAGAACCAAACAGTATCGTCAATAAGAATGAGCTCTCCAGAGTTGCAGGATGCAGTGAAATCGCCACTAAGCAGTTAGCAGGAAGATGAAACCTGGAGCGGTGATCTTACTCTTTCTCCCACTATAAAAAGTTAGAATTATTATCATGAGAGTCTCTTGAGGTTAAAGCAGGGCGTACCTTTAGGTATCCATCGTCATTGCCAATACAGTCATCCAGAAGCAGAGTGGTGGCTATGTATGTGCCAGCTTCATCTTCGCACTTGGCATGGAAGATATGGCTCTTGTATTTGTAGTCCTTGCACGTGGACTTGAAGTCATTAGCAGCGACAAAGGAAACGCTCAAAAGAAGCGCCAGAAAACCGAGATTGAATTGCATATTGGCTGAGTTGACTGTGTGTCTTGGAGATGGCGGTAGAAAAGGTCATGTACAAGAGGCATCCACGACGTTTTTATAGTCTACGCTGGCTCCTACACTCCTTGATCATCGATAGCAAACTCAATACCAAAGGCTACGATCACACCACCGACTTGGAAGAACGGCCTGGTAGCGTAGATACTATCTCTTCATCCCTGAGTAGTGGCTGGCAGGTGACCTCGTACAGCGGGCTAATCCTAGACAAACCCCGCCAGTATGGTGGATTCTTTCTACGGTCTTTAGTCGAATACTCTGCTGGTAGCAGTTGTTTCCCTATTATCTACAACATGCAACTATCACAGAACACGGAGACCATGACCAATAAGGAGATTCCGCCCCAGGTGAAATGAGTACACTAGCCCATACTAGGTTGATAGTATGAAATAGCGCTCCAGCTACCTTCTGTTCTTCTTGGCGTGCAGTTCTGGCAGCAGTATAATACATGGGATAAGAAGTTAATATGAGCACGTCATCATTATTAAAGAATGCTATGTTAATAAGGTTATACTGCAGTCAGCAGGAATAACCTTATTCAAGCTAAAATCCTCATGCGATCACCTCAATTTATATTATTGATATTGCTGGTCTCTTCCACACTGGCTTGCATTAGTTCCTGCATATATTTCGTATCCTTCGGGGTTCCCCCGATGTATCCCTGATTTTAAACAGGGCCCTGAGCAACCGATTCAAGTAAAGATAGGCGAATCGGGTACCATTAAATTAGGCACTAACTATCAGGCACCTCCCATGATTAACTCCACATCGTTATCTCCCCAGTTCCGGGTAATTCGGCGACGTGTCTGGAGAACTCCAGAGTGTAGCAAAAGACACTGAATCTATAGTATTGTTTAATATTGTTCTAGAAAACCATGGTGCAGTAGACAGTATATTTCTATATGGTTCATACTATTAGTGCTCCATAAGCAATTGACTTATAGAATATTCTATTGAGATATATGCAGCATTACACAGTTGGATATTCTATCACCGGTCCGCGCTCATCTCGACAGGACCATAATGATCCTGCATAAGATGCCCCTTGAACTGCGTCTCTTCCATCTCAGACGGGGGCTGGTAGTAGGGCGGTTGCGGCTGTGACTGTGACGGTTGCGGTTGCGGATTTTGAAGCTGTTTATTTCTCTTTCGGACCAGATAGATCAGGTAAGCGACAGTAAGCAATAAGAGGGCTCCGACCCCAGCCCCGACGCCGATCCCGACTTTTGCTCCGGTCGAGAGGCCCGTACTTGCACTGCTGACTGTCCCTATCGTCCCTATTGCCCCAGTCCTTCCACTCGTTGTTGTACCGGTTATTGTACTGGTCTGTATTCCTGTACTTGATGTTCCTGTCGCTGTTGCTGTTCCTGCTCCTGTGGCAGTTGCCGTGGCCGTTGTTGTGCTGCTTGCAAAATTAAACGCCTGATAGCGAATGGAAATACCCTTGGCGTTGACTCCATACGTCCCAGTCTGCGAGGAAAGTGTGCTGCCGTAGGTAAAGGTGACGACTTGATTGGAGGAGGGATTCGACGAGGTACACGGATTAGTGCTGTACCATGGCCAGTCTGTTCCTGTCTGGGCATTATACCCTCTAAGACGCCGGAATAAGTATAGAGCGATATAGAGATGCGTATTTAAATGGTATTTGTGGACTTACTCCGGACAGCATGTCGCTCGCGTTTCTACATTCCCGTCGAGGGTGATGTATGAGAATCCGTCCTGGGTGTACCCCGACGGACAAATCCCCGGCGAAAAATAGGATGATGTTGCATATCCCGAGGGAAAACAGGAGCTCCAATCCTCCGGCCCGAGACTCATATAATAGAGGATCTCGGCGGTGGTGGAGACTGCAGAGAAAAAGTTGTTGCCGTCGACATATTCGATGAAATGTATGTCGGTCGTGCAGGCCGCGGGGGGCGTGAAGGTTGTCGTGAGAGGGATGGCGGTAGTCATGGCGCCAGGAAGAGGTGTAAGAACGAAAAAGAGAAAAAATGAAGAGAGAAAAGGAGGAGCAGGCAAGTATAAAGGGATGGCTTACGGAGGGTTTCAGTAGGACCGATACACTGACTCGTACTCAGCTGCTGCAGCCAATTGGAGCTTTTCACTACCCGCGCGCCAACTGGTGTTACAACAGCGCCATGAGCAACCTATCATTGACCAGGATGAAACCAAGACAGCAGAGTACTAAACTACATAATTATTTTAATTCTTAGTGAAGTGGAGAGATGGTACTTTTCTTCCGTAACTACACCTACTTGGTCTACACAGTATACGGAGTACACGGCACCAATCAAAAGGTGGCCCATGCAGTGCGGGCCGTGGGCTCCGCCAAATCCAGATTATGCTCAAACTTAATTAGTAATGATTCTGGTGTCACATGGATGTTGATGCCTCAGGCTTAACTTTCTATGCCTGGGGCATGTGGGGCTTGAAATTTCAGATGAAATTTCATGAAATTTCCTGCTTCGATGAAAAGCTATTTCAGTGAGGAATTTCATGAAATACCATTATATTATAAAGGTACTGATATGCTTATTACTATTAGTATTCTAGATCTAAGTAATTCATATGACTCTTATAATGGTGTGTGACTATGCACAGTTAAATTTTCGCGACTGAAATTTCATTGAAATTTCATGAAATTTCAGCCATGGTTATATCACGTGATGTTAACGCCTTAGGCAGAATTCTAAGTAGAGAGCAGTTCTAGTTAGGATTTTATATTGAGTACTGCGTAATACTCTGTACGGAGTATAGGTGATCTAGTATACGTGGGCTATTATATATCAAATACTTGGTACGTGATGTCGATCACTGATTAACAATCTCCCTAATGAGAACAAGTGGAAAGTATAGTTAAAAATATATATACATGAAATATCTATACATTATAATGCACATCAACTCCTGTCCGAGTGTATTGTTGCCGATCCCGACTCGATATGCTCTTCGGCGCCGTTGGCCGTATAATAAGTCACATTGATATCCGTGACTTTCATAATCCCATTCGTGGCCATAAGGATGTCTTCTTCGCTGTCGTTCCGCGTTTTGTGGCGGCCGGTGCCTTCGTGCAGACGTCTGTTGTGCGTTGTCGTCGTCGTGGAAACATGGAAGCTCTGCAGCTCTGTGGCATTGGGTTTGGTCGTGTTGTTGTTGATGGTGTATGTGCCCGAGTAGGACTGGATGGTGGAACCGAGTTTCTTGAGCACCTTCACGATCAACGGCCGGATGGGCGGGACGCAGCCCACGATGAGGATGATCCACATCTCCGTCGTGGTCAGAATATCCAGTTTTCCAATGTGGTCTACCGATTAGTATATGATTTCGTTTCGGTGCAGGATGGGAGGGCATACAGGTTATGTTCTCTGTATCCGACAGGGCAGAGAGTTGGACGGTTTTGACAATTGCACAGCCAGCGGCACTATAAATTAGCCTGTGATCGACCATCGGAAGAAGGAAGAAGGACATACATCACTCCGAGTCCCATCAACACACACAAAGCAACTTTGACCATCCGTTGCAGCTGGACGTGGTAGAAGAAGATGACGGGGTAGACAGCCAGCGCGAGATCGACAAAGGCAGACCAGCCTGTAAATTAGCTATATTCATATAATAAGTTCAGCTTCGTATTATAAAACCAGAAAGCAAAAAAAAAAAACGCACTTCCTTGGAAAAAGGCATAGTTCTGGTTGCGAGCCATGCCGTGACACCCCCCCTGGAGCGTTGGATCCCACAGCTTCGCCGGAGGGACACACGAGCCCAGAATGGTCCCGACAGCAATGATATTGGCCACAAAGTTACTCCCCGCCAGCGTCCACAGAAACACAATCTTGCCGCGGTCCTGGGGCCCGTGGAGTTGGTGTAGAAAGGCGACGATCGCGAACTTGCCGCTCGAGATGGCGAACAGACTGACGATCGTGCTTGCCCACGCCCATTTCATCGATGTTGCTCGTTGGTCCGAGGTGAGGAGGGTTTCTTGCTGGCCGAGACCGTACAGGGCTGCCACTGTGAACAGACACACGGAGAGCGTAGCCGCTACCTAGGGAAATCAGTATCAAGAGAGTAGATGAGATCGGTAGTGTCGTACAAAGGTAAAGATGGCAAAGTAGAGATCCAGCATGGCTCGCCGCGTAATCGACCAGGTGGTGTAGATGCGCGCCACCAGCAGAACCAGGCAGACGGCAAATTCCACCCACGCGACCACCACCACCGTCGCGCCGTACCCTCTTATCCCATATGGAGTCATCTAGAGCCAGATCTCGACATGGAGTGGAGAGGGGGGGGAGAAAGAAGGAGGAGACAGTAAAGAAGAGGCAGTGAAGTGGGAGCAGAAGGTGGGAAATATTATCAAGGCTGACGCTGAGATAAACCCTAACCCCGGGCCTGATACGAAGTCCCCATGGGTAGCTGACTCCGTCTGTATGTAGCACAGTCAATATGGACTCATGGAGTATGTCTCCCGAAACACCTGGCCAATCGTTTGCTTACCGAGACAGGCCTGGGGTCCGAGGCCCCGGATTCACCTGATCTGGTTGGACAGGCTGGCGTCTTGGCGGGGCAGCGCTAGGAGCGTCACCTGCAGGCGATGGGGGGCAGACAGCCAATCATCAACGTATACTTTTCTGATTGGTGGGGCTGCTTACCCTGTAAGAATCCACCTCCCACTTCTCCACCCTCTCCCTCTCCCTCTCTCCACGTTCTCCCACTTCTCCCCGCGTCTCGTGCGTTATTTTTTTCTCATGGGCAATTGTATATTATTGGATGGATTCCATCTGATCTTACTGCCTGATACTATTCCATTACATACTAGTCTACCTACTCCCCGGTAGTCCCTGATTACCCCTGATTCATACCCTTTCCCTGATACTCCTGAATCCAGTGCCACAAGACTCCTGAATGGCTTTGGTGAGTACTCTGTAGTAGTACTCTGTAGACTTAAATATACTCTATGTAGTATAGACATGACGATTGGGATTTTCAACCTCATTCTCCTGCTGATCACAGTTCACGGCCCACGATTTATCCTTCGGGATTCCAGCCCGTCGATCACTAGAATAAGGAGACGGGAAAGGGGTCGATTACTGTACTACGGAGTACATGGGAGTAACTAGTCTATTTGAGTTTGTCGGTCTTGAACTGACACGTGTCTAGGAGTCCCTAGAGACGTTGGTGTCACACGTATAATTAGTGTCACAGCCCTATCCTATTCTAACTAGTGCTTATACTAACTTAGTAATACTATACAGTATTTCTATTCTACATCTCTTCTATTCGTCATTCTTGACATCAAACTCGACTGTCCGAACGATCCCCTTTAGCACCCCCGAGGACGGACCAGAGAGGATATGTTCTTCGCTCGAGTTATCGCCCGCGTGTAGGGTGGTGCTGTACTGCGTCTTGTTGCCGGTGAAATCCGGCCGCGAGGCGCTCGGCAACGACTGCAAAGGATGCGAGTGAGACCGCGATCGTGAGCGAGAGTTGGAGTAATCCTTCTGGCCGCGCGACGTCAAACCCAGGAGGCGGGGGAAGTACTGGCGCACAAACGGACGGAGGGCCGTCATGCAGCCGCCGGCAATGCCGAGATTCAGTTCGATCACGGACCATAGCAGAGGGTTGACGGTGGTCCAGGTCAGATCGGATGTGTTTTCGAGTACGAAGAGCGTTGCTAACCGAATACAACTGACGATTCCGACACTGAGCAGTCAGTATAACATGATAAAGGGTGGTATAGAAAATGACGTACAAACATCCCATGGTGAGGATACACCCGATCGCCACTTTCTGGCGGAGGGGAACTTGTAGTCGACGAAGCCAGGGACTAAAAGAGTATTGTCAGTAAGGTGATGTCAGTAAGAGTATTGCAAGGATAGATGCATACACTGGAACCAGAACCGTGGCAAAGTCGGTGAAGATCCCCAGGCCGGCGTTGGCAAAGTAAAACGCCGAACGGTTGATACAAGTGGCAGTGCGGATGGAGAGATCCCACACAGCTGAAACAGGGTGACAGCCGAGGAGATTCACAAACACGGAGGCGACGTTGTATCCCGTTGCGATGAAGATGATGACCCAGACGGCCAGGTGGAACTTGCGGCTGGGAAAGATGCGCAGGTAGAAGAGCAGGACGGAGACCTTGACGCAGCCCGTGGCGGCGCAGTAGATGGTTGCTGAGATGACGTCCAGCTTCAGGTATGTCGGCGTGTACCAGTCAAAAGGCACATCCCACATGTGTCGGCCCAGGCCCCATTTGAGCATCTCCAGCGTGACGGCCGACAAGACGGCGGAGAGGATCTATTTAAGTTAATATAGATTCTATAGTATAATACTATAGTATATGCATGTATATGCATGTATATGCATGTATCATGTATATTATCTATCTTACTAGAGCAATAACCATAATGTCTGTAGGTTAGCGTCGTCTATATCGCTCTTGTAGGTTCTTACAATCATCTATTCCAAAACTATGGACAATAAACAACCTCGTCCATGTTCGCATGGACACCATAAGCACGGAGAGGAAGAGAAAAGCGCCATTGACGGCAATGAACCGGGTCCCGTTGGTTGGCGGGTCGACAAAGTTGGACGTCTGCCCTGCTGGAGCAGTAAAGACCGGAGTGGCCATGGTTGAAGTCGCTCAGGAAGAACAGATAGGAAGAAATGTTGATTCTATTATATAGGGTTGTTGTTTTCATTAAACTTTGAGCACAACCTTCAATGGTTCCTCGTGGACCGTGGACCCTCAAACCTTGTACCACATGTCAAATTGTTTACCTGAGGAGAGACTTATTGTGATTATTCTAATTAATCTTCTTATCCCTTATTCATCTCTACACTCTTACTTATATCCTCTATTCTTATATATTCCCTTCCTCCCTTCTCTTCTCTTCTTTTCACCCTTCCTCATCCTAGAGGCCTGAGCACTTTTCTTCCATTTCGACCGACGCCTCGTGTCTGACCCACAGACTTGATCCTTTGACTGTGCGCAGGGGTAATTAACATTGGATATCCATGACTAATTTTCAGCCTCTTCCTGACTATTAGCTATAGCAAGCGATCATAGCATATTCCTAGTTCAGGGTCTTGCCCACCGATCCACTCCTTGAAGCCAGAAAATTTAGTTCCACTATACCTGGCCTAGTCTGATCGTATGACACTTGGCTACCCTGGCTATAGCATAATTAAAACTAGATATCACAAGACATTATACTTGAGGAGCTATTGGATGCTTCAATACTCTAGATAGGTATGCAAGATAACAGATAAGCTACGATAGCCTTATCCACGATGTAACGGCGAGATGTAACGGCGGGAACGCGGGGAAACCGGGGTAGAATTAGTATAATATAGCTCCTCTTCCTATTCAGCATACCGATTCCACTCCTCTCTTCCCTCCTGTTTGTTCATTCTATCTATTCCCACCATGGCGCAAGAGAAGGACAAGGACACGGCGACGCAGCTGGAGGAGAGGCTGTTCGCCGCGCAGCAGAGCACAGAGGCAGAGGTCAAGATGTCTCTCTGGCAGGCCTTGAAGCTGTACCCCAAGGCCTCGCTGTGGAGTATCCTGATCTCGTTTGCCGTTGTGATGGAGGGTACCTTCTGATCCATCCTAGCAGCATAGACATATCTAACAATACAGGCTACGATGTCATTTTAATGGGCTCCTTTTGTATTTCCTGGTCCTTTCCTTTATTATTCATGATGATTTTTCCATTTTTAATCCTTTCAATCAGATGCATATCCCAATTTCACGAAGCGGTTCGGTGTCAAAGATGCAGCCGGCGACTACGAGATTCCGGCCCACTGGCAAGCGAGTCTAGGGAACAGTGGCAGTGTTGGCCAGATTATTGGATTGATGGTATGATCTTTACCTACCTGGATACATGGCTAATTTAACGTCTATTTACAATAGTTTAACGGGGTACATATATCTACTATCTTGTGTCTTCTCCTATCTTATGTTTCATTATATTTAATACATACAGTGGGCCGCCGAGCGATACGGATATAGGATAGTGATGAGCGGCGCCCTCATCGCCACCATGGGCTTCATCTTCCTCTTCTTCTTCGCCACCAACCTGGAGATGCTCCTCGCTGCGGAGATCCTCTGCGGTATTCCATGGGGGAGTAAGCAACATGCGTCGTCATCATATCGCTATTTATACTTATGAATGGCAGTCTTCCAAACGCTGACGACCTCGTATGCCTGCGAAGTTGCCCCTGTGGCCCTGCGGGCGTATCTAACCACCTGGGCAAGTTTTGTCTATTTAATCATGCATCTACGGAACTATTAACAGTCATAGGTGAATGCCTGCTGGGGCATCGGACAGCTTCTTTCCTGCGGCGTGCTGCGAGCTCTTCTATATCGAACAGATCAATGGGGGTGGCGCATTCCATTCGCCGTTCAGGTATACTCTACCTTATTGATCCATGCAATGTCTTCCTGATGTTGATTGATATTAATTATACAGTGGGTCTGGCCCATCCCTCTGCTGATTATCACGCTGCTCGCCCCCGAATCCCCCTGGTGGCTCGTCCGCCACGGCCATTACGAGCGTGCGAAACAGTCACTGCAGCGCTTGACTGATGCCTCGTCTGTCGAGGGGTTCAACATCGACAATACCATCCAGATGATGATCCATACGGATGAACTTGAGCGGGAGGTAATTCTTCTATCCACCCGTTACTCACATTTGACATATACTTACTATACAGGAACGAACCGGCTCCCGGTATATCGACTGCTTCCGAGGCATCGAACTGCGCCGCACCGAGATTGTGTGCATGGTCTGGACGGTGCAGAACATGTGTGGCTCGGCCTTCATGTCGTACTCGACGTATTTCTTCGAGCAGGCCGGCCTGCCAGACAGCGACTCGTACGATCTGTCGATGGGCCAGTACGCGATCAACACGGCGGGCACGTTCGCCGTCTGGGGCCTGCTGATGCTGGGGATCAGCCGCCGGGGTATGTATCTGTGGGGATGTGTCTTTATGGGCATCGCTCTCATCATCATCGGCTGTGTCTCGTTGGACGACGCCAAAGCCGGCTCGTGGGCTGTCGGGGCGATGCTCCTTGCCTGGAATGTCGGCTATCAATTCAGCGTATTTCCTTCTCCTTCCCGTGCGTTGGCATTTTTCTAATCATGCAGGTTGGAACCATCGCGTTTTCCCTCGTTACGGAACTCTCCTCGCGCCGTCTCATGGTCAAGGCGCTGAACATCGGGCGAGCAGTGTACAACGTCGAGGGGTTGATCCTCGGTGTTCTCACCCCGTACATGCTAAGTAAGAGTCTCACTCTCAAAGATGCCGAACCCATGCTAATGCTTTAGACCCCACGGCCTGGAACTGGGGCGGCAAGACGGCCTTTTTCTGGGCGGGCTTCGATGCCCTCTGCGTGGTCTGGATCTATTTCCGTCTGCCGGATCCCACAGGCATGACGTTTGCCGAAATCGACAAGCGCTTCGAGATGAAGATCCCTGCGCGCCAGTTCAAGTCGGTCCAGGTCGACGAGTTTGAGGGCGAGCGCCAGCAGCTGGAGAAAGCCAGGGCGACGGAGAATCCGTAGATATACGATGTATTCTCAGTATTCTCAGTAGTCTTAGTATCAAGTTATACGTTAGCCTCAGGCATTAAATATTGATGCCTCAGGCAAGAAATGCTTACGAATGGTACGATACTAATTGGTATGACTCATCAATCATTATATATCAATCATTATGATTCATTACATTCCAATCCTCTATTCTTCGTATCAATGTCTTCAATGACTCTCTCCCCCGTCGATCTGGGCAAAGACGCCGAGTTCCATGAGCTGCAGCGTCAACGAGTCCTCTGCGGCTGGGCCTACGAGACAACAGCCCTGCAGAAATGGCAACAGAAGCAAGCCGAGGGGTTGAAACAGCTGTTCTGGATTCTCATCGATGAAGAGGACAGCGAGGGCGATTCAAAAACTACAAGAAACACGATCAAAGCCGGCCATGTCTCGCTCGACGCCTACACGGATCCCCCCGACGAAGAGCTCGCACGCGCCGATAAAAGCGTGTTGACCGTGCAGGCCTTCTTCATCCTGGAGCAACACCGCGGGAATAGGCTTGGGCGCCGTGTAATGACCCTCCTGGAGGAGATGGCACGATCAGAGAGGTACGGCCATCCGGCGTGTGGGACGCTGGCCCTTACGACGCTGAGCAAACGGTACATCTACGACGAGGGGCCGGACGGGGTGGGCGTCTGGGAGAAGGTTGTGCTGGACCGGCCGGCGTTCAGCTCGCAGGAGTGGTATGAGAGTATGGGATACGTTGGCTGGAAGGAGGAGCCGCGATATCGAACAGAGACGCTGGAGGGGGGGGAGGTTCTTCTCTCGGCGGTGTTTATGCGCAAGGCTTTATAGTATCAAATGGATATCATTAATCTTCCATGATATATCTATCTTGCTACTTGCTCACCACTTCTTCACTTCTTCTCCACCACTCCATCAACCCTCTCTCGGCAATGAACGCCCGTTCCTGCGCCCACCAGTACGCAGTCGGCGACAGGAGAATCCGCACGGCACGGTAGAAGTGGTAGAGCAGGAGGAGGACGTGCGGATCGCGCTGCTCGAACAACGCGACAAACGGACCATGGCACTGCACGGGGAAGGACAAGATATACCGCGCCAGAGGGAAGAGAAGAGACGAGTTCACGTCGATCGAGTCCGGGGGCTGCGCTTCAGGCAGAAAGGAGAGGACGAGACACAGCCGGGCGACAGCGGGAGAATATCCATCGGGGATGTCTGGGCTGTATTTATCCCCGGCGAACAGATCAGACACAGCCAGGCCTGTATGCTGGGTAGAAGCGAAGGGAACGTCCAACGGGAGATGAATCTTGTCTTGTCTCTCGAGGGGACGGCGGTAGGCAAAGAAATCCTGGAACCGATCCAGAGTCTCGTTGCTGATCTTTGCAGATGCCACGAGCACGTCCGCCGGATTGACCGCCAGCAGCGGCAGCAGGAGAGAGGGCTGGCGAGTCAGAATGGGGCCATTGGCCAGGAAGACCTGCTTCATACTCGAGCAGAAGGAGAAGATGCGGTCGCGCGAGGGATCAAACTCCCTGCCGGTGAGGAAGTCAGTCGATGTCCAGACCTCGATCTGGAGGAGGGCAGAGGTCGCGATGAAGGCGTCGGTGTTGATCATCGTCGCTCGGGTCGCCAGCTCCCAGCGGAACAGCGACAACGCCCGGCACAGATGGCTGGCCGCCGCGGCAGGATACGAGGCATCTTGCGGGCTGAGAAAGGCGAGATGACGCGCCGCGACGCAGAGGAGGGCATTCATCAGGAACTCGAACTCGAGACTCAGCTGCAGCACAGGGCGCCAGGCCTCGGCAGGGAACATGAGCGTCTGGCAGGTCGACGTCTGGAAGTGATGGAATAGCTTCATATGGAGTAGATTGACCACGGCGTCTGTCGGTCTCTGTCCGGGGGCAGCGATACCCATACGATCGCATGCTTCTCCCCGTCGCGTACAGCCGGCACACGGCGTCTCTCTGCTGCACTAAAAGATCAATATCATAAATGTACATCGTAGTGTTCCAGCTTACTCGCACGCGCCGTCTCTTGCAATTCTCACAGCCTGTTCGGGACTTGCGATGGGCTCGCCGTTGACGCGCCACATCGGCGCTGATCGCCTTGGGGACCTCGTGCAGGACAGCGTCCGGACCGGCGGTCGAGAGAACAAACGTGTTTGTCAAGTCATCGAGGGACGCCATGGCAGTGGAGATGGAATAGAAAGTTCTATTCAGCTCTATTGTTCTATTGTTGGACAATGTGCTATCTCCGGTATGTCCGTCACTAACCCAAAAGAGCGATACGAGACGGATCCATTCGTTATGATAAAAGGAGTATAAAATCATCAGGAGTATTTCTCACCTTCCTATCACAAGATCAATCCACAATGGTCTCCCTCTCTCAAGTCATTGCGTCAAATCAACGCATCGCCACCCTCCCTCCCGGTCTGGTCGCCGTCTTTGTCGGCGGCACCAGCGGCGTGGGCGAGTACACCGTCAAGGCCTTTGCGCGGTATGCCGTCTCGCCACGGGTATACATCGTTGGTCGGTCGCAGGAGGCAGCAGACCGGATCATCGCAGAATGCCAGCAGACGAACCCGGCGGGTTGCTTCACCTTCCTCCCGGGGGATGTGAGTCTCCTGGCGACGGTGGACGAGGTCTGTCGTGAGATCAGGGAGAAGGAGAGCGCCATCAACCTGCTGGTCGAGACGCAGGGGACAATGGCATATAGTAGGAGTGCGTATTGTATCTACAAGTATATACAAGTATATACTCAATACTAACGAACTGCAGTCACTGCGGAAGGCCTCCCCCTCGCCTTTGCAACGGCAACCCACTCCCGACTGCGGTTTATATTGAACCTGCTCCCGCTTCTACAGAAAGCACGCTCGCTGCGACGTGTGGTCAGCGTGCTGGCTGCGAGCTGCGAGGGCCCCATCGACATGACCAACATGCCTGCGCTCGGGTTCGCGCTGTACAAGTCGCGCGACCAGATGGCCTCGATCCAGACCCTGCTGCTGGAGGAAGCCTGTCGCCGGGCCCCCGACGTGAGCTTCGTGCATACCGTGCCCGGCGTGGTGCGCGGGGGCATCACTCGGGATGCCGAAAGCAACGGCCTGCTCATCGCGGTGTTTAATCTGCTGATGCCGTTTGTCGCAACCCCCGCGGCCGAGTGTGGAGAGCGACACGTCTTTCTGGCCACGAGCGCCGTCTATCCACCCTCTCAGGGAGCGGGGAAGGGGGCAGGAGTAGTTTACCCAGAGAACAGCTCTCCCTGTCGCGGCAGTGACGGCAAAGCTGGAAGTGGAATGTACACCGTCGACAACAAGGGAGAGGCCTCTCCGGCTAAGGTGGAGCGGCTGCTGGCTGGATTCCGGGCGGACGGGACGGCGACGAAGGTGTGGGAGTATATTGAGGCAGATATGAAGCGGATTACGGGGCAGCATTGCCAGCAGTAGCATCATCATTCACTTGGAAGCAATATACATGTACTACGTGAGTAACAAAGGTCCGGCTAATCCTGGTAAGCCGTATTTCCATATATCCCGACGGGAAATCTGAGCAATCTGATGCAGGGTACATTAGCCGGATATCAGACCATGTCTTCCTATCTAATAGAGTAATCATGTATAGCTACCTAGTACCTATATACTAACAGTACTCATACCTTTTACCTATACAATACAAACTACAATACAAACTACAATACAAACACTCTGTAGTGATACCTAGTAAATAATAGAATAGACATCTCCATTCACCCTATTGGCTCTTCTCCAGCCGAGGTGTGGCATATTTAGTGCCGGGCTATTGATGGGGTACAGTTACATGCTGGAGCACGCCAAAGCCAAGTGGACCACTCGCATCCCCGGACATGGCCAGCCCATGCGGGGAAGCCCAGACCAAGACTGGATGAAGCCTCTGAAAGGCTCTGAAAGGCTCTGGACAGAGGCTGCGGGATTCCACCAATGAATCGTTGGAGCCTTGTAATTCCGGGTATTATGCCACGCAGGGATAATTCTCTGGCTATTGTGGACGCAAGGAGTCTCGGGCCTGCTGGCCGCAGAAATATTGATCAGTATTTATATCAAGTCGTAGCCGCCGTAAACCCCCCTATGCTCGCTGACGCAACCATCAACAACATGACACCCGACTTTGCACTCGAAAAGGCCGCCGCGCAGCAGGTGGAAGACGCCCTGGGCCACGGCGCCCTGGTCGAGGCCAAGCAGGCGTCCGACGCCGAACACGCGCAGACGCTGGGCGAGGCGCTGCGCATCTACCGCAAGGCCATCGGCTGGTCCATCTTAGTCTCCCTGTCCGTCATCATGGAGGGATACGACACCGACCTGATCGGCAACTTCTACGCGTACCCCAGTTTCGCCAGAAAGTATGGCCACTACTATGCGCCTTCGAATGACTGGCAGATTGCCACGGCCTGGCAGACGGGCTTGGGCATGGCGAGTACCGTGGGGGCTATTTTTGGTGAGTACGATTTCTAGGGTTAGGGTTAGGGTTTAGGGTTTAGGGTTATATTAGGGTTTAGGGTTAGGGTTATGTTAATATGTTAACAGGCGGCGTGATGAACGGTCAACTGTGCGCGCGATTTGGCTACCGCCGCGTGATGATGGTCTCGCTGGTCTTTATGGCCGCCTTCATCTTCATTGTCTTCTTCGCCACCTCGCTGCCCGTCCTGCTGGTCGGCGAGATCCTCTGCGGCTTCTCCTGGGGAGTCTTCGCCACCGTCGGCCCCGCGTACGCCTCGGAAGTGTGCCCGACTGTCCTGCGAGGCTATCTCTGCACATATGTCAACCTGTGCTGGGCCATCGGGCAGCTCATCGCGGCGGGCGTGCTCGACGGCCTGGTCAACAACAAAGGCGAGTGGGCGTACCGCATCCCCTTTGCCGTCCAATGGGTCTGGCCCGTCCCGCTCCTGGTCGGCTGCTTCCTCATGCCCGAGAGCCCCTGGTATCTCGTGCGCAAGGACCGGCTCGAAGAAGCCAAGCACAGCCTGCGCCGGCTCTCCTCCCGCTCCGAGGACGCCATCAACGGCCAGCTCGCCATGATGGTCCACACCTCACGCCTCGAGGCCCAGCTCGAGGCCGGCGCCCGCTACTCGGACTGCTTCAGGGGGATCGACCTGCGCCGCACCGAGATTGCCTGTGTTGCTTTTGCCGGGCAGGTCTTGACCGGCAGCACTTTTGCCTACGTAAGACCTCTCCCTCCCTACCCAACTACCCTCCCTATACTAATCTGTGTAGTCCCCCACGTATTTCTTCGAGAACGCCGGCATGGACAGCACCCAGGCGTACAAGCTGAACGTGGGCAGCACCTCGCTGTACTTTGTCGGCACCGTGCTGTCCTGGTGGCTGATCACCTACGTCGGCCGCCGCACCATCTACGTCTGGGGCCAGTTCGCCCTGTGCTGCACGTTGTTGATCGTGGGCATCATCAGCGCCGCGTCCGGCTCCAAGGGGGCGCTGTGGGCTCAAGCCGCCTTTGTCTTCCTCTGGGGTCTGATCTATTCCCTGACCCTCGGCCCCGTCACGTACAGCATCATCGCCGAGATCTCCTCGGTGCGTCTGCGCCCGCTGACCGTCTGTCTGGCGCGCACCACCTACCAGCTCGTCAACATCATCACGCAGGTGCTCGAGCCCAAGTTCATGAGTCCCACGGCCTGGAATGCCAAGGGCAAGACCGCCTTCTTCTGGGCCTGCACCTGCTTCCTCATGTTCCTCTGGTCCTTCTTCCGTCTGCCAGAGCCCAAGGGGAGGACGTACGAGGAGCTCGATCTGCTCTTTCAGCGCAAGATCCCTGCCAGGCAGTTCTCCTCCACCCAGATCGACGCTTATGCCTTGCATTCTTCTTCCCAGGAGGGCTTGACTGGCCAGGAGGTGCCGGTGCAGGAGACTGAGAAGTAGTATAGGATGTTTATTTGCAATAGTGACTGCTGTTTGATCTATTAAATGAGAATATAATCATTGTAATACGAGTATATGATTCGTATCATAATGGTAATGATTATTAAAAACACTGCAGAAACAAGACAAAAACACCTGCCAGTCAGTTGCTTTATATGGATAACAAATTCACTAGAATAACGTACCCCAGAAGCAATTCATGGCCAGATATCCCAACTTCTCCATGAGAATGCCCGACACGATCGGCCCCAAGACCATGCCCAGCGACGAGCTCATGGCAACCATCGACAGGGCATGCGCCGTCGCTGTCTTCCCCAGCATCCCCTCCATCGTCTTGACGGTGCTCGTGGTTTGCGCCGCGGCCGTCCCCGCCAGGCTGGAGATGAGCACGCCAACCAGAACGACAGAGACGATGTACAACGCTTGGCCGAGGAGGGTCTCGCTGCCGAGAGAGGGAAACGCTGGATGGCCCGGTAAGCCCAGCAGAGCGAAGCAGGGTGCCAGGAGGAGAAAGCCTAGAAGTGTCGGAGATGGCGCTGCCTCGCTTTTCTTCCTCTTCTTCTCTCCCAACCAGTCGAATAGAGGTGTCAGGAAGATAGATGGCGTCTGCAGAGCAGAGAAGAGGAGGCCCGTCGCGGCACTGCCCCAGGCGAACGTCTGGCGGACGTGCAGCGGCAGCGCGGCGTCGAAGCTGGCCAGCAGGATGGCGATCAAGGCGTGATGGACCAGGACAGCGAGGAACGGGCGCTGGCGGAGAATGAGGTAGCATTGATATCGACTGGCTGTGTCTGGCACACTTTGTACGGATGGAGCGGCCAAGAGAGGAGTCTCTTCATCATCGGATTTGACCTCTTCTGTCTTGACATCCGCAGCTGTCGGTCCGTTATAGTAAGCGCTTTTACCATCCACCAGCAAACGAAACACCAGGTCAATGAACAGAAGAAGGAAGACACTCGACCAGGCAGTCCAGTATCCATACTTCTGCAACAGTAAGCCGCTCATCATCGGCCCGGCAGACGTCCCCGTCGAGACAGCCATGTTGAGCAGCCTCATCAGGCTCCCCGGGGGAAACGTCGTCGAATGCTCGGCCACAGTCGAGAAGCCGGTGCTTTTCATACAGCTGTCGGCGAGGGCTTGGAGAAAGCGACCAACCATGATGCCGTAGACTGGAGAAGGAATGAGCAAGGAGTATACAGCACGTAAAGTAGTTTGACTCTTACCAGACCGTGAGGCAGCCATGCAGCCACTACTCAGCAGGGTGATGAGCAATGAGACGATCAAAAACACACGCTTTGACGGCACGAGATGATGGATCAAGCCGATTGTCGGCGTGCACACGGTCGAGATCAGGGCATTCTGCGCCAGGAGAAGAATCGTCACTGTAGAGGTATTCGACGGGTTGATTTTGACTCGTTCTTCCAGGATATACGGCAGGATGGGAACCATGAAGCCATACAGAAACATATCTACCTTGCAATGAGACGCTGATAGGAGTATCTTGGGGGAACCGATGGTCTACATACTAGATATCATGCCCACCGCCACACTTGTAAGAATAAAGATGGGCGAAGAGCGCCATCTGGAGCCAAGGTTTGCCATAGAGCAGTTGGAGACTTGAAGGGGGGGATTCATGATGGTTTTGTACTCGTCGATTCATTCTCAAACGATATCTGCAAGGAGGTGTGCAATAGAACCTGTCACACAAGACGTATCTGCATATGATAGATCACCGAAGCAAGGAGGGTGAGAAGGAGACAGTTAGGAATAGCTGCATGGATATTGTTGATTCAACAATTGAGTAGTTCATGAACCACATGGTTGACAATATTCTAGTCTTAATCCATTTGCATATGCTTCACTTTCCATTCCATCTCCATTCAGTTGTTTCTTGGCCCGGCCTCTGCAAGGGCCTAAGGATGCTGCTACTGCCGGCAGGAAACACCTCCAAGGCCCGGCGGATGCCCAGGGAATACCCCAGTCTATCGAGGAGGGCGCGAACCCAGGCACGCAGGGTCTGCGGCACCCCCGAGGCCCGGCCAGCGACAGCGAGCTGGAAGATCAACATGAAGACACCGCTCAGCGGGGGTTCACGCATGCCGATCGCGGGGGGGCGGATGCTGCAGTCGACATCCACATGCTTCATCTGGGTGGCGGCGCCGGCGCAGAGGTCGACGGCCATGCGTCTGATGGTTTCCAACGCACGGTGTCTGGTGGCGGAAGAGGCGATGGTGACGGTGGTATACGCGAGGATGATCTCGTTGACCAGCAGACGTCCCCAGCGGTAATGGTTGAGGATCCTCGCCGCCCACATATCGTGGTAGAGATGGTATGTTCCCTCGTATGTGTGCGCCCTGTCCATGGACTGTTGGAGGGTAAAGGACCATTCCGGGGGGAGACTCGACTCCCATACCTCCAGCTCGGCGTCGAGAGCGATCGCCCGGTCCACCACCGCCCTCTTCTCTACGGCGGTATCACCGAGCAACGAGTACAGCCGCGCGAAGCGGAGGAAGATGTCGAGCAGGCGAGCGGCGGGCAGCTCCTGCGCAGAGGCCAGACTGATCACTCGAGGACCCCAGATCAACAGTTGCACGGGCAAGGGCCCCCCGACGAGAAAGTACTTGAGGATCAACAGGTAGCAGAACTGCAGCTGGATCTTGTATTCCGTCTGCCGGAACGACCAGCCAAAGCCCGTCTGGGCGAACAAAGCCGCCACGCCGTCCAGATGCACCGCCCAGGCGTCGATCGCGTGTTCCGGACAGCTCACCATCTACTCGGTCAGCATCTGTAGAATCAGTAGAGAGAGAGAGAGCACATACCTCGAACAAGCTGAGCATGAGGATGATCTGAATGGTCTGGTGCGGACTGGCCTTTGTCGGATCCTGCACTGCCCGTCTCACGACCCCAACAGACGATGCGTACTTGTGCTGCGCGAGGGTCATCGCCGCCTTCTCGCCCGTGACGTTCGCCATGGCCGCCAGCCCGACCGACAAGACAGCGTCGTGCAGCGAGGGGTTGTCGGCGAGGCCGCTGAAGAAGAGCGACGAGTGGACGTGTTCAGAGCGAATGCTAGCGAAATGGGTGAAGAAGAACCGCAACGCCTGGTCTTCCACGGGGGAGAGCAGGCGCATATCCGAGTCGGCGCGCAGCAACGCCACCTCCCTGCCACCACCGGCGCTTGCATCCTGATCCCGCAGGGGCTTCAGCGCCCGGCGTCGCGTTCTGGCATTCTCGTCACGGAAGATCAACGCATCCACGTCGCGATAGCCGGTGCAGGACCTGCCCACCCGTCGGCACTGCGAGCAGGCAGGGCGCACACGGTCGCACTGCTTGACGGTCAGGGAGATTCACCAAACTGCAGACTCGACTCGCCTTGCCTTGATTCGCCGTTCACGACAGCCCAGACAGCTGGGACTGGGGCGGCCACTGAAGGGCATCGTGTGCGCTTTGCTTGAGTGACGTTGACGACAGCAGGACAGAATATATTTACTAGTCTAAAGGGGGTTAGCCGATTAGATAATACATCCACATAAGTTAGTCACTAACCAACTACAGTTAGCGCAACGCTAGCCCAGTTGGGTATATATATCGTCGCCCAAAAGGGTATATAAATCGCCAGGATATATAAATCGCCAGGGTATAAAGACAGCTCTTAAAAGAACAATAAACATCTATCAAGACACACTCTGCAATGGCCCAGGACAGCTCGTTCTATCCCTATTCGCCCTCGCTGGCCGCTGCCGCCCTGTTCTCTGCCCTGTACGGACTGGCCTTTCTCGCCACCTTCTTCCAATGGCTGCGTCTCCGGGCATGGGTGTGGATAGTGGTGGTCCTCGCAGCGATCAGTAAGCTCTGTCATACTGTCATACTGTTATACTGTCATACTGTCATACTGATCAACAGTGGAAACTATCGGGTACATTGCCCGCTGTATCTCCATGCAGCACGACACCAACAAGTCGCTGTACGTGCTTCAGTTCGCGATGATCGTGCTGCCCCCCGTCCTCATCGCGGCCGGCTGCTACATCGTCTTTGGCCGGATCCTGTTTCTCGTCGTGCCGCGCGAGGAGCGCACGCTGCGTCTGTGCTGGGTGCCTCCTCGCTTCGTGACGCCCATCTTCGTGGCGTTTGATATTGTCGCGCTGCTGCTCCAGCTGGCCGGCGCCGTGATGATCGCATCCACCGTGCCGGGCGAGAAAGATGCCGCCAGCAAGCTCGAGCACGGCAAACATATCGCCCAGGCAGGCGTGGTGATCCAGCTGCTCGCCTTTGGCCTCTTCGCCGTCGCTGCCATCCGCTTCAACTTCACCTCGCGCCCGTACGCCCAGACGCTGCTGGAACGCTATGCGGCAGACGCGGACGAAAAGACCATCCTCATCGATGGCAAACGCCGCAGGAAGCACTGGCAGGCGTTGCTGCGCGTCGTCAACGTCACTTCGGTCTTGATCTTGGTTCGCACAGTGTATCGCCTGGTGCAGTTCAGTGAGGGCAAGACGGGCTACATCAACCTCCACGAGTGGACCATGTATGTCTTCGATGCCGCAGTCGTCTATCCGTGTGTGATCTTGTTCATCTGGTGGCATCCGGCTTATTACCTGCCTCATCTTGGGTTCTCCTTGAAAGACTAGATAGAAAGACTGTGGCATATGGACTGCTGGACTGCTTGGATGATATCTGCCAAAGAAAATGCCATAGGGTTAGGTTAGGGTTAGGGATGAATAGACAATATAAGAATCAATATTCTTGATTCTTTGGAATTCCTGCTGCAAATGCATCCAGACCTTCTCCTTGATCCCGTTCTGTCTCAACCCATCCAAGGGGCTTTGCACGCGTTCATCGGCACTGTCGCAGTATGCACCCACTGTATAGACTCCGCTGCCAACGCCGCCATTGCTTCCGATGGCAGGTTCTGTTGGAGAAGCGGGAGGAGGTTGGCAATGAAGCTGTATTCGCCGCCAGGCGAGATCGAGATGCTTCAACTCGTTTGACGTCATTCAATCAGGGTTCCGCACGATCTCGTATCGCGATTGTTGCTACATCGGATATCCTGGATACTCAGCTGGACTGGACACTTAATCTATGATATATTAAATATTGTATAAGCTGTTCTTTTGAACTAGAGATATATTAGGAAAGATAAGAACTAAATTCAAAGATTCATACTTGATAGATTATTAATAGATAGTCTCTTATTAGAAGAAGTGCACACTATAACAGTAGACTTGAGGATAGTCAAGGTCAATAGCCATTGATAAGATTGTTTCAGAAGAATAAGACTATTAAATTGCTAGTTGGAGATGTATTTTCTCCCCAGGTACTTGTTCTCAGGTGACGGCGCACATGGTCCTCACCAAGATAATTAAATAGCAAGATATTCAATTAGAACATCACAGTTATATTGTTTATCTATTATATACCCTAAAATGATTGCGGATTATGTCTGGCTGCTGGTCGCAGATCAAGTGCAGTATCCTCGAGCCTTTTACTCGCTGTGTCTGGTGTCGAAACGGTTCAACGCCATCTTCTCTCCGTATCTCTACCATCACATCACCCTGTACGGCATTCATCTGAAGCATCTGAGATGTATCAGCCAGTCCCCGTACATCTCCTTTACGCGGTCTCTTCAAGTCTGTTGTTTGGACCTTTCTCTCGATGGCCAGTGCTTCTTCGACATGCTGGACCAGATGGGCAATTTACGGACATTACAGTAAGCTTTGCGTTCTGTTCTACAAACCAACAATGTATTGATGTGTGGTATAAAGGCTGAGAGGAGTGGAAATCCCCAAGACAGTCGAGGGAAGACAGATCCTACACCGTCTGCAAAGTCTGCCACCACGTCTGCAATCCCTGAGCATCGAAGCAGACGAGTATTCCTGGAAACCCATCGACGACTTGTCTCTCCCCTGGTTCTTACCGGACACGCTCCGCCTCGGCCATCTGGAACTGACGGCTCTCCCGTTGGGGTTCGTGGAGCGGAATCTCTCCTCGCTGGCGGATCTGCTAAAGACATGGCCCGTCCAGCGTCTGCAGCTAAGCCTGGACCACGAGCCATGGAGAAAGAACTCGCTTCTCTCGGATCTGATCGGCCTGTTCGATGGAGACCAACCCCTTGCACTCCGAGACCTCCATCTCGGCGCCGGATTCCTCCCGTTGAAGCAGGGAGACAATGGAGCGGACCTGGGCCAGTTGACGGATCTGGCGTGTTTGGAGGTTCTGGGCCTGCAGAACGGCGACTGCGCATACGACTCCAGCCTCCATCTGTCCTCTTCTTGCGTGTCCTTGATCCACGCGGCTAGGAGTCTGCATACCCTCCGTCTGTGTCGGTTAAGCGACGAGATGGTCGACTTCATCACCTCGATCAACAAGAAGAACAAGCCCAGCGTCGTGACGAGCCTTGTCGTGCATGGGTTCCAGCAGTCTGCTGCGTGGCGCCGCTGCGGAACACACTGGAAGGGCATCGGGCTGTCTGCTTCTTCGGATCCGCAGCAGGAAGAGGAGATGGAGAAGATCGTGCAGGAGGTGATTGTCAAGTGCGTCCATCTGGAGGAACTGTGCATTGCCATTCCGTCGACGAAGAAAGATCTGCTGTACACCTGTCTTGACGCTCTTCCAAATCTGAGGCGTTTACACCTCCTGCCTGGCAAAGACGATGACCGGGATACCATCGTCCAGGAGGTGTTTGTTCGCAAGAGGAGGTTAGTTGGCAGGGGACATCAACCGCTCTTCTCGCTGGTGTACGGGAATGAGTGTTTTGAGTATCTCTGGGGGGAGCCGTACCAAGTAGTTGATTGTGGGAGATGGACTATTCCTACAGCTTCAGTATAATGGAATTCTTATAGACCTTAAGATCATAAGTAGAAAGCTTAAGCTATTTGTATATTCTATACACTGGGTGTAATTAATCATTATTATTCTAGCTGCTCTACCCGAGTCTTGCCTTGATATACTTATTCTCTACTGACTAGATAGGGTCTAACAACCCAAGACAGCGCAGATCAGAGATGTTTATTGAACGGCCGACGCTGATCACTTCCTGCAGGAACAAGACATCCTCTCCAACAGGTGAGATCTGCAGTCTGGTTCCACCCTTCCTGCATGATCCTGGGACGATGCTTTGCAGATGGAGACCGGCCGTGCTCGCCTTCCCCAGTTTGACTCTATACCACAGGAAGCATACTCAGAGTACAGATACTCAGAGTACAGAATACTACAGAATACTACAGAATACTCCTATTCAGAATAGAATGGCCTGATTGCTCCACCTTCGCCACGTGCTGCCTTCTCTGTTTCCTTCCTGTTTGTCTCTCGGTGTATTCCTGTCCAGTCGCTCTAGAAGCCTGGCTGGCCCACGCAGATACACATGGCAGACGGGGGGGAACCCCGATCCGGCGCAACTCCCGACCCCTTCACACAACGGCTGCAGCTGGTCGCAGCGTGGCGTGCGACTTTAAAGCGACCAGCGTCTTGTCTTCGGATAGTTCGGAGTGGTGGGAGGGGCGAGACAAGCCATCACCTGTCTCCACTAAGTATATAGTAAGCATAGTAAGCATAGTAAGTACATAGTAAATATAGTAATATAGTAATATATAGTAATATAGTAATATATAATAATATAGTAATATATAATAAGTGAAAGTATATAATAAGTGAAAGTATAAAGTACTGCTAGCATAACTAGATTACTATAATAGCGCTTACGATATTATCAGGCAGCTCGCATCCTGACGAATACTCTGTATGTGCGTGCAGGTCCCTTGGATAGTTTCGCGCGATGGATTCGCTTACCCACCCTGAAGTGGATCATCCGAGGCTATTCACTCGCAAGATGAGACTATGATCTAGTGAGTAATGGATTGTTCCCTGCACAAAAGGCACCTCACCTCATACCTGGTCGGGAGGTTGGCCATTGTGTTGAACAAGCATTTAACAGAATAAGGTGGCGACTCTACAGATCCCCCCGGGTCTTTTACGCAACAGATATATTAAAAGGAGGGGGATTCCTTCGCCACCAGAGCTTAGTGCTCGTATAGGCAAGGAGTTGCGTAATCCATATCTTTCTTAACCGATAACTAGCCCAAAGTCTACTTCTTAGTCTTGGTATTATTATTATTCTGATGGATACCCCTGCACTAGGGTCGTATTTCGACCAGGGAATGAATGCACTTGATCCTTCCAGGAATGGGTTGCCCGCCGAGGCAGAAATAAAAAAGAAAAAAGAGAAAGAGAGATGGGATTAAAGTGGTGTGTTTCCAATCCATCCGCGCTTGATTGTTGTTATTCAGATATGCTGCAAACATGACGCTCAGCTACGCAAACCGGGGGGATGTGGTGGTCGTGTCGAACATCATCTTGGCCGTGCTGGCCGTGGTCTCGTCGGGGCTTCGCTTCCAGACGCGCATCTTCTACTCCAAGGCGTTCAGTTGGGATGACGCCTTTCTGGCCGTTTCTGTGGTGAGTCCGAGATGGATGCCTTTTTTTTCCCGTTCTCCGTTCTCCGTTCTCATACTTGCAGGTCGGCACCGCCCTGACGCTCACGTTCAACCTGCTGGCGGTGAAATATGGCTACGGGCAGCACGTCAAGACGCTGCTGGTGACGGGGCCCAACCCGGCGACGGCGCTCAAGTACCAGATCGTGTCGGAGGCGACCAACATGTTCGCGATGATGGCGCTCAAGATGAGCCTGGGCATGAGCTTCGTGCGCCTGCGGCTGACCAAGGCGATCACGGCCAGCATCTACGGCACGATGGCGGTGGCTCTGCTGTGCAATCTGTGCGCTCTGATCGCCATCCTGGGCCAGTGCCGCCCCATGGCGCGGGCGTGGGACCAGGCCGTGGACGGGACGTGCTGGTCCAACAACGTCAAGACGGTGACGTGGTACGTCCAGTCGGCAGGCAACATCCTGTCCGATCTGATCTTCACCGTCGGCCCGCTGGTCTACATCTCGCACGTCCGGGTGTCCAAGTACAACCGGTGGGCGCTGCGGGCCGTCTTCTGCTTCGGCCTGCTGGCCACCGTGTGCGGCATCGTCAAGACCATCGAGCTGCACCAGCTGCTGCTGGGCTCCGACCCGACCTGGGACACGGTCGACCTCACCATCTGGTACACGGCCGAGATGGACGTCGGCATCTTCGCCGCCTCGCTGCCCGCCCTCAAGGCCCGCTTCGAGGCCATGCTCTTCCACTTCTTCCAGATCAAGGCCGGCAGCTCGCAGTACCGCAGCAACCACGTCTCGCACACCGTCACCACCCGCACGGGCGCCCGTGGCGCCGCCGCGGGCATGGGCATGAACATGAACATGTCCGTCGACATGGACATGGACATGGATGTCTTCCAGCACCGCGTCATCACCCATTCGCACCGCACCAGCGACAACGACTGGGCCAGCGATCGCCAGATCCTGCCCAGTCCCCCGCCGGGAGGCATCTCCAAGACCATGGAGATCCGGGTGACGGAGGAGATGAGAGACTCGGACTGACTAGTCTTGTAACTTCTACTATACTTCTTACTTCTTACTATACTACTATACTATACTATACTATACTTACTATACTTCCTTACTTACTATATACTTCTTACCATACTACTATACTATACTATACTATACTATATAACTACTATTAACGATACTACTAACTATACTATACTATACTATATAACTACTACTAACTACTACTAACTACACTACTAATTTTTAACATTAACTATACTATTATACTAACTATAATATAATATACTATAATATAATATACTATAATACGCTGTTTAGAACATCTGTAGATTTTCTTACAATATTGAATATTCTTAGAATTTCTTAGAACCTTGAATTTTCTTGGATTTAATTTTTAGAATTTAATTGCCGCGTAATCAGTGGGCCGCTAAATTAACCCAAAGCTGGGATCATTAGACATGAATTAGTCTCTCGCTAACCCTCGGCTAGACTCGTGGGTTTTATTATTATGGCCAGGGATTCTGCTTGGGCCCCGGCACTATCAGAAGTCCTCCGCCTCCTGGATCCTCCGTCCACGTCTTCCAACGGTCATGACGACTCCTGTTCTACCGTACATTTAAATACTTCAGTCTTCCAGTCTTCCATCACCCATTCTTAGTCTTGTCTTTATCTGTCACTTCTGTTCTACACTCTGCACTTCTGCACTTTCCTGTTCGCCATGTACAAGTCTGTCGCTCTCTCGCTTCTCTGGGCTGCCGCCGCCCTCGCCCAGACGCCCCCCCAGACCTGGCCCGTCACCGAGACCAACCTGGGCGCCATCTACGACGAGAACATCACCGTCACCCCTGGCCTCTGGATCGACCCTAATGGTATTCTATTCATCATTCCTATTCATTCATCATCATTCATCATTCCTTATTGACAATGGTAGATGTCGGCGACGAGCCCGTCCTCTACCCCACCAACGACGACGCCTACGAGGGCAAGTACATGGTCTTCCTCATCGACTGGATGATCCCCGACGACGATGTCACCACCTCCAACCTGTACCGCACCCTCGTCCCCGGCCTGGCCGTCAACACCACCACCCGCCTGCACTGGTGGGCGGGCAACCTCACCCTCGACTGCGACTCGGGCGTGTTTGTCAACGAGTCGGCCGCCATCGCCACCTACTCCTCCCCCCGTCCCCGCGACTCGACCAACCACACCTACGCCCTGTACCTGTTCGACCAGCCCGCCGACTACGTCCTGCCCGAGGAGGCCGCCGAGGGCCTGTACACCTCCCAGACCACCGACGACCGCTACAACTTCTCCATGGTCCCGGTCTTTGAGGCCGTCGGTTCTCCCGTCGCTGCCACCTACTTCCTCTCCAACGATGCCTAGGTATCGCCGCTCGCTATTCCAGCTTCTGTCATTCTTTGTATAGTACTAGACTGTATATAAGTGCATACTATAATAACAGTATACATAATCTATATTATCATAAATTATAATCTATATACTATCATATCATACATCATCTATACTCACAGGCTTATGCTAATCTGCTCAAATCTGCTCAACCTCTAATCTGCTAATCTGCTCAGCGATCTTGGCATCACTTGGCACTTGGAATATATAATGTACAATATCCAAAATATGAATCTCCAACATGCACATCCAAAACTTCTCCGACTCCTCCGATCTGGTCTACCACTGGGGGTACTTCCCCCGGCAGGTCCCCTGCACCAAGGATGCCGGCACATGCGCCTACCTGGACGCCGTCTATCATGACCATGACCTCAGCATGCTGTACAGCTTCGTTCTGTGGGCGGTGGTGGGCGGGGGCTGCCTGCTCTGGGGCGTCGTCCGTCTCAACCGCTCCTGGCATGATCAAGCCCGACCTCGCCGTCTGCAATCCGCTCTCCGTGCACTGTGTCGCCGTCTCCTTCTCCCCGACGTGGCCTGCTGGCCCTTCCGGCATACCACTCGCCAGCAGCTGCTCGTCGGCGTCGGCCTGGCCGGCTACCTGCTCGTCTTCACCTTTGTCGGCATCACGTACCAGACGTGGATCACCCCCGTCAGCGGCTCGCCGGGCGTCTACAACACGCGCTCGGGGCTGGGGCCGTGGTCCGACAGACTGGGCGTGCTCGCCTTTGCCCTCACGCCGCTCTCCATCCTGCTGGCCAGCCGGGAGTCGCTGCTCTCGCTGCTCACGGGCCTGCCGCACTCGCATTTTCTCTTCCTGCACCGCTGGCTCGGGTACCTCATCTATCTCCAGTCCGCGCTGCACACCCTCGGCTGGACCGTCGTCGAGGGTAAACTGTACCAGCCTCAACCCACCCAGTGGCGCGAGTTTATTCGCGAAAAGTACATCGTCTGGGGCGTGGTCGCCATGAGCTTCTGCTCGCTGATGATCGTCCACAGCACCGCCTGCGCGATTCGATGGACCGGGTACGAGCTGTTTCGCAAGCTGCATTACCTCGTCGCCATGCTCTATCTGGGCGCCTGTTGGGCCCATTGGACCCGTCTCTCCTGCTGGATGATCTCTTCCCTGATCCTCTGGCTGCTTGATCGTGCTGCTCGTCTGCTGCGGACCTTTTATCTTCACAGGATGAACATTCCCCACGCCACAATACAGCTGTTTTCCACCTCCGACGACGACGTGGTCGTCCGGCTGGACTTTCGGCATTTTCACCACCCATGGAAGGTCGGCCAGCATTTCTACCTCTCCTTCCCCGAACTGAGTCGATGGCAGGCCCATCCTTTCACCCCTTGTACTTTCAACGCCACTCCCTGCGACGCCCTCAAGGCACACCAGCAGCACACATATCTCATTCGCGTGCACAAGGGAGTGACTCGCCGTCTCGCCCAAGCTGCGCTGGTCCGTCCCTCAACCTCCGTGCTGCTCTCAGGGCCGTACGGCCAACCCGTACTAGACGCAGACGATGCAGACACAAACATTCTTTGCATCGCCGGGGGAACGGGCATCTCCTCTGTCCTTCCTGCCCTCCTGCTCGCAGCAAGCAATACCGCCGCTAGAGACAGATCACTCCGTTTGGTCTGGGTGGTACGCCGCCAGACAGATCTCCAATGGCTGCAGCCAGAACTCGCCCTGCTGCGACAGCTGGAGTTGAGTATCCGCATCTACGTGACGCGGGAGACCACAGACAGCACCGAATCAACTGAAAAGACAAGCCCGGTGGAGAACATCGCCGGCCATCCTGACCTTCACGGTGAAGTGACCGACTTCCTCTCCCAGGTCGTCCGGGGCCGAACCCGCGTCCTGGCCAGCGGGCCGCCAGGCATGATTTCCGCGCTGCGACAGAGTGTGGCCTCACAGAACATGCCGGGCAAGGTCTTTAGAGGCGACGAGAGGCCAGACGTCCAGCTTATAGAGAGTTAGACAGTTCCATCCATCTCTTTCTCTTCCCTCTCCTACCAGATGGTCTTCTCTATCGCTGGGCGTAAGACTGAGCCACCGATCGAGGCAGTTATGCCATACTGCTGCACGTGGTTGCGGCCTCGGGCAGTATTTCTTTGCAATATATTCCATGAGTATTAAGAATAGAATAGTATAAGTTGAATCTATAGATAGTTTATATTACTATTAGACAGAAATAAGAATAATCTATTAACCTGTCTCTTCATATTAGGCAGTGAAATCTGATTGTATTCATGCATAGGTCTAAGGTAATACCTATAAAATATAATTAAGATAATCACTTATTTTCAGTAAAGGTAGCGCACCTCCTGATATACTAGACTAGAAACACACATCGAAGGAGGTAGAATGCTTTTATACATTCAAGTGGCCTGCGCCAGTAGACAGATAGTTTGGAGACTGTTAGTGTAAAGTTCTTCTGTCTAGGATTCGTTGTACCTCTATATTCCTGCTATTGATATACTCCTCTTGGTCCCGCTGTCGCCCATAAGACTATAATAGAGGATTCATGAGGATGTAGTACAGAACGCCATCTCAAGGGAGACATTTGGGCAGCAAATATACTAGTGGAGTAAGAGTACCCAGTCCTCCTGAGTAGATACTGACCGGGTAACAAGTAATCCTTGCGTACTGAAGGTATAACCACCCCTAGATCCTGCTAATTGGCAGGTCATTTGGCCGAGGATTCATCGAGACGGTGTCCTCGTGGAGAGGAAAGATCAACTTGAACAACGGAGGTCTATTTCTTCCACCTTCTCTTCTCTCTCTTCCTCTTTCTTTGCCTCAAAGACATGGAAGTACCGGCATAGATCGTTGCTCTTTCTGCAAGAGTCAGGCAGACGTGTTATGTGTTCTTTTCTTCACTCCTTCACCATTACATCTTGATCTTCACCTTATCCTCCTTCTCTCTATACTGAAGCCTTCTACTCTATGTCTATACTATCTCTAGGATTCATCCAAGATAGTATCCTGCTGGCTATTTTTTATAAATTCAACTTAACGCTGGAGTAGACTCAGAATATCCCAAGTAAATGACATCAACTCATTGTCAATACATCGATTATGTCCATCTCAAGTGGCCCCTGGAGAGCAAAGAGGTCGACCATATCGTTTCCATCCTTGAGCGAGAGAGAGACACGCTTTCGGCTGCCCTGACCATCGACAACTCGTACAATATGTATGCTGCTTTGTTTCTTCTTCTCTTTCTTATTCTTCCACGGCTAATATATTCTCAGTGCCCACGTCCGTCCTCTCCAAGCTGCCTACGGTCGATGCGGCTGCCTTTGACTCCCACGCCGATGAATATACTGCAGACCCTGCCATTGTCAATAAGAATCTCCGGGAGCAGTTCACCCAGCTCATTTTGAAGCCTTTGGAGGCCGTGGACTCTGGGGGGTATCAGAAAACCATTGTTCTCGTCCTGGATGCTCTCGACGAGTGCGACAATGACAACGAGATCAAGCTCATCATCCACTTGATCTCACTAGCAAAATCATTGACTTCGGTGAGACTGCGTGCCTTTGTGACCAGTCGCCCTGAAGTCCCTGTTCGGCTTGGGTTCCACGCCATTCAGGGCAAGTATGAACATCTGATCTTGGAAGAGATTCCGGCTCCTGTTATCGAACAAGACATTCAGGTGTTTCTGCAGGACGAGCTTGCCAACATCAAGGAAGAGCACAACAGTCAAGCTCGGATAGAGGATCGCCTGCCCCAGGATTGGCCAGGTATCAGGATCACCCGCGACTTGGTCCAGATGGCGGTTCCTCTCTTCATCTTCGCTGCCACCGTGTGTCGGTTCATCGCGGACCCGGTCTGGTCGGACCCATCAGGCCAGCTGGAGAAGATCCTGGAATGTCGAGAGATGGGCAGGCTTGAGGCCACCTACAATCCGATCCTCGCCCAGCTCAGGGCCAGCTCCAACGCGGATCAAACGGCGCTCGTGGCCGAGTTTCGGACGATTGTCGGCTCCATCGTGCTATTGGCAGAGCCTCTCTCGGCGACATCTTTGTCTCTCATCCTGGATATCCCAAGAAGCATTCGATGCCAAAAGGACTCATGCCCAGCTGGCAAGACGCTGTCTCAGGGCCATGCGTGTCTGTATTGGGTCTATCATGTCGAGCAGAGTGGTGAGCATCTTATCGATGGGCACGAGGTTGATATCTTTCTCAAAACCCACTTTCTTCACTGGCTGGAAGCATTGAGTCTTCTTGGAAGGATGACTGAAAGTATGCGCATGATCAATACTCTCCAAGGGCTACTCGTAAAGATCATTGTTCTAACTGTTTCGCCAGACCAGCACCCCCTCCCATCTCTCAGCCTTCTTATATGATGCGACTCGGTTTCTCTATTTCTTTCGCACCGCCATTGATTCCTCCCCCCTACAGATATATTCCTCGGCTCTGGTCTTCGCGCCCAGGAATAGTCTTATCCGAAAGATGTTCGACAAATGTATTCCAGGATGGATCTCACGACCGCCAGAGGTGGGCCTGGACTGGGGAGATTGTCTACGAACATTAGACGGACATGAAGACTATTTGGATGATATTACTTTCTCTCCAGACGGAAAGACCATGGCTTCGGCATCACACGATGGCACGATTCGCGTTTGGGACACCGTAACCGACGAAAAAACGCTCACTCTCCGTGGCCACATCGGTGCAGTCTTTGCGGTAACATATTCACCGAATGGCAAGACACTTGCTTCAGCGTCCTCAGACCACACAGTCCGCCTATGGGATACAGCCACGGGCGAGGAAGTCTCGAGACTAGAAGGCCATGGCGGGAGTGTAAACAGTGTCGCCTACGCACCCGATGGGAAACAGATAATATCAGGCTCCGACGATGGTACCGTTCGAGTGTGGGACGCTCACACAGGCAAGGTGGTGAAGACCCTCGAGGTCCATGAGAAAACAGTCAGTTCGGTGACCTTCTCCCCGGATGGTCAGACAATCGCCTCGGCCGCTCTAGACCGTACCATTCAACTCTGGGGCGCGTCGACCTACCAGAGAATCAAAGTGATCAAATGCGGCACCCCGACGCGCCTGGTCTATTCACCCGATGGCAAGACGCTGGCCTCGGTTGAGATGAGCAAGGGAGTGCGCCTTTGGGATCCGGTAACTGGCGAGGAGAAAAAGGAGACGAGAACCGGGTGCTACATTCGTGCTGTAGCCTATTCGCCTGACGGCCAACTGTTGGCATCCATCGATGGTGATAACGCAATCCGCCTGAGGAACTCAACGACCTACGTCGAGGAGCGCAAGCTGGACCACAGCTCAGCCAGCAATAGGATTGCGTTTTCCCCAGACGGCAGAATAGTGGCGATCGGGGTCCATCCATACGCCATTCAGCTCTGGGACGTGACAAGACCCATATCAGACCAGCAAGACGAGGAAGACAGTTGCCTCTGGAATCCAGCCACCCAAAAAGTCAAGAAAAAGGGGCCGGTTACGCGTTCTCCTCTTGAGACTGCCGTCTTCTCGCCAACCGGCAGCCGCGCCCTCTCGGGTGAATATGAGAAGATTCATCTATGGGATCCGGCGACGGGCGAGCAGCTGCAAACGCTGCAGGTTCCTGGCTTTCTAGGTGGAAGAATTGCCCTTTCGCCTGATGGGAATACATTGGCTCTGGCTAGACCTTTTCTAGATCTCTGGGACATGGCAGCCGGTGAGCAGATAACACGCCTGGATCACTATGGGGGTTACTCTTACGGTGCCATTGCTTTCTCTACTAATGGTCAGATGGTGGCATGCCGTATACATGACCACCAATGTTCGATATGGAGTGTGCCGACGAGGGAACATATCTTCAATCTTACAAATCTTCCCAGGATATGCAACCGGCTGGAAGTCTCATATGATGGTACGACATTCACTTGTGTTGAGAACTCGAATACATGGGCCTGGAAATTCGTGAAGAGAAGGGAGCTACCTGGTTCCACTTGGGAACGAACCCCTGAGACTGCCATATTTGCTACAAACAAGTCTCCTGTTCTATCCGGAAGAAACCAGGAAACGGCCTCCTTCGCGGCTTATGAGATGAAGGTGATAGATCTGTCAGTCAGCTCGCTTGATGGTTGGGTGGTCCGAGGTGGAGTTAAGATTCTCTGGATCCCTCTCAACTACAGACCAAACTGCATGGATGCCTGTAATGGCCTCTGTATAATGGGATACGAAAGGGGCGAAGTGAAGTTCCTCGGATTTAATTGGGGTTTATTATGAAATGGCTAGTATTGTACATCTTAGGATGATTGATGGTATATTGATCCTTAGATAATGATTACCATTGGGTAGAGATATCAAGATTACTGTACCCTGTATTAATAATCTTATCTGATGACTCTAGGCAACTCTCTTAAATAGCAGATCCTGATCTCTTACTTTTCCTTCTATCCTTCTCCCTCTTAGCACTCAGTCACTCAACATGGCACAATCCGATGATAATATTCAACTAGAAGGAGCCTCTACTTCCAAGCCTACTACGGCTATTGACCACCCCCCTGCCAACTTCCTCCAGCCCTTTGACCCGGAGAATCCGCTCGACTGGCCGCTGAGCCGCAAATGGCTGGTGACGGACATTATCTCGGCCACGGGCTTGAATCGGATCATGGTCTCGACGATCCTGGCGCCTGCCCTGCCGGCGATCGCCAAGGAGATGGCCATGTCGTCTACGGAGGAGATGATGGCGCTCTCTATCTACCTCCTCGCGACTGCCTTCGGACCCTTGGTGATTGGGCCCCTTTCAGAAGTCTACGGCCGGCAGCTCATCCTGCATGCCTCCAGTGTCTGGTTCCTGGTGTGGAACATCGTATGCGGCTGTGCAGAGACCAAGGGAACCCTGTTGGCTGCCCGCTTCCTGGCTGGATTTGGCGCCAGTGCGGTCTATTCGCTGGCTGGGGGCGTCCTGAATGATATCTGGCGACCGGAACAACGAGGGAAGTCTTTGGGGGTGTATCTACTCATTCCATTGTTAGGAGCGGCTATAGGTAAAGACCTTTTCTTCCTACTCTATGACTTTGCTTATACTCTCTATAGGCCCCATTCTTGGAGGCGTTATAGTCGCCAATACCACTTGGCGATGGATCTTCTGGTCGACCTCGATCTTCCAGGCATTGATGATGGGTGTCTCGGTGTTCAGCTTCCAGGAGACGTACGCACCGGAGATTCTACGCCGGCGAGCACGACGATTGAATATCCCCCTGGAGAAGAGGTCCATGATGAATTTCACCAAAGCCCTCACTCGCCCCGTCCGCTTCCTCCTGTTCCACCCGATCATCCAAGTCTCGGTCTTGCTGTCCGCCTTTGACTATGGCATCCTCTACATCACCCTCTCCACCTTCTCTAGCCTGTGGACGTCGGTGTACCACCAGTCCGTCCAGATCAGTGGATTGCACTATATTGCTTGCTCTCTGGGAGAAGTGATCGGATCTCAGGTCGGCGGCTTCCTGATGGACCGTCTGTATATGAGGCCTCGTCGCCATACCCGCCCTGAAGCCAGACTGCCGCTCGAGGGGTTTTCAATGGCCATCGCTGCTCTCGGTCTGGTATTCTATGGCTGGGCTGCTCACTATAAACTCTACTGGGTGGTCGTCGATGTCGCCGTCACCATCATGATGGTCGGCTTGCAGATGTTTGGGATGCCAGGTAATACACCCACTACAAGCTCGGTTTTACATGAATACTAATCGGTAGTGTCTGGGTATATTATCGATTCATACGGCGAGCATACCAGCAGCGCAATGGCGTCTCTTCAGTTCGGCAGGAGTCTGTCGGCCTTTCTACTGCCTCTATTCGCACCGAAGATGTATCAAGTCTTGGGGTATGGATGGGCAAACAGTGTGCTTGCATCTGCCGGTCTTCTCATGCTTGGTCTTGTATGGGTTCTTTGGAGATATGGACCGCAGTGGAGAGAGAAGCTGGTGGTATAATGACAGTGTATAAGATGGGATTATTCCTCACAATAGGTCTAAACACTCAATTATATCGCGATCACCCATAGATACGGAAGGGAATGGAGGAATTGAAACAACCACCCTGCAGCCAGTCACCCGTGATGTTCTTCACAGTGGTGCCATTGCCAAACTCCAGGATCAGCCCGCCCTCGGCAGCCGAGCCATTGTAGGGGACCCAACCAGCAGATGGCAGAGAAGAGGGATCCTTGAGGAAGTCAAGCATGTAGTCCTGCATGGTCCGGGAGGTCTTGACTTCCAGCCCCGGGACGTCCCCGACCTGTTCGCGGTACGTGCCGAAGATCATGAGCAGGTCGGTCCAGTGGTACGCGCCGAGATAGTATTCCGGGCTGATGTTGGAGAAGTTGCCGGCCCACAGATAACGGTAGGTCTCGAGACCCAGCGACAGACGCAGGGCCGAGTCATCCATCGCGGTGCAGATCCATTCGCCTTCTTCTTCGGCGGTTGTGGCCTCATCGTTGGTTGAGATCTCGCGGGCGACATCGGAGCGGATGGCAGGGCCACGAGCCACCTTGCCAGCCAGATAGCGCTCGGTCTCATTGGAAAAGATGTACCTCTCGTCAGCTAGGATAGTAGATTAGTATGATAAAGTCTCTTTAACAGGTAATAAAGGAAGACGTACGGATATAATCAGCAAAGGAGATAGAAGGTGAGCCCGAGTAGCGATTGATATATTCCTCAATCTGGACCCAGGAGACTTGACGCATGCACTCAAGCTCAGCCTCTGCGTCGTCGCCATAGTTGCATCCAAGGGCCTTGGCGACAATATCGAAATCCTCATACACGTCGTCTGTGGCAGACAGATTGAGGGTCACTGACGGCGGTTGCGAGATGACGCCGAACTTGGCTGCCAGCGGATCATCAGGGAAGGCGAGGGTATACAGATGCGTCAACGCAGCGCCTTGCGACTGGCCCCAGAGCTGTGAATGTCCTTAGATATGATCGAGAGAGAGAGGAGGGAGAGAGAGAGAGAGTGATTGTTACCATAATGTTCTCGCCATCACCACCAAATGCCTCAATATTCTCATACACCCACTCAACAGCTGCTCGAACGTCCAGCAGGGAGAGGGAGGTTTCATCAAGGGCCCTTGATTTAGGGTCTATATCAGTTAGTGGAAAGAATATGGTAGGTTAGGTTAGGGCTAGGGATATTGCAGTAGTAGGTTAGGTTTCTAGTGCAGGAAATGTATATCACGTACTGCCAAAAATGTTGACCCGGTAGTTGATAGTAACGACGATATGCTCCTGCGAGCGCGAGACCCAAGGCGAAGGAAGCTGGGAAGGAGTCCAGATGCCTCCCTGAGTGCCACCACCGCCCGTCACGAAGAGAGCGACAGGCAGCTTGGAGTGCCGGTCGGCGTCGGCCGGCGTCCACACGGCCAGGGACAGACAGTCCTCGTCCGACGACCAGGCCACGGCGCCCTCAACCTGCGACTCTCCCAGGTTGAGCAGCGCGTCCGAGGGCGCCCATTCGGTCCAGATCGTGCCTGTCGAGACGACGTATTGCGGACACGCTGAGGAACCGGTTAGACTGGCAGTACGCAAAAGGATGTGAAAACAAACGTACCTGGGCCGTATCGCGAAGAATCGATCCTCTTGTTCGAGGGCAGAGGCTTCTGCGGCGGCATCCAGCGCAGGTCTCCAATGGGCGGCTGCGCAAAGGGGATGCGGAGGAACTGGCGCACGTCGGGATACGAATCGTTGAGCATGCCCACAAAGGTGCCCGACGGCGTCTCCACGGTCAGGTTCTCCCAGGTGGAGATGCTCCGCGCCGGTTCGAACGTCAGGTTGGCATAGTAGGCCGGATGGTCGGTGGCATTGTCTGCATTGGAGGGCAACGTCCCCCACTGGGCGCTGGCGATGCCGCTCAGGGCCAGCAGCAGCACAGCCTGGAGAGCCATTGTTAGGAGAAGCTGATTCTTGACCTGGTTCCTGCCGGTGGATCGTGCGATGCCATCAACTATAAGCGTTTTTCTTTTCCGCCATCGGAGGCAAAGAAAAGTCCGACTGTTCGTCACTCTTGAGGACGGAACAGCTTCATTCCTGCTTCTCCGATGATTGTCCGTTGCGATGGGCCCATGACGCTGCTGATTAGCCGAATCCCTTCAGCTGTGGGGGTTTAGTGGTTCGCCTACAGGTTTTCCCCGCACGACGTGGTATATGGAAATTATAAAGACAATAGGATATAAGGATATAGCTGTTTATAGTCTAGCATAAACATAAACATCATTAGCTTATAATAGAAATGGAGCTGTTTTAACTCAGCATCTCTATAAAACTCACACTGCTTAAGATTCCTAGTTAAGTAGTAAATACTACCTCCTGAATATACAGTGTCTCAACCTGAGAGGTATCAATCCTTTCTTATTAATACTATAGACACATGATTATATACTGTGCCACTTAATGTACAATCTACCCATATCTGCCCCTAGACCTGAAGTGATACATGGACAAATGCAACTTGCAGAAGTATGATTATAATATAGTTATTAGCTAGGTTCAAAGCAAAGATCTCCCATACTTATTAGTTTATTTAGAATAATAACGTCGACGGCTCACAAGCGTAGACAGTTGCCGTCTCTGACACGTAGAGGGTAGATGTGACTGTATAGATATGCTCGGAGGCGACAGGGGTCGTGAGACTGCTCGAAGTGGAAGGGGTAGATGAACCGGGAGAGGGAGATGGCCTTGAAATAGACGATGCAGTAGCCAAAATTGAACTTGTGCTAGGAGGTGCCGGTGAGGAAGATTGGAGGATGGATGAGGGAGCGGATTTTGAAGAAATGGATGGAGTAGATGAAGGAATGGATGAGATAGATGAAGGAATAGATGCAATAGACAAAGTGAATGAAGTAGATGGAATAGAAGAAGCAGGCGAGGAAGTCGACACCGCCACAGTAGAAGTCATGGTAACTGTTGTGCAGCTCTCAACTGGTGGCCCGAGGAACTTGGCATTATCGAACCTGATGGTCGGCTTATAAGTCACGCCATAGGTGCAGTATGAGTACATATAGAAAGTGTGTTCCGTGCTGGTTGCAGTAAACGTGCCGGAGAGCGTGTTCCAGGCAGTATTAACAGGGGTAAATGCGAAGACGGCGTTGGCGACGACTGTGCCTGAGATCGAGTCCATGATGATCTCAAAACTGCATTCCATCCGGGAGGATACTGTTGCCAGCTTGCTAACCGCGTAGTCGTATGCAGCGGTGTAGGTGTACCCGATTTCCAGCCCGGTCATCTGTTGAGTAAAGACCTCGGAGTTGGTAGTTGTACTTGCACCTCCGGCTTCCAGTACGTAGTCTCCATTGTCAGTGGTGTCGCTGACCACCACCCCGGTGCCGGCGTAGGTCGTCCAGGGACTGAGCTCTCCAGTCTCAAAGGAGGGGTTCTGGAGGGCATTGTTTTCGATTGACTCGCAGGAGACACTAGTGCTGGTTACTATCTCAGCAGCAGCAGTGGTAAGGAGTGAGATGGGCTGTAGGGCCAGCAGCCAGAGCGAAAGGAGCGGATGGCAGACTCGCATTCTGGTGTGGGTAAAAGAAAGGAAACAAGAGAGAGAGAGAGAGAGAGAGACCAAGGGAAGGAACCTCCTTTTATTTTTGTTGTTTTGCTTCTTTTTTCTGGCTGGCAATTCTTTCCGTTTGCCATCATCTCGCTTTAAATTGCTTGTGGAAAGTATCATAAATACCACTAATCTTGTATTGAGATCGTCTTGCCACATTTTCAGCTGTGTCTAGTTACTCTGTAGCTGAGTGGGCAGCTATTTAAGCCACCATACTAGCAACCTAGCCTATCTACTCGCTATTTTACAAAGCTTAGCCCATATTGGCATATAGTAAGGGTTTGCCGGGGCATGCGAAGACCCTATAAATAGATCTATGCTGGTCCCCGCTGAGAGCTTCTAGGTAGAGGTCTCACAGTTAGCTAAGCTAGACAGGCGATCTTCATTACTGTCTGTGACAAATTACTAGTCAGATCCCAGCAAAAGACAAGCCACCGCATCTCTACCCTGATGAGGCGCTTTTAATCTCTACTCCGTGGTCATTCCAGTAGTGGTGTTAGCCGCATCGGGCATACCTTGCCGAGGTGTTTTTTAATTAGAGTATTTATATCCTGGTCTTCTGTCAGGTACTGCCGATATGGTATTAACAAAGCCATGGATGGAGAGTTTAATGGAAGGTGAACTACAAGGAGTAAACGAGATGGAAAGAGGCAAGGTATGTTCTTACTTCTTAGAATAATTAAAAATACATACTTTCTTTCACCAAGTCTCTATCTATTGAGCTATTAGGTCGCATGCATCCATACTTAGACTCATCCCAATCGGATCCCCCATAGGCTAGGCCCGATCTGCCTTCAGCCTACGAATCGACATTGATAGCCTGAGGCAGAAACCCGAGGCATCAATGAGGCATCAATGAGGACCTTGGGCGCCGCAAAGGACCTTGGGGACTTGAATAGCCCATCTCTTGTGTGATTTTCCTCACAGACATTTCCCCGTATATAAACCCCTTGACTTCCATCTTGGCATCTCATCTTGGCGCTCCACTCATCGCTTTGTTTATCTGGTCTGTCTGGCCTCATTTGTCCCCTTTGTCCCATTTATCCACTATTTCCACTTTGCCAAGAGATGTCTACCTTCGATCCCACCAATGTCGATCTCACCACGGCGAAGCTGGCTGATGTGCTGTGTTATTTGTACAGTGGCGCCGACGATGGCGCCGACTATCTGGGAGCCCGCATATCGTCCGTGTTTGTCATTCTGATCACCTCCACGGTGGTGACCTTCTTCCCCGTCGTCGCCAAGCGTGTCCGCCGGCTGAAGATCCCCAACACGGCGTATCTGGTGGCGCGCTATTTCGGCAGCGGAGTCATCCTCGCCACCGCGTTTGTGCATCTGCTCGATCCGGCGTACTATGAAATCGGCCAGAATACCTGTGTCGGGGCCACAGGCAACTGGGCCCAGTATTCCTGGCCCCCGGCATTTGCCTTGCTCTGTATCGTCATCACTTTCCTTCTCGACTTTGGTGCCAGCCTGTACGTCGAGAGGAAGTATGGCATCCGCCATACACACGATGAGCCTGTGGCCAGGTATATTGCTCATGACGAAGAAGCAGCAGGAGCGGCACAAGAAGAAGAGACCAGCACCAACACTTCTTCTACAGATGAAAAGGCGCTCGAGAACGAAAAGTCTGTCCAGCAGCAGCTGGCCGCTTTTCTCATCCTCGAGTTCGGCGTGCTCTTCCACTCGGTGATCATCGGGCTGACGCTGGGTATCGTTGGCAGCGAGTTCAAAGTCCTGTATATTGTGATCATCTTCCACCAGGCGTTTGAGGGTTTAGGGATCGGGGCCCGCATGTCTTCCATCCCGTTCAGACCTACCAGCTGGCTGCCCTGGCTGCTCTGTTCGGCTTACGGTCTCACCACGCCCATTTCCATCGCCATCGGCCTTGCCGTGCGCGAATCCCTGAACCTCAACTCCTTCAATGCCATGATTGTCGAGGGAATCCTCGACGCCTCCTCGGGTGGTGTCCTCATCTACACCTCCCTCGTGGAGCTGATTGCCCACGACTTCATCTTCAACCCAAATCGAACGAGTGATCCGAAAGAACTGGCGGTGATCCTCACCAGTTTCCTCGCGGGCATTGCTATAATGTCGCTCCTCGGCAAGTGGATTTAGACTTGGCTGAATTCGAGTTTTCTCTTCACTCTCAAAGCCTTTCCTTCTTTATGACGATTGAATACATAAAAGTATAAGTATATGGAGCCAAATATACCCAAATATTGAACCGGCTACACTGAATAAAGGCCGAATAACGCGTACTGTAGATGTGCGAATGTAGGGTTAGGCCCTGATGATACGCGAATGATATCAAAATTGATAGGAAATGGCCAAGTCAACAATGTAAACAAATCTGTATACCTATCTCATCTTATTACGTTGAATAATTGTGGGATTGAGGGCTTGTTACGTTTACAAATAGAATGGTCCTTTACGTAGTCCATCACTTGGAATCGTGGATAGAGAGCTCAAATTGATTGAAAAATATCCATTCAGGAAAGGAAATCCATCTAGGCTCAGCGCTGGTGGATGTTAGTGTCGCCTGCCCGCAGAGCAAGAGCAAAAGGACTGCCTGAACAATCCCTTTTCCCTTCTATTGGGCTTGTCTCTGTCTCTCCTCATTGCCGTCATCGTCATCTTCATCCTCATCATCGTAACTGTCTTTGTCGCTGCTGTCATCCTCATCCGTAGCTTCTGCCGCCCCACTGAGGGCCGTAACTCTGTGAAGCATCCATTGCAATTCAAGGATATCAAATGAAGGCAGGGGGTGATTTTCAGGGTCATCGGTTTTGAACTCGAGGATATCTCCCGAGCTGATGATTTGCATGGTCTCACTGTTCATCAGGACAGTGTTCCCAGTGCTACGATCGAGGCCAGGAGCAATATACGGAGGCAAGCCGATTTCCTTCCGGTGGTAGCGACTATCGGACAACCAAAAGAATCGCACAGTGAGAGTCTTTTGATCCTCAGAGAGTTCCTCAGGCTTCAGGGCGAATTTTGCCTTTCTCCACAACCTATGCACTGTCGGGGCCAGGCATATGAGGTTCTGACATACCTCAGTCCCTTTCTCACCGAGCACCGCCTTCTCCCATACCCTAACCTTTTCTTTTGACCAGAACATACGGAGCGTTTCCCAAAAGATATCATGTTCATTCACTGAGTAGGGGTATATGTGGGCCTTGTCGATGCAGTCTCTGCCCTTGGTGATGAGGCAGGTGGACTTGTCTCTTTCTTCGCACTATATCTTATCAGTAACTCAAATGGAATCAATACAAATGATATCTAATCTTACTAGGCTTTTCGCAATCAGGCTGCAATAGACTCGCTTCCTCTCATGATGATCATGATGATGCTGATTATGAGCCGACGAAGAAAGTGTGACTTCTGATAACCGTGATAGATTCTGGAGAGTAGTTCCCTCTTTTCGAGGTATCTTGGACGGGCTTTGAGGCGTCGTGGATGTGGCCTTCCTTTTCTTCCGGTTGTCCAGCTCTTCGTCATCGCTGAGCTCATCCCCTGTCTGACCTTTGGTACGAGAACACCCTAGTAGAGTGCTTAGTGGTTTGTTATTAGTGATAGGTATCTCCATAGTAGACTTACAGGCTCTGACTAGGTCTGTGCAGACCTTGCTATTGGTCATCATCAATCTGCTGATGTTGGCAAGGAATTCATCTTTATTGGTGCACATGCTCACAAGATGCTCCAGCATCTGGATATCAGACAGCCAGAAGCATGCCCAAAGACCTGGTTCTATGGGCCTACCTAGGGTTGTATTGAGCTTTTGAATCAGCTCAATACGCTTAGGGTCCTTGGCCTCAGGCAAGGGATCAGTGATAGGCGAACGCCGGATGCCAGACCACTCGACCATTGAAATTATCAAGATAATTAGAAGGGATTTATAAGGTCATTTATCCTTCAAGAAAGAGTGAAGATGTTGAACAGCTCTTTATCAACAGAAGGGGTGAACCAAGATAGTAGAGGAGCTTGTGTGCTGGAAGAGTCAAGGAAGAATATGTGAAACAGAAAAGCTTTATAGACGAAAAGAAGGAAAAAGAGGAGGGTGCATGGCCCATAGGTTTAGAACTAAGCCTATATGAGCAGGTTGTAGGGTATCCTGCCTAACTGAGCCAGGCAACAAAACCCTAAAGTAAATGACACATTTTTCTATCAAAGTTGGTTCATTCACTTGACTACCAAGTAAACCTTTTTCTCCTGCCAAAAGTATAATACAATTTTCTTATGATAGTACGTTTATAGATGATAATCTCACTTGTATGTCTCTATAGGCATACTCTTAGAGTACGGTACAGCAGGAATCTAGAATCTCCACATTTTATAGAGGACCAAGATCTTTGATTTGGTTGCGAATTAGAGTATTATATGCAGCTATGTAGTGTCTATTTACTTTCCGATGGTTGCGGCAGGCCGAGTAGAGCAGGTGAACTTGTAATCTGTCCATCACGATCCTTGCAGACGGTACGGAGCATGATGGACTTTGAGATGTCATTGATGTCAGTGACCAGGCCAGCAGTTGCGTAAAACGCTCCGTGTCCTGGTGGTCCAGTATAGTTCATTATGCCGGCGTGGAGAAGCCCACACACTAAACTATGGTGATTGATGATAAGGGAACCTGAATCTCCAGACTCTGCAAATGAAGACTGTGTATAGTGGCGCTGGCAATGTGATGTATAATTGATAATCATGAACTCTTCTGTGACAACTGATGATAGACAAGTTTCTCTGTCATTATGGTCATTATTCTTTGAAAGGAAAGAAGGACCTCCTTTCCAATGACAGCAGGCCAGGGCCCCGTGGCAGATTCCTCCAGTTATCCCCGTGGTGCGTCCGAGTTTGTAGTAGACGCCCCCTTCTTCAAGACTGCCAAAATCCGTGAGAGGCATCCCAGCAATGACAGGGCCCAGCTTCAAATCGTACTTCCACGGCTGCTGGTTGGTGGGGACTTCAAACATCAGGTTTGGGCCGAAGAACTGGTCGATAGAAGTGTCCGTCAACTCGACAAATGCCCAGTCCATAATCCGCTTTCTGCGAATCGCTTTGCCCGACGCATCTGTGACTTTGCCCATGATGTGTGGCATATTGTTCCCTCGCTGGCGTTGTATTTGAAGATCATGAACCATGGCCTGGTATCTGTTCACCATCGTTTTCAAGTTCGTTGGAGGCCTGCCCCCAATCTCCTCGCGCTGGCGTATTTCAGATGAAAGCTCAACTATATCCTTCTCGAGAGTACTGATTCTTGAAGCAATGTCTGCTAAGGTTGCGTTTCTGTCCATAACTGCAGGGCTTTCTATCTCGATGGTTCTTTCTGAACAGCAAAACTGACCCAGACCTTGTTTGAAACACGGATTTGGGTCGCCTCTTGACTCAGACAGGCTAATGACGTGGTAATTTGTGAGGAATCCCTTGCGGACAGTCATATCATCTGTGAGGGTGAAGTATCCTCCATGTGTTCCGGCGTTTGCGTCCCCGCGTACTCCAATGGAGGTACCCATCTTTGGCACTCCCTCTGGATCCATTTGATCTGCCAAGGATATTCCTTGCAGTGGCTCTAAATGGCCTGGGAAGAATTCCACTGCGAACTGCTGGTTCTGGTGAAGAAACGAGGCAAGAATAGACTTGATGTGTATCACCAACGAAAACCAGTTCGCTTCGGTGAGAGGGTCGACGTTGACCACAATTGCAGGGCAGGCTTTATCCTTGGAGCGACCAACATTAAATGGGCAAAGAAGATTCCATTTTAACCCCAGGGCCCGATGGAGTTCTTCTATGAGACTCTCCTTTGCTAACTCGAAGGCGACGATGAGCGGTTCTGAAGGGGAGAGTGGAAACAGTGATGGATTCAAACAACGGTCGACGTTCACGATTTCCACATACATATCCAAGTGCTTCAGCAGCTTCGCGAGTTCGTCTTTTGCCGGACCAAAGTCTTGAGGCATGTTGTCAGCAGCCTGTAGTATGATGCGTAATAGGGCGACAGGGATGTCTCCGTCTGGATAGTGTGGCTTTGTTGCGAGGTACGGAATGAAGGGAATGTCATTGGCAAAGCCATGGCTATGAAGAATGGCGCGTATCTCATCCCCGAATGGCAAAAGATTTTGCTGGAGATCAACAGACGGCTCAAGCTTCAAGGGATACGGCCAGAAATTGGGCAAATTTGTCGATCGATAAGGATCTGAGCTGTCCAAGTATTTCTCAACACTCATCGTAAGGGCCATAATCAAGCCTCCAGGAATAAAATGACCTTATAAAGCACTATTATTGTCTTGACGGAATGTGTGGATTAAAGCACTATTATTGTCTTGACAGGATGCTATGGATTAGAAATGGCAAAGAGATTTAAACAGTGGATGAGTATAGGTGAGAGAAGACAAGTGATAATAATGTAATGACAATCATGACGTAAGCTGTATATAGCCCTTATTTAGAAGACACACACTAGAAGATAAATAAAATATATTTTAATTACCTGTTTATGGCTATATAGTATGTATCTGCTAACCTCCAAGTGAAAAGATAAAAGAGTTAGACTAAGAATACAGCCCTAAATGTAGGGATCTTATTGACTATATCTTAAAGCTGAATTATTCAATATGCTGGCGCATCTACTGGATCTCTATAAGTTGTTAAGTAAGGATTCACTAGGCTTAAAGTGTAGGCAGCACTCAACTGGGCAATATAAATTCTATCTTCTCTTATAATATTATGACTCTGTCTTTCACACCTGTTCCTGCTACAGTTTCACTTCTCTAAAGTATCCAATCTCCTATCCCTCTGCTATTTTTGCTTTGTTTGTGGTTAGATCTTAGCTGGCCCTGGAACTTCTGTCGATTCTTTGGATTCAGCTCCTCATCCACTTCTCCTTGAGCCAGCGATGCCTCGAGGGAAGTTTGTTCATCGAACGCAGACGTCCTTCATTTCGGTCAGGTAGCCTGCGTCTTATCAATGGGGTCATACAGAGCATCTGGCAACCTATATGAGGTAATGGAGGCTATTCGCGGGGAACACGGTGGTAGAGACCTCCTTGGCATCATGGCAACTGGGCATCTTCCATATCAGCACCACTGAAGGGTAGAGAATACAGAGAAATGCTGCTCAGTCGAGATCTATTCTGCTGTGTGAAAGGTTGTTATAATGTAAATATTATTAGGATTAATTAACTACTCTGAGACTGTCTTTCCTCTAGGAGTACCACTAGAACACATACTGGCTCAAACGCAGTTATATGTTAGATAAGAATGATTAAAGAGATAATTAGTGACTTATATTAAATTCTGATAATGCCTCATAGTATTATTTAATTAATGTCTATAGTATAATCAGATAGAATCACCACCATTGAGCAGCCCTCAAGTATCACGCACACTCAGAGGCCAGCTCTGCCACTCCAAAGGCCAGATCTTGCTTCCCGTCGACGGCCAGATCGACTGGAAGATGTCCACGTCTGCGTGGCGCATCAAACGCTCTCCTTTGCCACGGGGTTTCCTCCGATTGTCCGCCCTCAGTCGGCCATCCGCCTCACACTCGACCTCCCACTGGCCGGCCATATCGTAGTGAATCTCCCCGCCCCCAAGGCGCGCATACGGAGTGATGCCCGTCGGCGCCTCATACTGGCTCCATTGGCCCGCCAGCGGGTGCAGGCGGAGCAGCCGCAGCGGGCCCCTCGGCCGCCGGGCCGTCTGGATGCGCATGAAGATGGCCACGGCCAGCGGCTCGTCAAAGGCACTGTTGATGGCGCAGTCGCGGATCTTCCACTTGTGCACCCCCTGCCACGGGCTCGGCAGCGTCTCAAGCTCGTACGCGCTCAGCTCGCGCGGCGGGAAGGGTCTCCCGTCGCCCTGCACCACGGGCAGACAGTTGAGCACAAGATGCAGCGTCCGCAGCGCTGGGAACAGGCCCAGGGCTTCGTACGCGGCCGTCTCGACCGGGTGGCCCCGGTACCGTTGCACACAGAGTCGCAGCGTGTGCAGCGAGGGACACCGGGCCGCCATGCGCGCAATCACGTCTGCAGGGAAGATGGGGGAGATCTGGCCTCCCTTGTTTGCCAGTCGGAAGCTCTCGTACTCCATGTATTGTGGCTTGGGGCGGTGCAGCTTCAGCTCGGCCAGCGTCGCGCCATGACGGTCCAGCACCGCGACAGGGAGCATCGCCGGATCGTACGTCCCCAGCAGACAGAGGTAACCCAGCGGCGGAAGCGCATCAAACATGGCTTCGACTGCTGGTAACCAGGCCGAAGAGTTCTCCGGCGGGTACAGGGCCAGCGTCAGCCGTTCGAGAGCCCGGAAGGGCTTCAGATCTGCGATGGTCGTCATCAGCGACACGTCCTCGACGGCCCCGGCCGTCCATGCAGTGAGACAGCCCAAGTCGGTGACCCGGGACCACGCGAGGAACTGGCTGGCGGTGATCTTGGTGATCAACGGCAACGAAAGGACCTCTAGTCTCGCGCGCCGGGTGGGATCAAGATCGACCTCCTCCCTCTCCCGCGGCCGGGCCTGCAGCCAGCGGGCGTAAGCATGGCAGGAGCTGGTCGTATACTTGGAGCTGATCTGCAACGCAAGCCGCTTGATGTGCGGCGATTGGTATAGCAGATCCCGCAGCACGCGGTCAGGATGCTCGGTGTAGATCCCCTGGTGGTGGTTCTCATAGCAGATGATCTGGACGGCGTGCAGCACGGGAGACTGCACCCATTCCCGGCGCGAGAGATCCTCCTTCTCGGAAGAAAAGGAGCAAAGGGGGAACACCGACACGCGGCACCGTGGATGAGTCTCGGCGACGGCATCCAACAGCGCTGGCGGGTAGTTCCCATGGACCAGGATCTCCAACTGCTGCAGCGCTGCCATCAGCTGCACGAGGAGGACAATAGCGGTCCAATCCCCTCGCCAGACACCCAATCGAGGGATGATGATATCCTCGGCAGGCGTCTGGTCCAGGTATCGTTGCAGTCTCTCCTCCTTGCCGCACGCTTCTCGAGTCGCGCCTTTCCTTCCATCACCGAGTTCTCGCGTAATGAGAATCACCCGTCGGACATGCGGCAGCACGAGGTGGGCTTCCAGCAGCTGCAGCACTCGCTGAGGCTCAGGCTCGCCGTGTTGGAGGCGGATAGTCAGAGTGTGATAGACGCCAGGCCCGGCAATCTCGTTCCACGGGCGATTCACCTGTGATAACGCCCGTAAGGCTTCTGGCGACACCTCGCCCACCTGGGATATCCGTATTAGCAGACTCCAGAACCAGAGTCAGAGTGCTCTCTCTCTCTCTTACCGCTCCGGCGATGAGGTGTTTCACCTCCAGTGGCAGGCAGTCCATGGGCTAAGAGGTTGTACGGGTTAAGACGGGGAAGTTGGCCGGTCAACTGGTCAAGTGGACGAATAACACAAGTTATTAGTAAGCATGTCACGTGAGATTTCTGCGGATAAATCTTGATCCTCTGCATCTCCCTGATATTTAGGGTTAGGGTAGGTTTCAAGCTTGATAAATACGCTCTTCTTTAGATTAGTAAAGTATTTCATTTATACAGTCATATTCATGCTAATACAGTTATATCCTAGATATAATTAAAATATATCTTCAATGTCATATGTTTATTCTGTTATTGTGAGATACTACATGCCTATTATTATTAGTTAATCTACATAACTACGGCAGGTATATAAGAAGCCATATCATATAGAAAGTAACACTGAATATACTCTGAAGCTGTCAAATTCTGCTCACAACCTTTTGAATATTGAAAGTTCATCAGTCTTCTAGATGGAGATATATTTGAAGTAGGAAATTTGCAAGGTGGAAAAGAAGCGAAGAGTAAGAAGAGAGGATAAAGAGTGGAAAGAACTCCAATTACATTGGAAGCTGTTGCAGCCTGACCAAAGGTAAAGTGAGAAAACTGGACAATTTTACTATACCTTTATATATCTAGCAGTATCTAACTAATAAACAATTAATGCATCCAAGTGACACCTCTAGTCTGATAGTGTAGAGTAGTTGGAATAGAGAATAGGATGATAACTGTTATGAGTGTCAATATTAATAGGCAGGAAGCTTATATAGATTCACAGTTCCTCTTATCTAAATACATTTCTAGTACTGTCAATCTGACAGTGAATCTAATCAAGTATTCACTTTAGCTCTAGGCACTTTCAGGCACCAGTATTCCTTCACTAACAGGAAAGAGTGCTCCGAGGAGCTTGACCAAGGCGCAATGCACTGTGCTGTGCCATGGTTAAGTCTTGGAAAGTGGCGGTCATCTCTTCGTCAACCATTGCTGCTTGCTTTTTGAACACACTCTTCTTTGACTCGCTGTCGGCTATTCTCTCTTATCTGACTTTTTAAGCCTTACAGAAAGGAAAATGTCTGCATCCAGAGCTTTCCACACCTTCGCGTTGGTTGTCTTTGGAGGCCGAATCGGTGATACAGCGCTGGCGACAGACTTTGTGATGATATCAAAGAAGTTCATGGAAGACGGGCTTCAGCCCACCTGTCTCTCTGCTAGGCATCTGGAAACAATTACTGATATGTCTGGTCCGTTCTTGTTTGGCCGGGAGGATCTTGGAAGAAGGGTGCAGATATACGATAGCCAGGAGGCGCGCAGCCCTTTCTATCGCCTCGATACTCACGGTGTGAAATCCCATGCGTTGGCCTGGGCTAGAGGGGTCTCGCGCCAGGTCTCCCCCGGCGATCGCATAGTGATCGTGCTCATGGGTCATGGCCGCGAGAGCGACGGCGCAGTCGTATTCTACCCCCAGCACGCCGAACGCGAGTATTTGTCCAAAGTCGAGATGACGGCCGCCCTCTCTGTCTTGCCGCCGCACGTCCGGCTCCTGATTGTCAACGAGGCTTGCTACTCCGGAACTTGGGCTACGATCGCCACCGATATAGGCTCCCAGCGTGATGTGCTTGTGGAGACAGCAGCGACCGTCGGCGAGCAGTCCTGGAACTATATCTCAGGTTCCGGTCGAAACCGCTGCACCTTGTTTGGAGCAGCCTTTGTGGAGGAGCTGACCACTTACCCCGAGGGCCGGATCTCCCATCATCGCCGTCGGATCGTGGACGAGATGCTTCATGTTCAGCCCGATCAGAAAACATCCACCCCGCTGGTGATTCCCTCCGCCCGGGCTCTTCTATCGCATAATATCTCGCACTTCATTCTCACGCCTAAGATTGCGACAGCCATCATGGATGTAGCATCGGAGCAGCATCGACACGAAGCTCTTCTGCGGTCGCGAACCTCTGCCCGGTCCTTGTGGGGGAGGTTCCGTCGCTGGATGGGCCCGGAACGAGGGCAGGCGCAGGCTTTGGCAGACGGTGATAGCGCCGACATGAAGTCGGCCATCATCAAGAAATATATCAGCGACCTCGGGCCTCTGGGGGCAGCGCTCGGCTACAGCACGCTTATCAATACATGCCAGTACGCTCTCGAAGGGCGTGGACCGCCCGATCTCAAAGACCAAGTGATAGCCACGATCGCCTGGCAGCAAGCCCAGATGCTGCGAGTGAGCGAGTTGTTGCACCATCTGGCCGGGAAGGGGCTGATCACCGACATCGTGGAGAAAGAAGTGGCCAAGCGAGCACTGAAAGACCGCCGAGACGAAATGGTGCTCCCTATCGCGGAGAGGCTCTTTGATGGCAATAAGCTGGACTGTCTGTGTGACCCTCCAGCCCAAGGCCATGTGGGTGTGTTTTACGACGATCCCCAGAGCTGGTTGATTGCTGTCTTGGCTTACAACCGTTTGATGCATGAGGAGGAGTTTGATCTCGACAGTGTCGAGAAGGAGGTGGTCGCGTTTCTTGCTAGCTCTTAGATTATGGTATACTACTATCATAATACAGACAAATATCAGCTTCCTATCTTCTTGTTTCTTTCATCTATCCAACGACGTATAGACCAATGTTGGAGTAACAAGAGTTGGTTTTTATTCTACTAAGAATCAGATGGAAAGACTGTGAGATCCTCAAAGCTAGGATTCTGCATATTGAAGCTATTCCTTCAAGAGAAGCCCGGGTGTCTCTTGTTGCCGTAGGAGATTAGATCCAGTTGCTTCAGCAATAAACCTGTACCCCTGCATCCCAGCAAGCTTTGAGTAGACAGCATACGCCGAGCTCAAGATGAGACATATAGAACCAGTCGGATACACGCCATCAAGTGTGATAGAGGCATTTCGTGGAAAGCTTCGAAGCAAAGCCGCGAACTGGTCGAGTTCCTGCTGGCTCATGTCATTGCTGATGTACACACTAAAGACAGCCCGATGGGTTGGCGGGATGTGCAACGGATTAATTGTATTGAGCCCATTGAGTGGTAGACAGATAGATGAGGCCCCTATTCTCAATGTGTGAGCAGGCTTCACGGCGTTTTCCCGGCTTCGGAGGGTCTGCACAACGTCTGCAAACTCAATATATCGATGGCCCTGTCTCTGTCGAAAGCGAATCTCGCCTTCCAGCTTGGCTGTGAGAGTATTTCCAGGGGGAGAGTTCGTGAAAAGCGGCGTATTGTCGCTGGCGCCAATAATCTCAACGATGCGACCGCTCACTTCTGGGGCCCGGCATGCCGCAAACGAATAGCAGCAGTCAAAAACGAAAAGAGTGTCGACGATTGTTGAATCGAGAAGATCGAGGATTTCGACGAGGCAGCGTTGGGCATCAAAGCGACGATTAGAGGCGCCTTCCACACCCAGAAGGTTGCCATTCGGCCCCAGCATGCCATGGCCCGCGTAATGGACCATGACGACCGACCGTCCGGTTGTCTTCTCTGCCTTACTCACGACCTCTTCCAAGACGCCCATGACGCTCCAGCCGGGCGTTCGGTCTGTGTTGGTGATGACAAACTCACGGGCAGCGGGGGAGTTGAAGGGCGCTGAGCATGGACTGAAAGCGAGCAGCCTCCTGCTGGGCGGAAGTATCATCCTCTTCCCACCGGATGGTCAGGGCGTAGCAGTCGGTATAGTAGACAGCATGTTGATGGACGGCTGCTTCGAGGGTGGTGCGGAACTGCTCTTGGTTGATTTCCATGCGATGAGAGAAAGGTCAAGTAGAAGTGGTGTTTGAAAGATAAGAATAGGTGTGAGAGGGGGAGAAGAGAAAAGTAAAGTGAGAGAAGAAAGTGGTGTTAGTAATAGTGATGAGACTGGGAGGATTATAGTGTAATTGCTAGGCTGCAATTGTTGCCTAATGACTATATAAGTTATAAATCTTATTCACTTGATAAATATAATGTCCTGTCTTATCTTAGAGAATAAACTGTATTATATAAGTTCTCCTCCATGGGAATTCCCCTATATAGTCAGATAAGGCATTAAGCACCTAGTTATAAAATTAATAGAATCACTATTATACCTTCCTTAATGCCTAGATAAATGGCAGTACCCTTTACAGAAAGGCTTCCAGCTATTCATATATCTAAACAGCCGAGACTGAACATATGATAGAATCAGGACTAATATCTCTAAGTAGGGATAGCATAATTCCTTACATGGCATGGCCATCTCTGGCATCCCTCCAAAGCCTATCAAACTCTTTCCAACCGCCAGGCGGCGCATCCCACATGGCCAACTCACGAACCACCATCTCATAGCATCCATCGCCGGGCAGTTGTCCCTGACAGACATTTCCTCCCACAGCGATGTTGATGAGGATTCTAAACTCCCTCATCTTCCTCGTGCCCGGCGGCTTCTCGGCCCTCATGACGGGCGTGCCGTCAATCAACCAGACGAAGCGCCCCCGACCCGTTGTCTCATCCTCATCCCAGACAAAATCGTACCTCAGGCCCGTCGGCGAGCTGATCCTGGGGATGGGGGTTTCGAGCACACGATGTTTGTTCCAGTCCTGGCCGTTGAAGTGGCCCCAATGCAGACAGCTGTGGTTGATCGCCTCGCCGTTCCACGCTTCCATAATGTCGACTTCGCCATCCTCGGGCCACTGGAAAGGGTCTTTCGGCAGCAGCCAGAAGGCAGGCCAGATCCCGCGAGCCACGGGTGCCGTGATTCTGGCCGACAGACAGCCCCGGGGGCGGTCGAGGGTCTGGCGACTCGACAGCCGGGCGCTGGTGAACTTCTGGGCGGGATCGGGGTGTCCGTGGTGGATCAGAGCGCGCACAATCACCGCGTCGCCCTGGGTGGAATGGAGGGAATTCTGCGGGCTGTCGGTATAATTCTGCGCCTCGTTGTTGCCCCAGCCATGCTGGCCCTGTTCGTGGGCAAAGTTGGCGGACACCGGGACTTGAGGATGGAGATTCGGCCGCCAGTAGAGCTGCGGGGGCGAGGGCGGGTTCTGGTAAGCTGGTGGTTTGCTGGAGGTCGGAACAGGCGGGGGCTGGCTGTGGTGGCTTAATTCCTCCCACGCCTTGTCGGCCTTGTCGATGATGCCCTGCAGCGCCTGTCTGAATGGCATGTTGAAGCCTGGTATAGACGATGAGGAAAAGACGCGGGGAGCAGTAAAGGTGACGTCTTATTGTGGAGACAACTGGCCAATCAGGCTGTAGTTCAACGAGGCTTGTAGTATCTAGCTAGACTGACGCTACATTACTTATATAAGTCTTCATATTCTTTACTGTTGTATTATCTAGTCAAAATCCTCATTTATTACTGCCACTAGGCTGTGGCCATCAATGTGAACTTCTCTTATAGTACTTAGTAAGACTAAGAAGCCAACTAATCAACTCAGATTATCCTAGTTAGCTTTGATATGAGTAGAGAACTGTTTTTAACGCAATCTAAGCAGTATAATAGATTCAATCTACGGCCAAGTATAAAAAAAAAACATACAACAGTAGGGATTTGCTGGTGGTCACCCACCTAACTACTAACCTACTGGCATATAGCTTAAACGCGGTTAATAGTCAGGTGGGTGCGCTGCGGGAGAGCCGTCACGCGACGCCGCCCTACAGTCGCGTGACCCTAGGAGAGCCAGGTAAGTTTAGTATAGAGAAGAGGAGAGCCACTAGCCCAAGATTTAATAACTCTATATTTATTTTCTAATTAGTTAACTATTTTTAGTATATATATATAGCTATACTAAGTTATGCATCCTTATCTAAATAAGGGATAGTCTATATTATTTATCTTATTTGCTCCTCTTACTATGCTCTAACCTATCTAGCTCTAGTATAATTATATAATTTAGCTAGTTATATAAAAGAGAGTTAATATAATATCTAGATATATAGATCATAAACTGCTGCGCCTAGTTTATTGGCAACACTAATTATTCTATATATCTTAAGGGAACCTTTTTTTATAGTAAGGATGAGGTATGCTATTATTATTAAATTACTTACTATAATTATAGGCAGCCTATCCTAAAGCTTAAAGAGGCTGGCTCAACAAGGCGCAATATAAGGCCTCACCAGCTATTTTGCGAGCCTTATGAGAAGAGATCTTGTTTCTACTGCAAGGCTGGCTAAATAAGGCGCAATATGAGGCCTCGTCAGCTATTTTATGAGCCTCATAAGAAGAGACCTTATTTCTACTATAAGGCTGGCCCCTAGTCTATATAGTATAAAAGTGCAGGTCTCCTGCTTATAAGCTCCTTTTCTATATATATTCTTTATCTTTAAGTTCTTTTAGCCCATCTCTTAGCTTTTTGTCTTCTAGCTCCCTAAAAGTAATATCCTTATTATAAAGTTATTTTATGCTTACTTTAGGAATAGGGCAAAAAATAACTACTTATTCTAGGATATAGGGCCTACTATAAGCACTTAAAGTAGTATATATATCTATAGTCTTAATAATTAATATTATTACTAAATATACTTAGATATAATAATATCCTCTAATAATACCCTAGTTAGCCTAGTGAGCTCTTATTTTTAATACTAGGCTCACTAGCCTATCTCTATAGGTGAATAAATATTATTATTATTATATATTAGCCTTAAAGCACCGCTTTTATAAGGGCTATTATCCTTATTAAATCCTATATATAAGAAATGTCACTTGCGAATAAAATTAAAATTTATAGAATTATGAAATTAAAATAATAATAGTAAATAACTATACTATTAGTATAAAAACTATCTAAAATTTTGCACCTAGGCTAATAAATAAGAGATAATAGAAATAAATCTCCTTTATTATTATAATCACCTTAGTAGGTGAGGGTATGCTTCCTATAAAAAATATTATAAGCTATATTATAGCTACTCTATAAATAATTATAATTATTATAGAGATGCTAATTCTAGATATAGATCTTATAACTCTTCTTTACTCCCTAAGATAAAATAATTAAAGGAAAAAGATAGATAGAGCTCTAAGAGCTTTTTTTTATTATTTATTTAATTAATACTATATTAGAAAAGAAGATTAGTAACTTGCCTATCTCTTTTAATATTTTTCTTAAGGGTATATAATATAGATATTTAGGACCTATACTCTATAAGCACACTACTATTTCAGAAGTAATATATATAGATAAAGGGGTTATTCTATTAAGAACTAGATAGATAGCCTTAAATTATTTTAATTAATTAATTACTTATCTAAGGTCTAGAAAGTCCCCTAGTTAGGTAATCTATAGAATAGTTATAACTAGATATTATAGTATGCTAATAATATAATAAATTCTATAAAAGGTCCTTAAGAAAGCCATCTTTCTTAGTAATATTCTTAGGGAAAAAATTACCTATTCTTATTATATATTCCTTAAGGGCTTAAAGGCTTAAAAACTTTAAGATAGAATTACCTATGCGCCGGGCGTCTATTATATTAATAAGATTAATATATATCTTTAATAAGGCCTGCAAATATCTATCTTAAAGTAGAATAATTAAAGTAAGTGACTTATATATATCTTTTAATATTTAGTAATAGTATTATAAGGGCTAGGAGCCCTAACTTTAATATAGAGTATCTACTAATCTTATAGTTTAATTTTATTAAAATTAAAGTATACTATAAACTAGTCTTTAATAAATATAATATACTCTAGTTTATATATCTTTAAATACTTTTATTAGTATATATACTATATAAGTTAGTTAAACTTACTAGCTATAGATACTAATAGGTCTAATAAGAAATCTAGGAACTAAGAAAAGAATAGATTATATGCTATTACTATTAAATAATTAAGAGAGATAATTAAGAGGCCTAATTATATAAACTAATTATAAACTATATTTACTATCTAGAAAATATTATATAAATATTAAGTATCTTATATAAGGCTATAAGATATATATATTACTATAATCTCTAAAGCCTAATAAGTCGCAGACAGCATGGCGAACTATTAGAGGAGAGATATTATATAATATAAGTTATATTATTATATAGATAATATACTTCCTTAATTAACTAGATATATAAGTTATATCTTATATTTCCCCCTCTATTATATTAGTCTAGTCTCTAATTAAGAGTAGGCTAATATAATATAATATAGTAATCTACTAATATTCTATGGCACAAAGTCTATTAAGTTTATTTAGATTATCTTAAATCTATTAGATTAATTAAAGAAAAATAATAACTAATATTACTACCCTAGACACTAAACATCTAGCTAGTCTTATATTATTAAGGAAGATTAATAAGCTTTAGGAGAAAAATATTAGATAATATATCTCTCTACTATAAGTATAATCTACTAGATTTAAAGCATCTTTAAACTAATTTCTGCTTTCTTTAATATAGTTAGTAATAGTAGGCAATTAAAGCTCTAGTAAGTCTTCTCTACTTTAGAGCTTAATAAGTATACTATTTCTATATAATCTTAAACTCTACACCTACTATATAATATAGATTACCTTATATTATAACTCTATCTCTTAAGTTAATATTACTATTATCCTAGGGCCACGCATATCTAATAAGTATAAAGAGGTTATATAATAATATTACCCTATAGACCTATCTCCTAAAGATTTTTAAAGTCATTATATAGAAATTTTAAAGGAGGTGAGTAGACTCATTATAAACTTACTATTAATAAATCTATATTAATACTATATTAGATTAACTTATAAATAAGAATCTAAGTTAATACCTCTTTAAGTAGTGGTATTATATTTAGTAAGGATATATTAAAGATTAAGTTATATAGACCTAATAAAGACTATTTAACTTTAATTAATATTCTAGGAATCTTTAGAATACTAATAGAAGGTATTATAACTAAAGAAGATATGTTACTAATCTAGAGAATAATTAAATATTATATTAGAGATTATTATATAATTATTCTAATAGTTCTTTCTAATAATATTAATCTAGCTATATAAGAGATTTTAAGCCTCACTAAAGACTATAACCTAACTAGAGACTAAACTTTAGGAGTATTAATAAAGCCTAACTTAGTCACTAAAAATAATACTAAGGTAGTAGTATATAATATAGTTCTTAGATATAAAAAGCCACTAGCACTTAGCTACTATATTATAAGAAACTATAATATAAATAAAATTATTATATTTAATGCTCCTTATATTAAATAGATCTTCTAATAAGATCCTTAAAGTAGCTTATCTAATAATTAACTAGGAGTATAAGTATTAAAGAGCCAGCTAGCCATCCTATTAGGGCATATAATATAAAGAGAATTCCCTAGGCTATAGAAGGATATTTAAGTATAGCTAGTAAACTATTAATAATAATTAACTAATCTAGATCTAGTATATTAGACTAAATATAAGTAGTAAATATTCCTCTCTACTATTAGCTATAACTTTTAGGAATTTATTTATACTACTGTGATATTGATGGGGCTATATATATCACTTAACTAAATATACTGCTAGAAAGCAGTATATTGAATGCCTTTTTAGTTGAGTGGTTAAGTGCTTGGCTAAGAATTTCTCACTACTTTTAATATATACTATTATTATTATAATATATTTAATAGAAGCCCAAAACTCAGGCTAATCACTTATATAATTAACCTTACTAATATCTTTAACTCTAACTTTAAAGTGAAAGCATATAACTGGCATTTTTAGCGCCCCTCAAAAATAGAATCTATAGATACTAATAAAGATAGCTTAGATAGGATATTAATTTAGGGAGTGGTATATATACCTTATTATATTAACTTAATATATAAAATAGGTAAAAACTTATATTTACTTTTAATATTTACTTAGGATAAGGAAAATAATATACTAAATAAATTTTTAATTATTAATTAAGATATAAAAGATTTATAAGGTAGAATTATAGATTAAATTAAGTAACTATATTTATACTTTTAGGGACTAGAACTTAGCATCTTTAGTGACTCTATACTTTTTAGCACCTTCTAAGAATAAATAATTAAATAAAGTCTAATAATAAAAGCCTATATAAGATAAGTTATTTTAATAATCTACTAGTTTATATCTGCCGCACTAGGCATTTTATATTTAGATAAAGGAGTCTAGAAATAGCTATAGTCTATTATAATAAATAAGATACTCTCTTAATATTAAAAAGCTATAAAATATGCTATATTTCTTATTAATATTAAATAATAAAAGAGGCTATTTA